GTGGTAGGTAGCGCTTGGAACTGAACGACTTGTCTACCACCTTTCACCGACCAACCCGGTCACCACCCGCCACGCCAATATATGCCGTCCTGCCATAGAAATAGATACCGTAATCGTTACAACTATTAATGCGGACGAATTTTTTTATTTAGGACGAGTATTTATACGCACGGGCAGTTAGAGTTATTTTCTTACAATAATATTATATTAAGTTTTTTTATGTCAACTTAAATAAAACTACATACTTATTTCTGAGCAAATGTTGGTAAAACTTAACAGTAATATATGGAGTTGAATATATGTATGTAAGTAAAAATCTGTTCAAAATATATATTCCATGTTTAATACATTTTTGTGACACGCCATGTATGGTTTCTTTGATCATAGAACGTAATAATAATAATATCGTATCTAAAATTCAATAAATATATATAAGAAAGAATATTTTCGTAAACAACATTTGTCTGACTATATTTGAACATCTTGTTTATATTTTTTATTTTCATTTAGAATCATCACTGAGATTCAAAGCTATCACATATTGTATTTAAATTATTCGGCGACTCAACATTTTGGTGGGAATGTTAATTTAAAACAGAAAATATATAAATAATTCAGTTGGATTTTTTTAGTATAATTCGCATAATTTCACCACTCAAAGGTTATTAGCCTTTTAGAACATTAAGGTCTTCTATGAAATTTCTTTGAGCTATCGTTTTATATACTGTTGGTCTCCCATGTATATTGTATATATATGCCACCAGGGTTCAACACTCTGTGGTCATCAATTGGCCCTGTCGTATGAAGGGCGTGGCGACTGTAATGTTGACTACTATTGTACATACTATTACGAAGCTGATGAACCCGTGTCACTCTACATTATAGGGAGTCTACGTTTGTTTATAGTTATACGTATGCATACATACAGTATGTGTTTGTTTGTTAGTCTTTTTCCCAAAAACTATAGATTGGGAGCAATTAAAACTACTACAACGAAGTTCGTTGACAGTTTGATAAATAAATTTGGAATTAAATTGAGTTTTGGTGTAGTTTTCAGTAGGTTTTACGTAATGATGTCAAAAACAGTATTTCACACGCACTTTGATATATATTTTACTCCCTGAACCTCAATATAATACAGTTACCTTATAATATTTTCAATATTCCCTTGATCGAATAAAACATTTCTATACGTCTGAAGTGTGTCATTTAGTCTGGGAGCATTTCGTTTCTGAACATTGAACTTTTTCTTTGATAATGACGTAAAGAAATAAAAAATAAATGTTGTCAGAAAAATGTTTTGTAAGCATCGCAAATATAAGAAATTCTAGCTTTGATCCCCAACACAAATACAACAAAGATTTTTTAAGAAGAGACGGTAAAATCTTACTAAATTCTAGCGTTATTAACTTGTTTTGGCTAATTGTTCGAGTCTAGATTTGAGTAAACATTTTATTTCAATACATTTTTGCTATAAAAATGTATAGTTTTTAATTAATATTTACATTTTATGTGTACTTAACGCACAAGTATTTAAAAGTTAAAAGCAAAATAGAAACAAATTGCAACAAACTGTTTTACAATATGACGTCATATTTCTTTGACATCGTAATTCTTTTTCTTGTTTTATATATAATATGTTAGTGTTTTATAAAAAGTAGGTACACAATATTTGTATTAGTTCAACTCAATCTTGTCACCAATCTAACTTGTGAAAAATATACCAAAAAACTAACTACGATACATTTAATATCCGTCTTATCTCCACCAACAGAGCATATCGGAATGTGTATATATAAATATATAACAAACTTCATATTAACAATTCCATCCTCATAATTACAACATATATTTACATATAAAATAATTAAGAAACTCCTTCAGCGAGTCGTCGAATGTGCGGCCGCGTGTGAAACAACGTGACATTACCGACGTGTGGCTTACGATACGCCAACAAGTGAAAAAAATTATAATATATTATGTTTATAGTCGAGGTTATTTAAATAGCGTGGTATTTTTGGTGATACATTTTTATCACAGCTCTTTATACATTTCTTTATAATGTTAATTTGTATTATAAATAATTATCTTTTGAATATTCAGTGATATAAAATTGAATGTTCATTTAGTATTGTATGTTGACGCGAATTGGTTAAAATTCTGAAATGTCTACACGTCCTGTAGGAATGACTGTCTTTATTTTCAGTTATTTTAGTATAAGCTATTCCATTTAAATAATACTTAACATAACGTGTTTGGACGTTTACGTGTTATTCTATTAATTGTTTTATATACTAATTATTCATCGAAAACAGTCTTCAGAGACTTTAATGTACTTTTTTATCAATATGAATTAACTTTTGCTATTACTTTGTTTTTTATATATAATGACTTCTTGAAAGCAATGGCTTCTTTACCATACAAGTACTGTATGAATGTGAGTAGACCTTCCAAATTGTCATTCACAATATTTGAAAGATTTCTGCTAGGTACATCTTAAGCATTTGTGTATCAAATATAGCTGAATTTTACTTCTATATTCTCCTTAAAATATACATATATATATATATATATATATATATATACAGGGTGACTTATTGTCATTATGACAGGGTGAATTACTATCAATATTTAAGGAGAATACTCGGTACATGATTCTGATTCGAATTATGTAAGAAAAATAGGTACTTAATTTTTGACCAAATTTCCGTATAAATAAATAAAGTGTGTTCCGTATAAATAAAAAATTTATATTAATTTTATTTCGTCATATATGATCGTCAAATATCACGTCCTCAAGTATCGATAGTAATTCACCAGTCACTCTGTATATAAAGTGTGAATACTATACAATGAAGACTAAAATAGCAAACTCGTTTCAGCCACTATATCTGATGTAATTTTATCAGTGCGATATGAATTATCTCATTTCCATCATATAATATTTATTGCGAGCTGTTTTAATAGGACATGAAATCCCGGAGGTGTGTAACGACTACGCCATAAATGTCACAAGGTCTCAGTTTTAACGAGCGTTTAATATCATCGTGTTAACGGACGATTAAATATTGAACTGTTATCACCAGGCATCAGGTCTGGATGTGATGTGTTTATATGATGTCTCCACCATGGATGCCCATCACGTACATGTATGCGTCACTCTTTGATTTTATTAAGATATTCATCAGTTCCTGATGTTAGAATTCGTGTGGCTGGTCATTAATATCTTATCTCGTTTCATAAATAATTCTAGCAGGAAATTGTTTCCTGTTGTGTTTTTTAATGTAGTCGGTTGTCCAGATGATGATGATGATGTCCAGATGTTTAGATACAACACTATACTTATTGGCAAATAGACTTATAGTCGTAGAGTCGATCTGTCGGTATTTTTTTTTTGTCATTTCAAATCTAAGCTGATAAAGTGATTTTTCTTGCAACATTTTTTTTATTTGGAAACACATAATCCTTAGATTTATCTCGTAAACTGATTTATCTAAACAAGTTCTAGATAATTGTTATTTATTTGAAAAACGTCATCGCTTTGTCTTCAATAGTTTTTTTAAAGTATAGCTAATGTACAATATAGTTAAAAATACTAATAAAATACATATTTATCAGTACCGAATAAATCGAATTGGATCGATATCTAAGATGTTTTGTTTAAATAAATAATGCTCGGCTACCTTAATATATGTAAATAAAAACATTAAATTGGAAAGAACGAACATTGACGATAGGAAGGTGAAGTAATTGAAAAAAACAGAAGCTGGAGGTGATTAGATAATGTAACGTTATCAATGGCACTAATGTTGAAGAAACGAGCGACAAATCAGTTAATAATTGCTTTGTCCTAATGACGCCGTACACACGTCAGGGTACACACTGATCAGTAACACCTCCACAGAGGAACATGCTTCAGAAGCAGTCCAATTCTAATCATTACTGCGTACACTTAGAAACTACATTTTAATAATGAGATGTAAGCTTTTCGCGAGTACTCATTTAAATGAAACTAATATTTTCGGATTTACTACGCGTTTTTATTTTTGATTATAAACTACATACTCCCGACGATTAAGTTACTTTACAGTAACCGTGATCACGGGCAGACGAGATGCGAGTGTCTCAAAAAAGTAAAAAATCGCTTAGATATTAGTTTAATTTACATTTAAATAAATTTTCAGTTATAATGTTTTTAGTTTATTAGTTGGATTTAATTTCAATATAATCTTATTATACATTTAAAACCAATGAACTACTTTACTTTTTCTAAAGATAAGCTGTATAAGCGTTTCTGCGTAATGTTTTTTTTCTAAGCCTGTTTTGGTTATGTCGCTCACAACCACTTTACCTTCTCTCGGTACAGCAGGTCATGTGCCTCAATACCTGCCGCTTTTGAGACTTCAAAAAAATTATAGTAAAAAATGTTTGCTATCAGGATAAACTATGTATATATATCATGTTAAAGTGTACTAATACGTAAAATGTAAACAAAAAGAAAAAAAGGAATAGGTCCAAAAAATACATATAATACCATAATTTTGAAGAATCAATTAATAAGATCCAACGCAGTTCCCTCAACCTCCATATATAATCTGTCTTTACATTTGTACCTATACAATATTTATATCTCCGATTATTTATTTCCATTTTATATGCTGATGAGAGTGCTATTATATTCATGTATGCCCCAACAAAATTGGTAAGGAAGAGAAAAAAGCGTTTAAGACGAAAAAAGATACAAATAAATAAATATACAGACAGAAGTGAAATCCTTTATAATAAAGTAGGAAACACTCGGCAAAAAAAACTGAAATAGCCCAAAAGTACAACATTTTGGGGATACTAAAAATGTTAATGAATCTATGACATTGATTTACAAGGAGTCGTGTTCTTAAGTGTTGAAATCATTACTGTTATGTTAATAACATATTCAATAAAAAATCCTTCATTATTGATGAATTGTACCATAATAGCTGATACATTGCTCTTTGATCTTAATGCTTATAATTGCATTTGTAGAATCTAATAGCTTCCAGAAGCCGCACTACGTGGCCACGTATCGTGTTGATGTTATATGTACGTATAATCAACAGACATTCGCACAGTCAATGACTTTACCAAATCGTATTTTTCGATCCTCATTTAACTCTTTTTATTAAATTTCATTGACGTCATAGGGTTTTACGTTAATATATTTTTGTTGTGTCGGAATAATCATTAGCTAAATTATTAACATGAAATGTTTCATCGAAACCGGTTTCTTTGGTAAACAGTTCTATCTATATTTAGATTCGGACAAGTTATTTTTTTAGTCGACTTTTTATGAATAGTACATACATACTCGGAGAGTTGTTTATGATTTACTTGTTTAAATTATAACAAGACGTTGTCGTTCCGTTCCACGTAACATTAGCTTTATGACACAAGAATTTTTGTTAGAGAATTTTCATCTGTTTGAATGAAAAAATAACATGAGAAGACTTTAATTTTATTTGTGTGCCAGGCGTTTGTTCGAGTCTTTATGTATGTAGTGATAAGCTTATATTCTGTATTATTGAACGTACCTATAGTGTTTACGTAAACGCATGTGATCGCCCTGTGTATGAAAGGTATCGGCAGTATATATCTGTGTAAATATTTAGGCACCAGTGCTCGCCCGTATCGTGACAGCCGTAATCGTCTCCGTGACCCACTTCTGGCTATGTATTAATGAATATGTTTACAAATCATTTGTTATGACTTCTTTTTATTTCGTTATCATGAGTGTTGTTCTCAATTAAAATATATATGTTTTACTTTTATTATGATCGATTCAATTATTATTTAAGTTCGTCGCAGAGCCATGTTTTCTTGTATCCTCTATATACAAGTATTTTATAGTGTAAATCGTTTTGTTTCTTTGTTTCACGCCTCTCAATATTTATGATATTCGTCATAGATAAAGTGCATTGTCCCGAACGCATCGTCGTTATCAGCGACAAAGTAAATAAATTGGGTCCCATTCTGATTCGACTTATCATTAAAATTGTTGTAACAGAAATAAGAATGTTATTATTTTAACAAATTCCATCGTAATAATTATATCGGCTGTATTTTTAAGCAAAACATGTTTTGTGAATTTTGTATACATACATATTATTTAAAATATTCGCTGCGTCGTTTGTGCGTGGGTCATTAAACTTTGCTTAATGAATTTAATCGATATAATATTCGCATGGCTCATGTGTCTCGTGGGCGTTATCGTGATCATGGGCGGCCGAGAAAAACTGAAGTATACATTGACTATACGACCGAGGGTAGTGGTATATAGACGTACAACTAGTTAACTGGATTTTTTCTCTCATAATTATTATTAAGATTTTTAAAAAAACGTTTTTTTTTTCATAATTAATCATTCAGATTTCAAAAACAGCTTTGAATTTTTTATCATCTAAATGAATTCGGATTCGTTCTATATGTGCATAATTCGTTTAGATGTTTATGTATAGTGTCTTAGAAGTTTAATGTTTTCTCGTTCAACTGTTGCATAACAGATTAGGTGCACGTCATGTGAATGTACAAAAACTTTGTTTCGTCTAAAAACATCCAGGTTATATAAAAAGTATATTTAATATTACAAATGTAAATCATTGTATATATTAGCTTAAATGAAATGATTTGCTTTGATTTAAATAATACTCGAGCTCGGAGCGTCGTCGATTTAAAATTGTAATGGTCACGTGTTATGCCACGATACTCGCTGCTCGCTGGTGTCTATGAAGGATAAATATTCACTTTCTGACCCATTATCGCTTATGTAATACACGAACTACAGCTTTATATACTACATATTATTAATCTAATACAAAAATATATATATTATCAGATAACTTGCCTAAAAGTCGTGACACAAGTATTGCACATCGAACTTTAAAATTTGATCTTAACCTCACTTCTGATAAGCTTGAAAGATATGAGCCATGCATTCGCAACATAAAGTTGGTCATGTACAATTTATTATTAGGTTTTATTTAATATACAGTATTAAATTATAAACTTTCACCCTGTATTGTGTTCTGATAAGTGCAGACGAGATATGTCGCTGGAGTGCCCCAGGGTAATGAACTCGGCCCGATACTTTATAGTTCAACTACAGTTGTTTGTGGACTTACATCTTGTGTATTTTATATATTACGTATTCATAGGACTGCTGACAAATGTAACAGTACCGATAGAATGAGGCTCTTTACCAACACGTATATATAAAGACATATAAGGTTGAAAATAAATCTATTACATACTGTTACAATAATATACAGAATAAGATAAAAAACAAACGTTTCGTCATAATGTTCCTCCAGTAAATACGTAACTAGACTACATGATATAATTGCCATTAATTAAAATGCTTGACGCAAGCTCCAAGAGACGCTTGTGTTGTGCGAATGTATTGGTATATAACTTTGGTTTTTATTATATACTTGTTATATATAAGGTTTATATATTGAATAAGATCAAAGTTTTTTATTGTTATAATATCTGACCCGGCAGACTATGTAATGCCTCAATCGATAAATAAATAATTTCTAATGTGTGTTCTGAATTGACTGACGTTATTTGATGATATGATATTAGTTACTTGTCAAGTCTTATGTCAAAAAAAACGTTTGTATGGAAAATAAAAAAGGGCTGTTTTTGGGTTTCCCCGGAAATGAATCAATTTTTTTCAGCTTTTAATCCTTCCCTAAACCTTCACGAACATTTCAAAATTAAGATAAGATAAATCCGTTCAGCCGTTCTCGAGTTTTAGTGAGACTAACGAACAGCAATACATTTTTATATATATAGATAAGGAGGCTAAGAGTCCGGGGAAGTGTTTTATGAGTTGGTCGCTTCTCGACCAGTTTACAAAGTGATATGGAGATGATATCCGTTATCAGATTGCTTTCAATTGATCATTGTGTGGCTTGTTGCTAGCACAGAGTGACCTTTGACCTGTAGACGATCCAGATTATATTCAGGAATACTGAGTGATATTAAAAGAATACCGGAAAATAAATTGATATAAATAATGTGTAAATGAAAAATTATATTATACTTACAGCTAAATTTGATTTGTTTGTCGACAAAATATTTTTTAAATCTGTTAGATAAATTAGATGGACAGATAGACTGAAACTCTATTTAAGATAATTAAATAATATTTAAATTGCTTTAGTATTAATCTATGATGCTCTAGGTCACTGCTATTAAATTTATATACATTAACAATGAATTGTTTCAGAGACATCAGCAATAACTGTACATTTTATAATATACATATTATGGCGACTGAATCCGCTTGCCAACACTTATATATTAAGTTATAACTAACATTATATATATAGAAATATATAATATTTATCTCAAAATGTTGGTTATAAAATAAATTTAGTAGAATCTGTATTAAAATATATATAATTATGTTATAACAAATAAAACTAGTTTATCACGATTCCCGGAATATAATAATTATTTGAATAAAGTGAATTTTTATATTTACCATACAAAAAAATATTTGCTCATAAAATCTTCAAGTCAATAATGTTCTATTTTTAGGATATACATTTTCTTCGATCATCATATTTATCGACGTGAAACTAATGCAATATATGCCATAACATTCAAGAAAACTTAAAAATTATTTACAAATAATATCTTTATATTAATTTCATTTAGATTGTATTTGACTAATGCTAATTATTTATATAGTCAATGATTGGCAAAAAAAATTTGCGTCACATATAATTTGCTTAACTTTGTGATTTGGGTCATAAATCCTAAAATGTATCCGATTTAATTGATGGTACCAACAATGTTCTTTGTTGCCACCGGTCATACTTACGTATTCCAGCCGTGTTAAAATTTACGACGCCTTCAACAGATTATAATCTTTAGTGCTATTTAGTCAGAGCGTCTCGAAAAATAGAAAAAAATAGTTCTAAACTAGATTCAAGGTCAGTCTGTGACAACAAATGACTGATTTATATAACCAAAGGTATCCAGGGAGCCTGCTCCACAGTTCCCTCACAAACACCACACACTCACTGTTATTGTCATAAATGTTTTGTTTATTTTCAGCGTGAACAGGAAAATGTTGGTCCTTGTAAACATTAGGCTGTATTTTAATAATAGTTCATATGTAACAACAAACCCGTTACCTCTCACTTGTCACTAGATATTATAGCCGATGGGCATTTAACCTTTAAAGTAGAATCGGTCGATCTAACACTTCATGTTTGTCGGCAGGCATGAAAATGACTATGTCCACTACAGCCACAATGAGCGCCCGCGTTCATCGGAAAGTGATGCGCGCGCCTCATAAGCGAGCGCACCCGGGGAAAATGCTCCACGCCGGGAAACTGGTGCACCCGGGGAAGGGAATCCACTCGGGGAAGTTCGCACATGTGGGGAAGTTCGGGAAACTCGGTCACTACACGCACACGCACTCGTTGCGCCCGCCGGAGCCCTGCGACAATAGTAACGACAGCGGTCTGGGGCCCGACCCCGTCACCAGGTGAGAGACCACTATGTATGCCAACCACTATGTATGCCACCTCGTGTATGTCTCGCACGAACCTGTACATAACACGCCACGCTCATGACGATTAACAAACGCTATGCTTCCTTTGAACTAAGATAACTATCATTGTCAATAAATATAACAGATAATAGACATCGGAGCCATCGAGTGATTTACAGCAGCCTCGATAACCTCTGTTTATTTGTTTACGGTTTCATAATAATCAATAGTTATTAAGAATAGCTACATCAATGTATTTTGTAACTCGATCAATGTAGGGGAAATAACAACATTGTGCATCACATTTTAGACTTTATCACATAGACGAGGACGCATTGCGGAAATTCTAAACAGTGTTGCTACTGAGATTCACATGCCAGGAAGCACATCAGTAGACTGACCACAAAATATAATCTCACATACATAATAAGTAGTGTAAACATGTTACATCACCGACGAATTGACTCTGAAAATTACAGACCATAAGACTAGAGTCGAAATAAAGTATGTTTGAATAGACTCGTACCAAATATATGTTAATGTTGTTAACTGGTGTGAACAGCTATTGCTCAAGTCCATTTGATAACAACTGTCCACTCGTGATAAATTATGATAATTTGTAACAAAAAAATGTAAATAATATAGTGTAAAGATGTTACGAGAACATTTTTTTCAATACACATTGCCCAATCGAACGGAGCAGTTTGATGAATGAACTCCGTCTGTGCTGAAGCTATTTTAATGCCAGTCAAAACATCCTACATTTCCCAGCATTGAATACATTTCATGTTCTTGCTCTGAGAGTGGTTGTGTTCATTTCTATCAGTCAATAGTCTCACGGCCATCACGTATTCCGCTCGTCTGATCTTCGGTGTCCAAACATTAACAAGTACGCCATAAGCGAGTACGCCATAAGCGAGTACGCACGTGCTAATTCTTATTTTTGGCACGTACAGCTCGTGATTCATCTTATGACGTTATCTTCATCAAAACTATTCAATAAATATTGTTGCTTTTCACGACCACCACCAACCATCCTATCTATATGTTATGTGACTCCCACCATCAACACTGTACATTAGTATCCACTGCCGTACGCCTCTTTAATGTTCGAGTTCTTTTATAGTTCTGTCCTTGTAAATAAAATATTATTCGAGAATTGTTTCAAATACTAGTATTTCGTGTCCTTCACTAAAATAGTTCACCAAAATTAATGTCCGCTTAGTAAATAATTACCCTGAGATATTCCTGATACAAATTAACCTAAATGTGATAATTTTCCTCCTTAAATAATATCAAATGTGCGAACAGTTGCCAAAAATACCAAAATCTAAGAGATGACGATAACCGGGCTCCAGTTACAGCTGAATTATCACTGCTCCGCTTGCGTCATTGAGACTTAAGATATCATTAATGTGATGACAAAATGTGAAAACTCTGTGATTTTTTTAATTACGGGCCAATTATAGAAATAAATAACAAAGAAGGCCTTCAAGAAACACGAGTACTCTAATCTGATAACACAATAAATAAATTCAACCTTTATAAGCATCAAGGAAAGTTGGCAATATTTTTAAAGATTTTCCTTGTGCTATTTATTGTTAAGGAAGTTTCCTATTTTTTTAAATGCGACAATATTTACCGTAAATATATATTTCATAAATATGCATGTGTGTACTGCATCGATACAATGTGTGTGTACAGCATCGGAACTCTCAAGGCATGGTGTTCTCTTGTGACGTATTTCACAGCATGAGTCATTGATATGCGAGATCTAAACAGAGCGGCGTGTGCGCAGATTGTCGGAGGTGGCCGAGGAGTGGGAAGAGCCGGATACTAAGAGGCGGTGCGAGAGAGAGACGGGCGTAAAGATAGAGTGCGATGACGCGAACGATGCGTACGCGTTCGCTCTGCCCGCCGCGCCCTCGCACGCGCCCAGCGCCACTGACACTGCGCCCGCCACACTACCGATTCCCGCGTACGTTACCTGCACACTTATTATGAACATATTACTGTATTACTTTATGTCGGGAATGTTGGCGGCGCAGCGTTAGCAGAGATTACATATACATTAACATTAATCTATGGGGAACTTGCAGTTTTCTCGTAGAGGACGGCAGATCGATTCTTACCATCACACGCTTGGATCTCGACCTGACGCTGCGCCTCTATAGAACTGCCCATTTTGTCTGTATTTGTCGAATACTAATTCCTTGGATAAACACATTGCTACTATTTGTTTACTCAGAGCAAGTTGTATCGAGGGTTTTAACGCTTATGCCATATCATAGTCATAATACAAATTGACTGAATGGTCTGTTTTTATCATAAAATTCTATTCTATATATAGAATATCAAATTCATGATAATTATTACTAAGACGTCATGTGGTATCCATTGATTTACATAAATAGCACGTCCAAGAATTATAACAATCTCCGTCACACTAATAACGTGATAATCAGTAATGTTATTATCAACATCTGACTGATATCAAACATGAAATCACAATCGTTATCTATCCATTTGTCTGATACTTTAATTAGGTCAGGCGAAGTATTCTAAAATCAGAGGAATTAATTTAAAATTTCTTGCTACCCTCAGGATCAAAGCCGGTTCCAGCATTTCTAGTCCAAGCATAGCAGAGACGACAGGCAAAAGGTTTCAAAATCCAACGTATTGGTCGTACGGGAAACTGGAGAGTAGCGGCAAGCTAGCCAATAAGTATGCTAGTGGAGGGAAATTAGGGGGGAAATTGGGTGGTAAATTATCAGGAAAGCATGGTGGGAAATTAGCCCAGGCTTTGGCGCGAAGAAGAGCGCTGGCAGCTATGACACACTCAGGGCCGCCGGGATTATCGGCGCCGCTCTCGTGCAAATCTAGAGACGGGACGGTTGAGCTGCAGATACTGTGTCAACCGGAGACACAGCATAGAGCGAGGTTGGTCCTATTGAAGAGAAGAAAAATAACATAATGTTAAGGGAAAAAATTCTATAATATTTCTTATTTTTCAGATATCAGACTGAAGGTAGTCGAGGAGCAGTTAAGGACAATTCTGGGAATGGCTTCCCTGTTGTGAAACTTGTCGGTTATGACAAGCCAGCTGTGCTTCAGGTACATTTTCATTTTATCCTAAAAATGACTGGTTATTTTACACTCTTGTGGGTGTTGACGTAAAATAACTGATGTTTGTTTAATTTAATTATTAAAAATTGCAGCAATTTTTTTAATAACATAGATTTAAAATTCAATAAAATATTTCACCACAGGTATTCATAGGTACTGATACAGGGCGCGTGGCCCCGCACATGTTCTACCAGGCGTGCCGCGTGTCTGGAAAAAACTCTACGCCCTGCAAAGAAAGAAAAGAAGATGGGACTGTTGTCATTGAAATAGACTTGGAACCGGCAAAAAACTGGCAGGTCACTTGTGACTGTGTGGGAATTCTGAAGGTTAGTGCCTTTTATAACAGTTAAACTACTTTTTATTGAAATTATATGTTTCATAAGAATTTTTCCTTATTGTATAACACGTTAAGTGAGATTAAACCATTAACTTTAATATCAACAAATTTTTATCCGTGACCTGTTTGTGATCTGTAACTAAATAATTCACATTTTGGCCAGTTTGTCACGTGCTTTATCTCTGCATCACTTCAAACAGCCCTCTGACCCGAGTATCGCGGATGCTATCTCGGGTTAACGTTTCTTCACTCACTGGAATGTTATTGTTATTCGTTCAAACAAATATACTCCGTCTTTTAAATAACTAATGAGGAAATATATATATGAATTATGATATAACGCCACGACTCCTAAGATTTGGTATGCTTTGTTTAATTTACCAGATCAGACAAAATTTGTTTTAAAAAAAAACATAGGTCACGGCTACATTACATGATTGAGGAATATTTAATGTATTAAATAATAAAAGTTTTATATATTTATGGACCTCTACAGAGTGTGTCACTAATGTAATGAACATCTCCCTATCGCCAGGAACGTAACGTGGATGTAGAGCACAGGTTCGGCGAGGCCCTGGGTGGCGGTGCGGGCGGCGTGCACGCGGCGCGGGGGAAGAAGAAGTCCACCAGGTGCCGCATGGTGTTCCGCACAGAGATACTCGACTCAAACGGACAGACGGAAACACTACAAGTCTGCTCCACACAGATCATATGCAGTGAGCATTTATATAACATTATATTATTCCTCCTGTCTCTCACTTCAAACTCTAACTGTCGATAATGACATGGCAATTGCGTTTGTATCGAACTTACTATTCTTCATGAGAATTTGGCAGACTTTTGTCTAGTGTATCAGACTGTTGATATTAATAACATTTCTTCTATGCCACTTATAGCCCAGCCTCCCGGAGTACCGGAAGTGTGCAGGAAGTCGCTGGTGTCGTGTCCGGTGACGGGCGGCCTGGAGCTGTACCTGCTGGGGAAGAACTTCCTCAAGGAGACCAGGGTGGTGTTCCGAGTGAAACACGACGGGGTTACCTGGGAGGAGGAGGTCGTCCCCGACAAGGAGTTCCTGCAACAGGTACATTGATTATTGTGGAAATTATGTACTGTTATATAGATTCGAATAAATTCGTGAGCGATAAGCAATGGCGCTATCAAGTTTTAGTTAGTTGGATTAGGTGAAGGGACTAAATTCCTGTAAGAAAGCTAAGAAACATTATACATAGCTGTATCTTCGATGTAATTGCTATCCATGTACTGATTTTCCCTGGTGATACTCCTCAGACGCACCTGGTGTGCTGCGTGCCGCCCTACTCGCGCCAGGACGTGCAGGAGGCGGTGTGCGTGCAGCTGTTCGTGCGCTCGGGCGGCAAGTCCTCTGAGCCGCACGCCTTCTACTACACGCCGGTGGGGGCGCGCGCCATGCACTGCACGCAGCACCCCGCGCACACGCCCCTTACCCCCCACACCGCACACACAGGTAACGCAGCGGCCCGCCCGCCACGCATCTCCTTACATTATAGTCTATGGTTGGCCCGTGAGCCGGTGTTGTCTGATGATCGTTGCATGTCGACTAACATAGCCCTAGATCACACGTGCTTGTATAATAACGACGAGTGTGGCTTACGATTAATGTTAATATGAACTATTGCTGTACCTACTCCGATGTGGCGATGAGCTTGCCGACCAGTTTCTGTGGTGCTTTTAATATCTTAGCTATAACTTATCTCTCACACTCAACTATTTGATAGGATTCACTGTTAACGAAATTTTTATTTGTAATTTTATTAATGGCGATCCACGGTTTATATTAATTATGTTTTTTAGTTGAATTAACGTCAATTTCGTGTGGTGACCGACTAATTTCGCATTAGCTGTAACACGACCCATTAACCTGGAATGTTCAGTTTGAGAGGTAAGAGATAGTGGATACACAGTCTGCTCACTATATATCAGAGTATTTGTAACACCAGAGCCAGTTTCTGCTCTATATGTATGTCTGTGTCGCGCTAGCCTGTGTGTCCACTCGTCCCTACCGACGAGCTCTCGTTAACGCCTAACAACAGCTTGTCGCATGCGCGGAGGACGCTCTCTATGCTAGTATAGTGATGTTTGGAAGAAATATACTGATTCGTATATGCGTACTGTTTCTTTCCCGTCTGTTCAAGCTAGGTCTGTCTAGGTATCGAGCACGGCCGCCGCCAGCCGCCGCCGCGCCCCCCGCTACGGTACTGACACGCACACACACGCACACGAGCATACACACACACACACAAACACGCACGTACACGTCCACGCACACACTCACGCACAGACAACACGTTATTAATGATCCTCGATCAACTTTTCCGTTAACAGAAATGAGAATTTATAAGAACCCAAACATTTATATACAATTTGTACTGCCTCCGTCGTATCGGTAAGAAGTAGCTCGTAATAAATGACACTTGTCATACAACTACTAAAACGACTTATATATAACGAAACACAAAAAAACATATACTATTTAGGAACAAAATGAACGCCGTTTTTTATAATTTTTTGATTTTTTAAATCCACGTTCTAAATTGTACTTCCCACTATCCAGCGACAGAAGATTTCTCTTCTCATATTGATTTTGATTAATACGACTATCCATTGTCTCACTTGTTTCCAATCGTAGCAAAAAAAATACAGAAGAATCCGGAGGAAAATATCATCGTTTATAATATAGGATAGGACATTAAGTGCTTGTTATGATTAAGTTACCTGTGCTTGAGGCAAACGTTATATTATATGATAAAATTTAATTATACCGCTTTATGAATATGAACTCACATAATTTTATATCTCCAACAGTAGTGAACGATAAAAAAACACATTGCAAATAAACAAGACCTATCGTTATGACACTATGTCACAACACACAGCATTCACATGGCAGTGACACGACCCTAGGTCCGGAGCACACTCCCCACATGTAGCTAGTTGCCTTTCGTGCCAACAACTTAATTATTTGTCTTCATATTTAATACTACTACTGAATCCATTTCGAACTGTTTCAGCCTACCCTCGCTCTGTACCCTCAATCTATGTTCTTGTCATCTATGATATCGAACCTGAGATGACATTTCTGACTTTTTGGGAATGCTAAATAAGTTAAAACATATATCTAACGATTTTATTCGGACCTGGGAATGTTGACCGACGATATAGGGCGACAATGGAAATGGGTTCAGTAGTCGGGCACGCAGCTAGGTGTCTGTGTTCTGTGGGCCCGTTGTAACAGTTAGTGTGTGCAGGTGAGGCTGCTCTCATGCCGCCGCCCCTCGCCCCCCTCGCGCCCCTCCCGCCCGCTCGCCGCACCTCTCTGCTGCACGACCCTCACTCTCCGCTGGGACTCAAGAGCGAGGTTCGTTACAACATCTTTTTATATCTCTGTTTATGTTGAAATACTTTTCTCTTTTGTTCTCTGTCATCTTTACGCCTGTGGTAAAACGTTACTCACCCGTGTCTCTGTCTTGATCTTCTATCTAACTTTCCTCGTGCGCTGATCCGTTATGTTACGTGGTGACGGTTGTGTGGGACGCAGGTGGACGAGTCCAGTCAACACTCGCTGCTGGAGGGCGAGCGCTCGGAGCCCGACGCGCCGCTGGCCGACGACATCATGGACCTGCGGCTCAAGTCCGAGACCATCACCTGCGACTCGCAGGCACAGGTCAGAACACACACATACGCTTTCCAAAGTTTTACCACTTGAATACTCGAAATGGCCGCGTCCGTTCACCGTTCTAAACTATTCCTCCATTACTGATACGCGAACAGGTGGGTTTCGTGAGCGGCTACGACTCCATCAAGCTGTCCCCGAGCACCGCCTCCCGGGACGAGTCCCCGTCCGTGATCGCGTCCTTCACTCAGCAGCTGCAGGCCATACAGAACCAGGTGCAGACGGACAAGATGGTCGAGTCCGTGACCGCCGCCATCTTCAACTCTGACAACGCCGGCCAGATGTACGAGCAGCCGCTGCTGCCCATCAACACCATGGACACCATGCAGCGGATCATGTCCGCCAAGACCGCCATGGACCCGCTGGACCGGGACATGAAGGTGCTCAACTCGGACCTCATGATGACCAGCGACCCCATGCAGACCGGCGTGCTGCAGACAACCAGCGAACAGAGACTCATGGTGTACGAGCAGGTGCCGCCGGCCCGCGAGGACGGCTTCAACCCGTTCGGAGCCATCGGCAAGATGGAGGCCACTCAGATTAAACAACGGCTGGCCCAGCAGACCGCGCACATGGACGCGCTCGTGGAGGACGCCATGCGCTCCGCCGGCGCCAGCATCATGCCCGGGGACGCCGCCAAGCTGGACGAGCTGGTCAACTCGCGAGTGGAAGACCACCTGGGCGGCGCGGGGACCTCGCCCTCCGGCGCCTCGCACGCCTCCGACGTGCTGCTGAGTCCCGGCGCGGCGGTGGTGCCGCGCACGTCCGACCTGCTGCTGCCGCTGGCCGCCACCACCATGTCCCCGGACGTGATCCTCGACCCCCAAGTGTCCCCGTCCATGCTGTGCGACTCCTCGCAGCGCATCGTGCTCCCGCCGCGGTCGCAGGACGAGCTGATGATGATGCCGGACATCCCGTCGTCCGTGAAGACGCCGCCGGCCGCCGTCAAGTCCATGATCCTGAACGCGGCGGCCGAGATCCTGACGTCGGACCGCGCCATGAACGCGCTCGTCACGTCCGCCATCAACACGGCCAACATGGCGGCGGCGGACGCGGCGCCGGCGGACGAGCCCGCGGCCGCCATGTCACAGGCCGTGTCCCAGGCCGTGACGCAGGCTGTTTCGCAGGCCGTGTCACAGGCGGTGTCGCAGGCCGTGTCGCAGGAGATGACGGCGCCCGTGCAGGGCCTCACGGACATGAGCGACCAGGACCTGCTGTCCTACATCAACCCCAGCACCTTCGACCAGGGTGAGTACGACATCGACATGTTCTAGACGCAGCCTCGCTGCAGGTTGTTCGAGCTACATTATACTTTAACATTTAGTTTTATCAAGTGTGACAAATTTTATGTAGGATTAGTGGGTTTGGTATCTTGTTATATTACTTGTTTAGAAATCAATCGGGTTGTGCTTTAGTTATGGGTGCCCACGGGTCGACTTTTCAAAGAAAGGAGGTTCACAGTTCTATTGAGCTGTGAGCGGTTGTCCCAGTGGTATTGTTTGAACTTTATTTTGTTTAACTTTTCCTTTTGATAGTTTTTTTTTGCTTTTTTATGATTGTTTTTGATTCATTTGTTAGTTTAGTTAAGGTCGGTTGGGGTAGTTAGGTACGAGGAAATATATCTCCCCTTAGTTGGGACGATTTACATGTCTTTAGTAACGTAAGATAGTTATACTCTTCACAGTCCTTTGGACTCCTTGGTGTTGTAATCTTTTGTGTTTTATTAGTTGCGTTTGTTAATTATTCTTATAATAACTGCCTCTTCTTGTTCTTCTATTATATTTCTCATATTATAAAGGTCGTGTTGTGACAGAACTGACTTATGACAATAACATAGATACAGTGATACCGACACACCGAGACATTTTAAAAATATAAACAGCTCGGTATATTTATGTTTTTGTTAAAGATCCTATAAGTTGTTGTTTGTTTAACATATTTTTGTAATGAACTGTTATGAAGGTATACGAGTTTGTTTATGATGTTTATCTTGTTTCGATGGCTCCGTTGTAGATCTACTTATATGTCACCTTTACTAATATATGTTATATAATATGTACTAAGTACTAACTAGAAATCATTTTCCAGTGTGAGGCGTCGCCGTGCCCGCTCCATTCACGCGAACCGGTTTCAAAGCAGTTTTTATGTGAATTATTAATAGATGTCACTAGCTTAAATTAAGGCATTATATTCTCTATGTGACCACATATGACTGGTTTTCGTGTAACGTTACGTAGGACGATTGGGTCAATTAAACATGTGAGTCAGTATTACAGGGCTTATTATTAAAAAATAAATGCAATTACTACAAACCACAAACAACACAGTACCCACATGCATTTGGAAATGTAAACTCATTTATATTAATGTTTGTCAAACAACCATTGAAATGTATCCTTGTCTTGATGTAGCATTCTATGAATTCCATCGATGTTTTTTTAAACGTCAGAAGTATATCCCAATATAGAAAATTGTATTTTTGTGTTTTTTCCAAATAAGTGTTATAAACGTTAATGTGGTTTTAAGATTTTTATCATTTCGAATTTTATAATGTAAATATTAAAATATATATAAATAGCTTTGTATTTATGTGGTTATCGACTCGGTGTGGCGGCCATCTAACGAACGTGTGACGTACAAACAAAATGGCTTCTTAGATTTTATTGGTTTATAATCTGTACTCCACACGCACATGAAGCGCGCACAAAATGACAGTTCTTTTATAAAAAGTTTCTCAAATGCCAAAATCTATCGAGAATTCTGTTTGGACGCGCCGCCATCACCGTTATGTATTTAAATATGTCTGTGTATAATCGATTTATTGATCAATTATCATTTTTTATAATGAAATACAGACTATGAAGTTTGTTTAGGTTGAAAGCCAAAAATTTTGATAATTATATTACACAGACGCAGCCGTGAATGTAAGGTCCAGTTTCCACTGATAACTTATTAACAAAAACAATGACACGCGATTTGTATATATTTATAACTGTATGACCAAATAAAGTGGATCAAAGGACATGTTCGATTAAAAATTGTTTATTCCTAAGATAGAAGTAGCGTTACACGGCGATGTACATAATAGAGAGGTTCGTAATAGAAGAAGATAATCATTTGTTTTATGAAAGTTGCTGCGTGTGTATTTCAACACTAGTAAGGTATTGAAGACGATGTATGTCGCCGTGTAATGTGACCGAGCTTCAACTCGACCAGCGGACACGTGAGGGAGGCCTAGTTGTTGTATGTCGAATGCTACATATTGATGTGCCATTTACTGTATGTGTATCTTAGAGTAGTTGATGTCATCGAAAGATTGTTACGGCCGACGCTACACTGCTACTGAGTGAGCGGACCCGGCGGGCCCGGCGGGAGGTAATGAAAACTATTTTTATATAACGTACGGAACTCCCCATTGTTCAGAGTTCACACCGCTCGCTGGGACCCGACCGGTTCTGACGGACCTGGGGCCGCTTGATGACGTACGTAGGGACCACGCTACAATATTACAGTTTTTATATATATAGTTATATTACATTTACATATATAAGCATAGGATTTAAAAGATGCGAAGTTGACTACCACAGTTGCTATTGACGTGTTGAATCTCTTCTCAGGTCTTTGTTGTTGAATATTGAAATGTTGACTAAAATTATACACATTATATATATATAGATGTCTGTTGTATCGTGAGACGAAGTCCGAGTTGTATCCATAGTTGAATTAAATATACGTGAATTTTTGGAATATTGTTTTTTACTTAATTATATATATTATATATTGTTTGTTGAGGCTTTGTATAAGTTTGTGACTATTCGAACTACCTGTAATATATTACAATAGTTTTTATATCGAGTCGAAGTTTTGTAAGGCATCACATTTTATCAAATTATATACACAAATTGTTATCAGTCTTCCATTTATTTTATTTCTACCGGTTCTATCTGACTACCAGTCGGCGTCGTCCAAGCGCCTGTGTTTTCGGATGTACATAATGCTTCCAGAGGGACTGTCCGTGTGCTGTAGCATAGATCTCTAGTCGGCCTCAATCAATGCAACTTGCCGAGCGATTACGATGATCGTCTTTATGTTATTTGTTTTGAGTAATTAATTAAATGTTATAAAAACCATCGGCTGCTTTCATTTCTCCCCCCCCCCCCTGCTCTGTGTGACGTGACAGGTATAATAAAAGTCGTTCATTACAGCACTCCATTTAATCGATTCTATTTATACAAACGTATCATCGTAACATTATTTATATATATATAATTACATCCATCTTATCCAAACAATTTCCTAAACGTTAAACCTATCCTTGTACCCGACGTGTTAGATGCCCAGATATGAACAGAGACAGAAGGTGCAGAACAACACGAAGATGATGAGCAGCACGGCGACCCAGGCCGGCATCGACCCTGGAACGTGGAATATTATAGATTAGTATAGAGCAGTCTCACATATAGAACGATATAGCCCTCTTGGGCAGGTCTTAAAGGAAATGGTTAGAGACAAAGAAATACGTAGGGTGTTTTGTAGAAGCCTGGGGGATGATTTTGCAATCTTATTTAGCTTGGATAGTGATAGTGATTTTTCAGTAACAGAAATAATTTATTCTTAAAGTAGGTAGTAGACAAAATAAGTTTTTGAATTCCTGGTATTCCAGTCAGGAATAGGTGATTCAGTCACTCAGTTTCTGTTTATTAGAATATAACTAATAGTCCAGGATCCATGGCTGGTTTTTGCTCTTGATTACTAACAATCTAACTTTCCGTGAGTAGCTTCGTTTCATTGAGACGCCCAACTTTTTCCTTTGCGATATTTCTTGATAGTGGTAGCTAACTAAGCTAGTAGAGATAAAATATGTTGATTTGATAATTTATTACTAACTGGATTTATTTATGTTAAATCTTATGATAATTATGTAAATTATTCGAAAAACAATTTGTCCCACAAAATTTATGGTTTGATCAAAGAATCCTCCTCCTTTCAACAAGTATAGATAACGAGGTCATCGCAAGTTATTACTAAATAGCAGATTTTTTTTAAATTTACTTAGTTAATATTTATATAATTTAACAGTAACATTGTCCTACAAGTTGCTTGGTACGTTATCCCGGTCCTACACTTAAAAGTAGTTGTACTGATCATAGATAAAAAAATAATGACTATCAAGCCAAATCTTTGTGAGTAGTTCCATTTCAATGAGACGACCAACTTTTTCCTGTGCGATAATTCTCGATTGTAGTAGGTAACAGAGGTAGCAGGGATTAAAATTGTTGATTTGATAATCCTCCAAAATTTATTACTAACAGGATTTTTTTTATTTTAAATCTTATAATAATTACCTGAATTATTCGAAAAAAAAATGTCCTACGAAATATATGGTTTGATCAAAGAGTCCCCCTCCTTTCACCATGTATAGATATTACGAGATCATCACAATAATTACTTACTAGCTAGATAAATTAATAAATTATCAAATTTTAAGTATTGAAAAGATGAATTTCAAATCATTATTCATTTAAGCACGAGTAACAAAAAATGTACTTAAACATCAACGAACTTTATGCCAAGCTTGGAGATCAATTGTCTTGTTCACTCGCCATATGCCATATTTTTACATTGAATGATTATAATCCTGCATTCTTTCGTATGGGAAAAAAGAAAACTTTTAGTATAAAAAAAAATAGTTTTTAAAAGGGCTTTATTCAACTCTTACCAATGGAAAATACGGCACTAACAACATCGAATAAGTTAGTTCAAATTATTGAAGAGTATGTATGTAGAATGTATTCTTTAAAAACAAAAAAATGATATTAACAAAGGGCGGTATGAGTTATTTGAAAAAGGGTACAAATCAAAAAAATAAAATGAAGAAATAGGATATGATTCTTCTAGTTTGCCACCACCAAAACAAGAATTGTTGCAAAAAAATTAAAGAACTGCATTCATCTGCAATATATGGTGTAATGCACACATGCGGTGCCCCACGAGAAAAATTGCCAGAAAATTTTGGGTGAACAATTATTGATGGCAATTATGAATTTTATTGGTTTGATGGTCCCTAAAGTCCATCTTTTGAGGAAATATCTTCTGACATACAAGGTACCCTATTAATACTATTGTTAATTATTGATTTATTACGTATATAATTATCTAACTTTTGTCATGTTATTACAGAGTCAGATATCACATAAGGACAATGAAATAAATAAAGATAACAGCGATGTAAACAGCGAAGATTCATTAGATGAATCTGATGAAAATATATTTTTGTTTATGTAAATGTATGTAAATACACAAATTTATTTACTCATCTCACTAAAAACTCAAGTTTATTTAATTAAAAAAAAGAATATTTTCATTATATCTTATGTTATAACGAAAAAATCACAATTCCTGTCGGATAAGTGATACATCCCTGTTTTTTTGTAGGACAGAGCTTAATTTGGGCAGAGATCACACTAATCTATCATGTGGCATTTCGTCCTACAGTTAGTAATGAGAAAAATGGTCTTGTGGCATCAACCACTTTTAAGCGTAGGACCGGGATAACGTACCAAGCAACTTGTAGGACAATGTCACTGTTAAATTATATAAATATTAACTAAGTAAATAAAAAAAAAATCAGCTAGTTAGTAATCACTTGCGATGACCTCGTTATCTATACATGTTGAAAGGAGGGGGATTCTTTGATCAAACCATAAATTTTGTGGGACAAATTGTTTTTCGAATAATTTAGATAATAATAATCATAAGATTTAACATAAATAAATCCAGTCAGTAATAAATTTTGGAAAATTATCAAATCAACATATTTATATCTGCTAGCTTAGTTAGCTACCACTATCAAGAAATGTCGCAAAGGAAAAAGTTGGGCGTCTCAAAGAAACGAAGCTACTCACGGAAAATTAGCTTGTTAGTAATCAAGAGCAAAAAACAGACGTGGATCCTGGACTATAAATGAAGATGCAAAAAAATTATTAAATTTTACTGCATATTAAAAGAAATCACCGACAGATACGTATATCTCTGTAACTGTGTATCATAGTCGTGTGTATGTGTGTTTGTGTGTGTGTGTGTGTATGTGTGAGTGTGTGCGTGTGTGTGCCTGTCCGTGTGTGTGCCTGTGCGTGTGTGTGTGTGTGTGTACCTGGTGATGGCAGCGTGTGGACAACCAGTCGGTTGTCGACGGAGATGGAAAGCAGCGCGGCCTCGCAGTGTGGGAGGGACGCCGCGCGCGCCCACTGCACGCCCGTCACGAACATACCGTGGGCACCCGACACGTGGTACACGCGCTGGGACAGACACACATACATACATACAGGAAAGGAGATAACGATTATACAAGGAGCAAAGAAGAGATAGAGAATGTTTGCCTAATGAGATCCAAGATTTTCGCGAGTCTTATTCATTTAAACGAAACTAATATTTTTATGATTATACTGAATGTCATTCACATCTCGTCTGTCCGTGATAACGATTGCTGAAAAGTCACCGAAACTTTGTGAGTATATAAATTTACAAAAAATAAAGTCGCGTAGTACCTATATACCGAAAAATACTAGTTTCATTTAAATGAATGTTTGGCTAAATTCATTAAGTTAATGAAAGACTTCATCGTGTGGAGGCTCGAAAGGTTCCGCATATATTAATAAAGAGTAATATTTACTATACATATAAGGATGACTCACACGGGCATGTCAAGTGAGTGACAAGTGTTATCAAAACCAACTTTGATTCCTTCCATATCTTTCAATATAAACAATAACAGGGTCAATGGACTTCATTTTCAATACAAAAATACTTATAAAGCACAACTGCTTACTCTTACATTGCTCCATATTTCGAAGGAAGAGAAATAAAAATTTAACTATTATATTGTGATTCAGTTTTAATCTACATGAGACCTATCTATCTGTATACCTGTAAACTGAACGCCACGTATATGTGTATGGATCCAGTGAACATGGTGCCCACGCCCACGTACCGCCCATCATCCCTGACGGCCAGCGCGGACAGGGACTCGGCCACGACCACGGTGCGGCAGACCTGCCCGCTCACCGGCTCCCACTGCTGCAGCAGACCGCGCGCCTTCCCCGAGCGCGTCAGTGGATTCGCGATCGTGAACATGCGATATTTTCCCTTCACGTCTTCTATCGCCCCGAACCTGGAACAGTAATAACGTGAGTTGTGACGTCATCACGGCAGAGGTCTGTCACCGCTGGTCCTTACTCACTTGCACCTCCTGAACAAATACCGGCCGCCGTGCGTCTCCGGACAGCTCAGCTTCATCTGCGGAGCGCCACCAGTCTTAGCGTTCCACACCAACAGCAATCCATCCTTGGCGATACTCACCAGCTGTTTACTACATGGACTGAAATCTAGGTCGTCCAACTAGAAAAACGAAAAAGAAAACAGATCAGAACTAAATTTTAATATGTATTATATAAGAATGCATAATACATGGTTCAAGAATAACTGGTTTACCATTAATGACAAATGGAATGTATTTAATTGGCTTTTATGTGGTGAAGGTTATGTACCTGTTACATTTTCTATACATCTTATAAAGAAACTAATCCATGCTTCTCTTCCTAACACTTCCTCACACATTTAGATATAGTTAATAAATAGAATAAATATTTCAAAAGTTCTTGTATATATCTTATGCACAGAATAATTGACTATAAATATGATCCTCTCTTTTGGATTTATTTATTAATCATCAACAATGTATAATATCTTGGATATCCTAATAGAATATTTTGAAAAAAAAATTTTTTTTTTAATTCTTATAAAAAAAACAGAATGATAGCTTATAAAACAATAATATATAAGTAAGTAGGCAATATGCAAGTTATGTAAAATATGTATTTTAGTTTTGTTATTCCAAGAAATATTAATCAAAAATATTCAAACAAGTTATATGAATGTTGTTGACTGATTTATTCTTGTTCTTATAAATATTTATTTTAACCAATAATAATCATTCAAAACAAGCAACACTTAAGAACACAAACCTCTTTGGTGTGACCGTTTAATTCAAATAATAGTTGCATTTTAGGAAATGACCACAGTCTAACTTTGCCGTCGACACCTCCAGTTGCCATCAGCTTACCATCATGGCTGATTGTTACCACCCTCTGTAAGGGATCTTTACTGAAAATCATGTAAATTTATTTTATATACACGGATTAGATGGTGTTGTGATCATTATGTGAAGTTAGGAAAGCGGTAACCATAAGAATGAAGGACAAAAACCTTTATTTAATCTCTGATAATAATGACTATCTTGATACTACTAACCCAAAGTCAGTTTGTACACTGTCACATGGCCTTATTTCGAAAGACATTCTTTTCTCTGGGCCACTATTTTTTGATATGTTATCATTCTCTGAGACTGTTCGTCGCCGACGCACGAGCCCATTCTCCGCCCTGAAGCTCCCGCGACGCATCTCTGCAGGGTCCACCATTTTCACATTGACTTTATATAACTGACAATGACTCTCCTGCCCGGCCGCCAGATAGATACGATCTTCGACGTTCTGAACGGAACATGTCATCACGACGTTCGGACCAGTTTCGTATCTCATCACCTCTTCGGCGACAAATTTTGTGCCATTGTAGGATAACTCGAAAATTTCCTGAAAGGGACAGATACCTGACAAATTAGGGAATTAAAAAAATATATACACTGCTAAACATATTCCTTTAATATCGAATTGCTGACGCGTATCTCTTTGTAGATGTTACTTTGCGAACTACCATGTTTTCAATAACAAAACTATGTAAAAACTTACGAAACCATTTGCTACGCCTGTATTTGACGCTCCACCGCCTCCTGCGACGAGGACATGACGGTCTGTGAGGGTCTGGAGTGTGTAAAGAGGAAAATCTACTTTCGCAAGTAAACCATCACATCTATTACGAGACATCTTCACTTATTTCATTTAGATTATTCTTTTTACACGTCCTCTCACGGTAAGAAACACTTCGAATTAAGCAAAAATGGCCACATAAGTATATCTACCGAAACTAATCAAGAATTTACTAAAATAATATGTTTTATACTAAGAGATTAGAAACTAAACAACTGACTGGTCTTACTAGTTAGCACTAATAGTCTGAAACCTTTGCTTCCAACATGACAAAAGTCAAACTGACAGGATTCATTTACAAGGATAGTTCAAGATAATGAAGATCAAAATAAAAAGAATAAAAATATTCTAATTGGTTTTTGTATAACGCTTTTTGTGCAATTTTATTTCGGAATATTGAAATGTAATTAATATCCCTTATGAATTAACTTTATAAACATCGTTAAAAAATATGTTTGAATGTGCGTTTGTGACGTTACAGTCAATAATTTAGGATTTTAAAAGATAAGTATTTATGTTAAGAATTTTGAAGTATATAATATTATTATATTACTTTAAGTTTTTCAAATTATTTACATTTTCTTTTCAGATTCATATCATTCTATGTGAAAAATATATATTCCATGGTATATTAAATAGTAGAGTTCATAAAGAAACATGATATTATCATGCGGTAATCATAGTGTAAGTATGAAAAAAATTTGGAAATAGTTCAACATTATACTTTATTTTTGTGTACGTTAATGTTGTTAAAATTTTAGTTGACTATATCTTAGAAATAATAGAAAGATGCGGGTTAAAATAGGATTGTTAGACCAGTGCCGATAGCTTTTAATACATAATTAAATTATAGTAGAATGAAACTCATTAGAAAAGGAGGGGAATATTACAAAATTGAAAGGAAAAATAATTTACGCGCGATCTGAGGTCGGGAAGGGTATGGCGATGGGTATTTAAGGGTAAAAAATGGGTTTTCTCGATTTCCGGCAAAACTAAAAGTCCTACGGAAAAATGTTAAATGGCAAAGTTGTAGGTAATAAAAAGATCTAAAACTTTTGTTGTAACATTTTTTTCACATAACCTGAAAATTTATGTGATAAATTCGAAAAACCAAGTTTTTGGTTTTTATTTTTATCTCTTACAAAAATCAATTTTTTCTCACGAAATTTGGTGAAAAATTTCCTTTTGATGTTACAAATGCTCTGTAATTTATTTGATTAGAAATATTTATTTTTTCAGCTTATTTTGAATAAATACCGAAAAATCAGCCTCATTTTTAATCTAAAAATTACCCGTTAAAATATCAGCTATTTTGAAAAATTTGATATGTTTTCAATTTGTTGAAATCTCTATTTTCCGATGGTGAAGAAAAAAATATAAATTTCTTACTTGCAGTACCATTTTTGGATAAAATAATCATGTCCCTTTTAAAGAAATGACACTCGATATCGTTTGGAAAATGCTCTTTCAATTTATTTTTAATATTTTTAGCAGCTTAATGTCAATTTTCTGTAAATTACCTAAAAGAGGGACTATCTGGAGAACTTCCAGAGTACACAACTAAAATTAATAGAAACTAAAGAGTAAAAGAGACATGATTATTTTATCCAAAAATGGTACTGTAAGTAAGAAATCTTTATTTATTCCTTCACCATCGGAAAATAGAGATTTTATAACATCAAAAGGAAAGTTTTTACCAAATTTCGTGACAAAAAATTGTTTTTTGTAAGAGATAAAAATAAAAAACCGAAAACTTGGTTTTTCAAATTTATCACATAAATTTTCAGGTTATGTGAAAAAAATGTTAGTACTAAAGTTTTAGATCTTTTTATTACCTACACCTTTGCCATATAACATTTCTCATTAGGACTCTTAGTTTTTCCGAAAATCGAGAAAACCCATTTTTTACCCTTAAATACTCACGCCCGTACCCTTCCCGACCTCAGTTCGCCCGTAAAATATTTTTCCCTTAATTTTTATAATATTCCCCTCTTTTTCTAATGGGTTTCATTCTACTATAATTTATTTTCACTTTTCATCATTTTTAGAGGCATCTGCACTGGCCTATGTATAAAAACCCGGAAAATAACTTTAAATATAAGTTTTATAGGAGGAGTAAAAAGGAGTAAAAAATAAATGATTCCAAATAATAATTTCACTTTTATTATGAAAAAAATCCTTGTTCGTTTTATTATGAAATAAAAACCTGCACACTTTTTATATTAATACAAATAAAATAAAATCAAACCCAATAATATTAAAATATTTGTTCAAAGCTTTCTCTATAGAATTTAAATAAATACTTAAATTATCACTGAAAATGTAAACAATGAATAAGAAATTTAATACAAATATGAATAATGCTAATGCTTACAACAAAAAACAAATGATGTTCCAGGTCAGATTAATATACTTATATACTAAATAGAAATAATCACACAATAAAAGTTTAATTACTGTATCATACTTTAAGAGGTTAAACTTATATATTTAAATGTAGATTTGGTGTTATTTTATTTCATGTTTATATGTAGTACATATCAGATGGTAGTTAAACTTCTATGGGCGAATCAGTTTTAAAATATTTTTCATAACTAAATTAACACATTGTTGAATAGATCAAGATTATACGTATTATTTAGTATAAGGCAGTGTTGGTGTCTATATTGAAAATGATAAATCAATGCAGTACAATCTTCATCTTCACCTACTGGTTGACTAAATATATATTTGCTGTGGTAGGAGACTAGTATGTGAATATGATGGATCTAATGAGTCCATCTCTGATGGTGTCACAGTTGTGTCCGATGCCGAAGTTGAAGGAGACCCCCTCAGCGGTCACCTGTTGTGCACACAGACCAATCGGGTACCAGCCCACCTTGTTGAACACTATCGCTACCTTGTAGACCTGTCAATAAATAAGTAATAATTAATTACTATTAGAAATTATTTAGGCACTTGTATCGTATTTATAATGTTCAGAAGTAACATTTAGGTAAGGGTGGGTTATAATATTTGGCGCTAGTTCCCCTCATAAGTTTCCATTAAATAATAAATCACTTAACATTGTGCAAAACATGCTAAGGGTCTCATTATAAATTATAATACCAATTGTTAAGTATTTGGGCATTTAAATTACTGTACAGAAATATTATTAACATTAATTTACACTATTAAACCGAATAGAGATGGCGCTAGTTGACTATCATAAGAATTCCCAATAAATTTAAATATTAGAATATAAACAACGTGAAGCTTAGAATTGTGAAGTAGACAAATATTTAAATCATTATAAATAATTATTACTAACATTACATAAAGTCACTTATATATACAAACAAAATATAGGCGAAAGATGTGAAGGCAGAACTGATTAAAGATACGACTGCTGGTAACAAAAGTACCGTTTTAAGATATTATAACTATTATACTCTTCGAGTCTAATTTCAAAGTTCACGAAGATGAAGTCACGGGCAATAAGTACTAATGAAATTTAAGTGTACACTTGACCAGGGGTTCAAATATTCGTTTTATCTTAAGAAAATATAAATCATCCCCCAGAGCTCTAAACAACGCCCTTTTTTTTTTTGGTATCTTACCGCCTCCCCTTAGAGCGTTATCGCCTACTTCAGGAGAGACTGTCCTAGAGTTCTATAATCTTCTGGAGGGTGCTTATATTCCAGTAGCCTCATATTACCTTATTCTTCTGTATGTAGACAGGTCTGTTGAACATAATGTCCTGCAGATGTCTGTAAGGCACCCGGTGTGTGTAGTGTGTGTATGTGAGCCTCGCTCCGTCAGCGTCCAGAAGGTGAGCGTACAGCAGTTCGGAGTACCCTCCACCACCACAGACATATCCACCCGACTCCTCGCTGGGAGCCTGGGTCGGCGCCTGGATATATACGTATAAATATATATGATTTACATAGGCTTTGTATTACTTGGAAGAATTCTAAACTGTAGTTCCTAAGAATTAAGGAGAACTCATGAACAAAATACAGCTTTGATGAATACTTAACGTAGAGTACAAAGTAAAATAACTAATTGATTACTACTAAAATGGCTTGTTAGATGAAATTTACCTGAATTCCCAGAAGACAAATGTTCTTGTCGACCATGAATGTGACGGAGCAGTCCAGCGAGTTAGTGTTAAGACAGTCCGTGTGCTGCACCAGCGCCCTCTGGCAGTACATCTTGTGACCGTCGCTGTGACGCTCCAAGTGCTCCAACACGACCATACCGGACACGGGGTTGTGGATAGAAAGAGGTAACTTTACTCCTGGAAAACATTGGTTTACACTTTAGAGAACCCATTCGGATTACTATTTAATATTCATCATATCATAGTTGACTACAAACTAAACAACTGTTAAGTGTTTAAACTATTTTTAAACATTTTATCGACAACATTTTTGAACAAACTGACATGTTTTACACTAACACTACAGTCCCACATTTCTTATATAAGAGTAATTTTTTTAAATATTAGTGTTTATGTTAATTATAATGTCTAATAAATATATTCCACCCTACCATCGTGTCGGGATGGTCTGGGATGCAGCTCGCCCCATACTTGCTCCACACTCACTGGGCTCGGAGTGTCCACCGTGAACGTAGGCATCTGAATAATATAATATTGCATCAGAATTGACCACAGAGTCACTGGTAACGCATATCAAAATAGATTTAATATATATAAGGAGTAAAATATAAAATTGTTCAACAAACATTACAATTGGAACTGATGAGCTGTTTCCTCGGCACCCTGGAAGTGGAGAAGCCTTCAGGCAACGCTACATCAGTGTGGGCATTCAATATGTGCATGAGGACGGCAAACGCTTCACTCTCACTGAGCAGCACCGAGCGAGCTGGACCGGCTGCAAACTGCTGTGGAGACAGAGTCAAGAAACGAATCTTCTCCACAGCACGACGAATTGACGGCCTTTCCTTCTTATCTGTAGTATAAAAAAATACATATAACGTTCAAAATTTTACTAAATAATTGTTATTCAATATAAGTTGTACTTATAATTACACATATGTATCTCAGAATATTTTTATACATAAGTTTCTTTTACCTCCCAGCTTGTCTAAATGTTTTGTTTGTGTCGGAGCAGCTGTCTCAGCATCATTAGACTTGCAAGTGTCCATAATTGCTTCGGGGCTACTTTCAGCACTACTATCAATATTCACTACCTTCAAACATTACATTGGTTACTTTGTGTTAGATTAAATTCAACAAAATTAACAAAATATACACATATCGTCACGGATTGTGCAAATCTGCGTAACTACAATTGTATATAATTCCGCGTCTCTAAATTGGAAGCAGATTATCAGAAGAAAGTTTAAGATGAAATATTTTCTATATTAACAACTTTTAAGGTAATTTTTCCACAATTAGTAATTATTTAGTGTTTATTACCTAGTGTGAAAAATGATTCTCAAACATGTATATAGAAAATATTTTAGTTTAAACTCTTCTGATAATCGGCTTCCAATGTAGATACGCAGAATTATACAATGGTAGTTACGTCGATTTACACTATCCCCGACGATATATAAATTCATTCATTCAAACTCAAATATTTTAAAATGTTCTTCACTGTACAATACTAAAAGAAATTATTGGTTTACTATACACATGTTAATGTACACTTTTGTATCTTATTAATACCTGTTCTTCCTCCTGAGATGTTGAAGGGACGGGACTCTTTGCACGATTCTCACTTGCAGATGCTCCATCCGCTGGGGGGCTGTTTTCAACATTCCTTTTTTCCATTGCTTTTGCATATCTAAGGAACAAATTTATTATACAGTGGACCCCCCGGTAGTCCGACAAACATTTTGCAGGGCAGTGTCGGACTATCGAATTCGTCGTAGAGTACTGCCTAAGACCCCCTATAATCCGGATTTTTTTACAAAAGAGTACCTTGTAATCCGACAAATTACAGATTCAATAATATATATACATATTTACATATTATATATACATATGTACTTACATGTACTCTGAAGTACAAATCATACTTCATTATGTATGTCAAATTTAGTAAATTAGACAACAATAGAGAGCTTACGTCTTATTATAAAATCAACGTCATTAATGCTATAGAACTTACAAAAAAACAAATAATTGATCATGTCGGATTACAAGGGGTGCCGGATTAGACAGGGGCCGGATTACCGGGGGTCCACTGTATAGATGAAGAAGTATTTCAAAGTGCTAACATATGTGTTTAAATATATCATCAGGCACAGTGCAAAACTGTGTAACTACCATTGGATAATTCCGCGTATCTACATAGAAAGCAGATTTTCAAATGAAAATTTGCGCTGAAATAATTTCTAAATTAATTAATTTTAAGGTAATTTTTCCACAATTATTAATTATGTAGTGTTTATTACTAATTGTGAAAAAATTACCTTAAGTCATTAATTATCCAATGGTAGTTTATATTATTAGTAATTTCCACTATACTCGACAATATATAGTTGTTATCAGTACCTTACAGCAGCTTCAAACAGATCTAGTTCACTGTCCACATTGAGATGGTCTAAAGAGAACACAGTAATGACTGTATTGAGCTCCACCTCCTCAAAACTACTGTCATTTAGGACCTCTTTAGTGTTGGTGCTAATAATCTGAAAAGTATTATGAGTAGAGGTAATTACAAGAGGTGTTTTGATAATACTATAGCAAAAACATATTTATTGAAACCTTTCCATATTCAATTTCTACTTTAAATTTTGAAAACATAATTATTATATTAAACTACCTGAATACATTTTTCCATGAGCACATTCTCTTCGAACAGCCTCGCAAATTCATAAGCCCTACATGCATTTCTAGGGTACAGGTCGGACCATAAATATCTGGTGCATTCTTTAACCAGATGTGGCAGCATATACTTCTTGGCGCCGTAACATAACTCGCAGGCTTTATCGAAGGAACTAATGTTTATATTGCCTGTGTAAATGTATCTAAAAGTACAGTTTTACTTTTTAATGGTATATACTTTCTAAACATATTTAACATGTCATATAGATAGAAATTATGTAATAAAAATGTATTTGCAATTAAAACATACTCTAAGAGAGCTTTAAAGGCATCTATTTGGACGTCTACGATTGGTATTGGTTCATTTCGTTCAGCCATCCCACCGTAAAACATAGCTTCGAACACAGGGGATGCCATCGCTAGGATGAGCTTATGACCGACCACAACCACTTGGTTGGGCTCGTTTCCTACCAAGAAAGTGCAATCAGACCACTGGCCTGTTTGAAGAAGGTAGGCCCCCCGTTGCTTCAATTCAGTACATTCAAGCTGCCAGTCCGTCGGTGCCGAAGCCATTGTATCTTAATTAAACTTATAATAAATTATTTAGTATTATATTTCTATGATATTCAAGTATGTGATAATATTCCTGATTGAGTATTTATTTATTTATGAATTTCACATACAAAACTTCAAAAACAATTGACCTTAACTGACACTTAACTCATGAAGATTATGAAAATGACGTACTATAAAAACATTTAGGTAGAAAAAGTAATGACTTTTTACTTCTATATATTTATATCATAGAAATTTTAAACCCTCCTATTAGTATTTATAATGATATCCTGATAGTTAAAAAAAACTTTTTATTAAATTGTTCAAATAATAATCGTACATAATTATATTTTTAATTATGAGGAGAAGAATATTAGATAATGTATTTTGTTTCTTCTTAATTAAATTCAGATAAATATTTTTCTTAATCGTATTAAAATATGTTTAGTTCTTAGTAAGTTCGGTTTTAAAACTGAGTTTAAAATCGATACTCAATGTCACAAATGTCAATAATTCGTATACGAAAAATAAGATCTTAGTTATGTCAGGAAATTATTGTTACTTTAAATTTTTTAATTAATTAAGTATTAATATAAAATGAATCACGAAGAAATAAAAGCCGTTGTTCAGGAAAAGTTTCTATCCAGTGAAAAAGTAACGGCATTTTTGTGCGATGCCAAAGTTCTCCACCCTGACTGGGTCAAGAAGGAAAGGCTCTTAGCAATAGTGGAGTACGGAGATGAGAAAGCCGTATTTTGTTTATTTACGTCATGTTACCCTCCAAAATCATTTACCGACTTATCTGTAGAAATTGTGCTGCCAGTAGACAATACTTTTAAATGTGAAATTGACAACAAACCCTCAGATCCTGAAGCAATTTTGTACCTGAACCTACAGTCTCGTAATAATAAATTTAAGTTCGAAATCCAAATGACTCCTCGTGTTGACAATTTTGTAGATGACCTTTTTCGAGGTATTGAAGCAGTTAACAAGCTGCAATTACAACCAGAATTCCTTTGGCTCAAAAAATATAATGGCAAAAATGAGGATGATATTCTAGCTCACACTATGGTCGCACCGAGGGGAGGAGTAACTCACATGCAGAACTCTGCTCCCGTAGCAATAAGAGAGAGCCTCATAAAGAGAAAAATGAGTGACAAAGAGAATGATTACACATTCACCAAAAAATTTACTGTCTTCTGTGGCACCTGGAACGTCAATGATAAATCACCTGTGATACCTCTCAAAGGATGGTTGAGTGTGGATAAAGAGCCACCTGATATATATGCCATAGGTTTTCAGGAGTTAGACTTGTCTAAAGAAACCTTTCTTTTTGATCAAACTGCAAGAGAAGATGAATGGTATAATGCTGTATTAAATTATGTTGATAGGAGAGCTAAATACGTTAAAGTTGAAAAGGTGAGATTAGTGGGCATGCTGCTCATAGTACTGATAAAGGAAAAGCACTTTTCACATGTGCGTAATGTCATCTGTGACACGGTGGGTACCGGTATAATGGGTAAGATGGGAAATAAGGGAGGAGTCTCTATAAGGCTTGATTTACATAATACATCCATCTGTTTTGTCAATTCCCATTTGGCTGCACACGTTGAAGAGTATGAGAGACGAAATCAAGACTTTAGGGATATTTGTAACAGAACGAGATTCATACAAACAAACCAACAGCCAAAAGGTATAAAGGACCATGATCACATTTACTGGCTCGGAGATCTTAATTATCGTATAACAGAGTTAGATCCACAGACTGTAAGAAAGCTTGTTAGCGAAAATAACTTTCTACCTGTCTTGGAACGAGATCAGTTAAAACAACAGCATAAAAATGGTTATGTATTCTCTGGTTACACCGAAGGGCCCATCACATTTAAACCTACATACAAATATGACCCTGGCACGGACAACTGGGACTCCAGTGAAAAGAACAGGGCACCTGCCTGGTGTGATAGAATATTTTGGAAAGGAAATAATATTATGCAGTTAGCGTACAGAAGTCATCCACCGTTAAATATAAGTGATCACAAACCTGTATCGGCTATATTTGTGTCCGAAATAAAAATAATAGATGAAGAGAAGTATAGAAAAGTTTATGAAGAGGTGATCAAACAGTTAGATAAACTGGAAAATGAATTGATACCACAAGTTAAAGTGGACATCACGGATATTGATTTCGGAACAGTTAAGTACTTGGAGCTGCAAGTAAGGACTATTACTATTAAGAACACTGGCAAATTGCCAGTGGAGTTTGAATTTATTAAAAAATTGGATGAGGCAAGTTTTTGCAAGGAATGGCTGATTGTTGAACCATACAAGAAATGTATCTGTGCTGATGAGACTTGTGAAATTCAACTGAAGGTGCTTATAAATAAGACGTCTGCTTGCAAAATGAATGCTGGAATTGACAAATTATATGATATATTAGTGTTACACTTGTATGGCGGCAAGGATATATTTATTACAGTCAATGGAACCTATGAGAGAAGCTGTTTTGGATGTTCCATTGAGGTTTTAGTTAATTTAAACAAACCAGTCAGAGAAATTCCAGTCGGGAAACTCATTGAGCTGGAGAGTAAGAGAGACCAATGCATTTCTAATCATTCGACATATTCTATACCCAAAGAAATTTGGTTTCTTGTTGACCACATTTACCTTCATGGCCTGAAGGAGCCTAATCTGTTTGAACAGCCCGGCCTGCACTCTGAAGTTTTACAAATAAGGGACTGGCTGGATACTGGGTCTATAGATCCAATACCTGGCAGCATTCATTCAGTTGCTGAGGCTCTACTGCTTCTGCTGGAAAGTACAGCAGACCCAATAATCCCATACAATCTTCAGTCAGTATGTCTTAGGGCCTCCGCCAACTATCTTCAGTGCAAACAAATAATAATGGAATTGCCAGAATTTAGAAAGAATGTTTTTCTGTATTTGTGTGAATTCTTACAGGAGGCGTTGCAGCATAGCGCAGAGAATGGTCTGGATTCAAAGACTCTGTCGACACTGTTCGGTGCTATATTCCTGAGGGACAACCCCAATGTGATCCAGGAACCGCAGTCCAGAATAAATAAGCAAGTTATTGACAAGAAGAAAGCACATTTTGTGTATCATTTCTTAACAAATGACCACAGTGATTTAATATTTGCAAGATAGCTGCATTATTATTAAATAACAATCTTAGTTTGAATACTCAGAACATTCTCTCATATACTGTGTATGATTTTTAATGCACTTATTTTACTTTTTGACAAAATTATCATGAATTATGATATTTAATTTAATATATTTACATTTAAAATTAAACTTAGGTTTATTTGTAATATTTCTAGTATACTTATCAACGAAACAATGTGGCCAACAACAGTTATTTATAAATAGATAGTTTTTGTTATGAATGTTATATTTTATATCTACATACTGTAGTGACCTAGGCCTGCTAGGCGTCGTTATTGTAAGTAAGATGGAACTTCACTTGGTGTTGGCTATTCGCCGCATTTGTCCAAATATTTGTAAGTAATTCTAAATAGCGCAAACACGACATCCACACTTGGCATGCCAACAACACGTCTATACGCGTTTTCGCTTATTTGTATATGTGTCTTATTTGTGCAAATATGTCGAAGGAATAAATCCTCCACACATGGTCTTATTTGGCCGAACACAACAAATAAACGCCAAGTGAAGCGCCACCTTAATAGCTAACAATAATGTAGGAATATGTAACCGACAATATAGTAAAATTGTTCTTATTGATTTCACGACGATCATTACAGAAGCTTTTAAGTATTAGCCATAGAAAATTGTACAAACATTATAGATTAATAACATTCCATAACACTAGTCAGTGTAATGGATATTTAATGTTTAGTTAATAAGATGTATGCTTGTTAAAACGTCGTCAACCACGTACTGTACTTATATAATAATTTATTAAGAGCTTTAAATATTGAAAATATCAATATTACATTTTTCAAATTTAGTCAGAATTTTTCTTTAACCTTTAATATGAAAAATATTCTTTTGTATGATGTGTATTTGTGGGCATAAAATAATTCCGCTTATTTCTACAATTTTATGTTTGTGACCTATTATACATATAATGTTGTATTCTTTATTCTGTAAGGTATATTTACCAGTTTACCAAAAATAGAATTCATATATAACCATGATATTACACAAAATAATTTATTAAAATGTAAACTAAATAAGCATTTTCTTTTCTCTCCCCCGTTAATAAAAAATCTGTAGGCGCAAGTACATACAATATACATAATATGCGTTCCTTAACTTTTCTTCATCGTGTAACAGATGGCGCTGTATACCGATTCATACAGTCAAGTAACTTTAAAACAATTTAGACAAAATTTTGATCAAATTATAATACATATATATAAATATATTAGGATTTTCATGTATTTTTTCTATGGAGATTAATATTGAAAGAAATTTTATTAATAAGTTATTATTTTTGATGCAACACCACATACGTTATCGACTGCAGCTTCCTAGATCATTGTCCGGTCTCACATGTAAAAGCGGCAAATTCAATTCCAGCCAATAGGACGCTTGCATTAGCCGTTATGTCAATTTGTGTCACTGAAGTTCAATAGTTGTATTTACAAAAACAACGAACCGGGTCCTGCAATCCTTAAATTTAAATTGAATTCGTAACTGTTTCAACGGTTCAACCAGAATATTTATAAAGTAGCCTCAGTTCGGGATCTTGATATAATTGGTTAGCCATCTGTGTTAAACGGACGCGAACACTGCCTGCAGCCTCCTGCATTTCACCAGTCTTTGTTTGGTGTTATATTTTCAGAGCCATGGAAGTCGAAACCAAATGTAAGTAGCTTTTTTTTTTCTGGGAATTTGAATTTTGTTATGTATTTTCTTCACGATGCTTTTAAATTTCCGTATTTTTTTTAAAATTAAATATGTAGAAACAAATTGAATATGATTCAATGCTCAAATATCGATAAAATTTGGTAGCCTCAAATATTTTTATAATACATATATCAAAAGAAATATAATATGTACGATGACATCATTTCACATGTTGACAACTCTTAGGATTCTTATTAAAAGTTTTGTAAGGTCAAATAGAAACTTGCTCAAAAATATTTACGGATGCTAGCCTGACGGTACTGGTCTAAAGCTACTAGTAAACATGAAAATTTATTAATAATCCGAATATTTTTTAAATGTAAATTTATTCAGTAAAATTTTTCTCTTTTTACTTTAATATTTCCTGTTTTCTTAAATATTTGATTTATTAAGTCGATATATGTGAAGGTAAGTAAATTATTTTTTTTTTCGATATTATGAAGCAAGTCAGCTGATTTTTATTAGAATCTTTTTTCAAGTTGGAATCAAGCTGCTTTTAAACGCCTTACTCGTTTCATAAAGTCCTTTATCTTTCAAGTAACAATCCCAGTTTTCTCATATCGGACAAAGAAAGCTTTGTGACTGTTTGACTTGTGCACGTTTATATCATTGTAATATAACATGCTCATTGTTTGAAAAGGAGCCATAAGACAACGGAAAAATATTTAGAAGTATTTTTTAAACGAAAAAAAAGACCTAAAGATCAGTTATTTTGACATTTAATGCCACAGAATACCCTCATAACGCATAGTGCACGGTGTATTGTTTTTTTAAATTTATTTATAGCAACAGGTTGTATATAAATATGTTTTTTAAATGTGTTCGCGACCGTTGGTCTCCTCTGAAGAAATCCGTTGTATGAATCACGCGCAAGTCTTCCGCGCCCACAACGTTCTATATTTGAATATAAAACTTTGTTCCTTTTACGGCGCAATAACTTCTCCGCTTCCATTCTCATTGCCAAGTAACTTAACTAGAATTATTTTAAAACACAACAGTATGTAACCTCCACTGTTCTTGTTTAACGATCCGTAAATTAAATGGATAGCTCAGTAAATGTATTTCGATATATCTGAAAAATTACTTTTTGTTTGTTGAAATAAAATTTTTGAGCGTTAGCTTTAATTCGTGTTAATTATTTTATTGAATGGAAACGTCTTTGTAATTGAAACTGTCGGGAGGACTCGTTGGCTGAGAGTGTCGTTAATTTGATAATTGACGAGGTCCCTAAATATAACGCATTTTGTTTATCACTAACGTAAAGTTACTTAAATAGTTGTAAGTGACTTAATTATAACACACCCAGATTCAGATAATGTAAATCATTCGTCCGTGGCGCACTTCATTTGTTAAATCATACATTTTAACGGAGTGAAAATTCTCAACTACGATTTATAAATCGTTCACAGTCCAATGAACTAAGCTTTTTTGGGACTATCTAATAATGATTTTTAAATAAAATTAACAATATTAACCTTCTCATGATTATTAAATATGTAATATCTATGATTACAATCATCCTGTCCCGTCTTTATGTAAGTTAAATTAAAATGTTTTTCGGTCGATAAAGCGATTAGATGTGTCGATTACGTAAATGGTAGTTGTTTGCAACATGGAACATGCAAATTGAGTCATTCAATGTTTGTAGAGGATCGGGGGCGTAACACGACCCTCCCTATACATATACCATTGTTGAAATACGTGTGCGACCTTCAAATTATTAACGAAAACGGCCATTGGAATGTACATATTCGAAATTTACCCTGTAATATAGAATTAAATGTACAGATTCAAACCTCGAATAAGATAAATGCTTTACCGTCGCAGCGGCAACTGAGCTATCAGGACTCTCATACTATTTTTCTTAATCACGATTTTAATATTTACTTAAAACATCTGATCATTATGGTTTGAATAATGTTGGAAAATAAACAAGTATTATAACTTTAATAGCGAGAATTTGTTAAATTTTTTATATTTAAATTCATATTAAATTTTTCTACTTCAGTAGAGATTTTTGTATTTGAACCTCATTGAATATATGAAGGAGTGGAAGTTATATCTACAACTCTGTCCTGTAAACATGACTCACTCCTTATTTGTCTTCGTATCTACTCCCTTCAATATCACTCGACCTGATTGCATTCTTCACGATGTATTCAAATCAAATTATTTATTTAATATGACACGTGATAAGTTGATTACAATAGTAACTAGTCCTCCTACACTGGTTTACTTGTCTCCGATGACCGCTGTTGAAGTGCTAACGAGGTTATTGGAATGTATGAAAGTTTTTGTTGGATGCTGTCCTTGTAACGAAAGCCAGTCACCCAGTGTGGTGAGACGTGGGCGGGGAGGGGCTCGTGGGCGTCATGCGTCGTGGGCGCCCACACTTGCATTTGCCGACTGCTCATGTACCAGATATGTGGAGTAGTTGAAAGGAAGTGCCTTTCACTGTAATGTTCAATATTAGTCATCATTTATAATTCCTTATCTTACGTATTAAATTAATCGAGATATATTGTTTTGAGAAATAATTCTGTTTCCTAATCGGGGTTTTGATTTTCCACTTTTGTACTATATCATACTGACGTTACCCAAAATTTAATTTAATTTTAAATAAAAACGACTATATTTGTGAATCACATTATATACATACAAATGAGTATAAAACTTTCAATAAGTAGTTCCTAGTGAAAAGAAAATTACAAACCAATTGATAGCCTCATCTTTTTTGGAAGTCGGTTAAAAAATAACTCATTATTATTGTAAAGATGCTAGTTCAGATAGATGTGTTACCGTTACACAATCACGACAGAGGCTGACTTGATCTAGATTCTAGAACCGACAAAAATATAGATTACTCTGATAAAACATTACGAAAACTAAATTTTATTAAAAAAGGTTATTTTAAATGGGGTTTAATATATTTTATTTTATATAATCTGTGTAGTTTTAAAGTAAATATAGTAATTATAAGTGATCAGCGGTCATTGATCCGTGTGTCGCGAGTCGGTACACGCGATGTTCTCTACTGATAGTTGGTACACTCGTGTGTTTATACCGACGCGGCCGATGCCCGGGCTTGAGTCATCTTAACTTTCTTTGTTTCACTCAGATGAGGTTTCAGACTGATTTAAGTTAAGAATTGACATACAGAATCTTTATAGTGTCATCTACTGGTTGAAAAAACGACTTATAAAATGCTATATGAATTAAATCATCAAGGGTGGAAATTTTTGTTGTTCGTCTCTCACGTAATTTGATTATAGACGTCTTTTGCTCACAGAATACATTTCAAGTGATAAGAACTGTAATTTAATATGTGATTTATAAGAAGGGAATACGAGACGAACAGATGTAACACAGTTCTTATTAGTTAAGATAATTGAGGGATGATTTTGGGTTAGGAGGCTGATAATTTCTTTATTGTTTTTTTTCTATATTAAATTGAACCTTATATTTTAAACTATATAAGTCTTATATTAGATAGTTTTAATATAATTCCGTCGAGTTAAACGTGAATAATAAGGGTCATCATGAGGAGTGTGGTTTTCCGTCGTCGAGTCGTCTTAATACATATCAGTTTCCGAGGCTGCACATATTACAAAGAGAGCCGAGTGCCCCTCTAGCGGAGGGTAGCTGGGACTATTGTAAGAATCATTGTCTGCTACCCTCATTAGTCACGTAGCCAACTTAGTTTAACATCCCCGTGGTAGTAACCCTCGCTATAGATATAAAGCAACACATGCACTACATATGTGTATATATAATAATAAATTACTTTAGTATTCGTTAAAAATCTCTCACCTTGATCGCATTGTCTGCTTAATACGTTATCCATACACTGATATTACTAGAGAACGATTAGCGTTTTGTTAATGATAACCTTGAATATGATTCATTTGTTTATTCTAATATTGGATACAATAAAGTGTATAATAATATTCTTTGTGAAATTTACGAATCTATTTACAAATGTATTTTAATTAAAATATATATTTTAATACTTTATTCTTTATAGTATACACAATGACATCGTTCATTATTTTACTTGAACCTTAACAATAACACTTTGTTTTGATTTATTTTAAATAAATGATATTTATTTTTAACGTTCAGTGTTAAAATAATCTAATGTTATATGTAATAAGCAATACATACATATATAGAAATATGCCTGAATTGTTTCTAACATATGTATACGAAAATTAACAATGTAACCAATTTAACATAATTCTATATAAAGATTATTATATAAAGTCAATATAATTTGTATTCGACGGCTGTAGGCGGGTGAAATTGTAAATCTCGTCTAGATTTCATTAGTGCTCGCTGAATGCTATAATTTTTTCACGTTGCCAAGCCGAGCCCGACCCGGTTCCAGGTCATAGTCCTATATCCACGAGGTCCCAAGAGACTTCGTGATATCATCTCTGAAATATTAAGATGAAAAATGATTTTTCGTTAACACGGAATCGATTCTGATCGTGAGAGCCTCTCGATATGAACCGTTCTTCGACAAACTACCATTGTCTTGTATCAGACAAAAAATAACGTTCCGTTTTCAAAGAACACAATAGAGCGTCTTTCTTACAATTTTTTTGTTACAAAAGTTCAATAATATTCAGATTATTTTTTGATACTAGCTGTCGTCTGCGGGTTTGCTCGTATAAACCTACTTTGATATGCTCATTTACATCATTACGTCGTTTGACTCCACTTTTTAAAAATATTTTAATCAAATCAAATAAATACCAAGATTAATGTTAAATCGATATATTTTTTTAATCGTTTGAACTTAAAGAATTAATGGTGTGACAATCATTTTCCTTTTTGAAGTCGAATAAAAAGCACCCTAAGTTACTTATTATTAGATTACCTACTTGCAAGTGAAATTTTTTTCCAGTATTAGTCCAGTAGTTCAGAGATTCGGTTGAACAAACAAAAAGATAAAAAAAAATAACAAAAAGAAATTTTATTTTATTTATTAGTAGGTATGTATATAGTTTTGAGAAATATAAAAACTTTGATATTTTTCTAGCGTCTATTAGAAGATCAAATATTCATTGAGTATTTTAAATTGGTTCTAACACCATGTATAGTAAATACATACGTCTTTTTGCAAATAAAATGTGTTTCTTCTTAAATTCTTAATTAAATGTTATCTCTAAAGAAGTTTCCACTCTCAAAATGTTCTAAGGATATAATTTAACAATTTAAATCGAACAGCGGAGTAATTGGAAACGGTTGTAGAGTGTTGTTTGTTTGGGAGATTTACAAGAGAATTATTGGAGCCGCGCCTTAGAGGCGCACAGATTAAGTCGCGGTCTAAATAAAGGTTAAACAAAATATTACTAAATATTACTTATAGGAAATGAAGTAAATGTTTTAAAAGAATGTCACTTAAATTCAACTATAGTTTTGATATATCTTCTTCTTCTACCTGGCAATTTCCCAGCTTTAGCCAGGGTCTGCCTTACATGTTGTGAATGGTTTTTGGCTATTTGTTATTACGACCGGCCGGCCGACATCAACCTTCATTTGGGAATCAACATTAATTAGTGATGTCTAACTACTTTTTGAAAGTACATATGATTTGGAAAAATCACATTGGTACTTTGCCCGGGCCAGGATCGAACCCGCGCTCTCGTGCAAGTGAGGCGGGCCTTTTAATCACTAGTCCACCACTGACTATAGTTTTGATATATATTAATATTAATTTTCTGATATTAATAATAGTTCAAGAGCGTCGTACATTATGTGTGTATGTGCTAGTGCTGTATGTAGGTATATGTACACGTCGTTAATTCATGCCGGGAAGTCGTGCCGGGATCCTGTGCCGCTTCCAACATGTCTGCTTTTTGTGTTGTTCGTTTTGTTGTACAGAGCTTACCACGAGTTTTATAGCTTACTGAAACTTTCATAGTTTTCGAAGTCGCTATTCACAGGCCGTACTTTTGATGTTATAGATACGTACATATCAATGCTTGCTTATTTACAAATTCGACAACGTTGTGAGTTTTCGTTAATTATATGTAAAACTACGTTACGGCTTTGGTTGTATGTGTTAATAATATAAAGTACCTATTTAACAAATATTAAAAAGTCTTTTTCTATATGTAAATTGTATTTAAATATGATTATTTTAATACCAGGGTAAATTTTAACCTTAGTACAAGTTTTCATCGTCACATTATACGAAATGTTTCCAGGTTTTTTATTAATAAATATAAATTGATACTATTAATGGCGGTAGCAGAAGGTACTAATACTTTTTATTAATAGTGTTGTGTTTTTCATAATCTATCAATAGTATATTTGTGTATCATACATCCGAGAGTGTTATATTTCTCTCTCAGCTTCCAGACCCCTTTTTTATTCCACACAGAGCCGGTGTCATCAAAACCTATACTTCATCATAGTCGCTATCGATTCAATGGGGACTTGTTTGTATATTCAAAGTTATATACATAAGACTATCAACTAAATAAATAAACTAATAAAAACTAATATTTTTTATTATCGTACTAAGGGACTAAGAGTCTTCAATTTAGCGACCTATTTATTTTATGTAATATAAATAAATATGTATATAGTATTATTTATATATCTCCTAATGCCCAGTTATATTAACAATTCATATGAATAATATTTATTCGCAACGACGGATTGCCGGGTGGGTCGTAGGGCTTCGGATCAGGTACCGTCGGCCGGTTCACCCCAGACTGCGGTTTTCGGTTTCTCAATGTCACCGTTGATCCAATTTATCGACTGTCTATCTATTTAAAGGTAGTGAATCTATTTATCTATATAGTGCTGTGCGGACTGGCCGCGATGCCGTATCGAGCCCGTGATAGCCTGCCCGTCATTAAAATCAGTAATGGCTCTTCGACCTTCGTACTTTTATCGATAGATGATTTCAATAGTTCAGGTATGTAAGTATTGATATTGTAGTAACTAAATATAAGTTCAATGACCCCTGCTATTTATTCCTCTTTTTGAACAAAGAATGTTACTATACGAGTATCTTTATTTGGACGTCTCCGCATTGCTACATCCTTTTGATGAAGGTCTCTCTCATCGATTTCAGTTCACCTTGAAACATATGCGGAAACTTACTTATCCAACTGTAAGCCTTATACGTATACTTGTACTATAATTAAAACATCTCGACTGTATAACTTATTTTAATTTCTTTTAAACAATTGAAGCGGTGTTCGTTTTATTTCATACTAGCTTTCCGCCCGCAGCTTCGCCTGTGTGGATTTCGGTTATATTCCGTTTCCAAGAGAACCTTTCAAAAGTCTGGAATAAAAACTATCCTATGTTCTATCTCAAGGTCAACTCTATCTCTGTACCAAATTTCATTAAAATCAGTTCAGTGGTTTAGGCGTGAAAACGTAACAGACAGACAGAGTTACTTTCGCATTTATAATATTAGTAGGGATTGAAGATTATAAACCTAATTTCGTAAGTTAATTTTTATAACAGAATACATATATCTGAATAAATAATAATCTCTATTATCATTAAATAACTGTTATACATATCTACATGTGTCACAGAGACATTCGCGCAGTCGTCTGCCCTTGATCGATCGGCTCGAGCGTGTGTACGGCTTTGCCCCCTTTTATAGCATTACACTAGCAGTAGAAATACACTGGATTATGAGGAGTGATGCTAAGCCGAATACCAGACGGACGGACAAACAATACTATAATAATATGTCTATATATACTTACTCGTTTTACATACTCTAGATTTTTATATATGTATTTTGTATGGGTACACATTAATTGAAGATGTGCCGTCTTCTTGTTGTGCATTGTGATGTTTCTTAGAAACTCAAAAATAAAATAGATATTAGATGAAAACTATGAGACGAAACTTTTCATCATTCAATGTATTCACCGTGCGGGTGTCGGGTCCATCGTTGTAGTGAGAGGAGCTTCAACAGTGACTGGGACTTGAGACCCAAGTGTAGGTTTAAGGGACCCTATCTAACTCGGGTTAAACGATCATCTCCACTATCCAAGCTCCTCTCTCTACTAAAAGAATTATTATGACTTTTGTAAATATTTAAAATGTATATAGCTAAGTCATTAAAGTTCTTTTCAATTTTGAATCTAGGTCGTTTTTTCGACCTTAATTTTTAATAAGTAAATTTTTAAACACGCTGTATCCACAGGTTCTCACTAAAATTGTTATTTAAACTTAATTCCAGGATTTCAGTTTATAATATTGCATGAAAAATATTTATATCTGTAATTGATATTTAGTTTATTCTTCATAGAATTAGTCACACCAATTTAATACTAACGAATCGCGACTATTATTAATGTGGCGCTTTTGAAATTGAAACTGAGTCAACTGTGTTTTAACGTTCATATAATATATGGAAAATGACTTCAGAAGTTTGGAAATTACATGCGTTTATTATTTAATTATATTAAGTTAAGATAATAAACGTTTTTACATACATATTCATTATATAATTCTAAAATCTTCATATACAAACTAATACTACCAATAAAGAATATAAAAACAGTATTATATGAAAGAATTCATAGAAACTAGTCACTTAAGTATCGATATCATCATATCAACACAATAAATCAAATACAAAGACAATATTGGGATGAAATATCAGAATCAGATGGATTGTTCATTGCTAATACTACAAGGGATCAATCACTCGGGTGAAGTGAACCGTGGAACGAACGGAGATGAAAAGGAAATAGACTTAGTGTGGGGTCATTATAATAACAAGCCCCGCTGACCCCCGCCGACCCCGCGACCCCGGGACGGGGTGTCGCGATACATGCAAATAGTGACAATGATTCGTAACTACCCTCATCGTATGAAGGAAATTATTGACTATAAATTATAACTGAAATCCCTAAAATATTATAAATGCGAAAGTAACTCTGTCTGTCTGTCTTTAACGCTTTAAAACCACTGAACTGATTTTAATGAAATTTGGTACAGAGATAGAATTGACCTTGAGAAAGAACATAGGATAGTTTTTATCCCAGACTTTTGAAAGGTGCTCTTGGAAACTTGATAACCGAACTCCCCGCGAGCGAAGCTGCGGGCGGAAAGCTAGTATATTATATTTTTGTTAACTCCCTCATTACTTAATCTGCACTTTATGATAAAAATATTTTATATAATACACCTTTATAACATGCTTTAAGTAATTCTATGAGTTGATACATTTGTTATTGTAAAATTGAATATAATTTTTTATATGTGTATGGGTTGCGTGCTATTGTGTCATAATATTTAACAAAAATCATTTTGACCGTTATAACGTGGCAAATATCCGTACATTTTTTTATATAATATTACACTCAGAGATGAAACAGAAAAAAGAGAGGCACACTTAGGTAAATACGTATTGATTTACTCAGTACACATTAGTAATAATATCGCGACCCATTTTCTCAGTATCAATACGAGAATAACATTCATATAATACATTTTTATTATTTATATTTAAATTCAAATATAACATAAACATGCGCATTTCTTAGTAACGAAATACATGCGGAAAGGATTTATTCAGAAAATGATTTTCCCGAGTCGGCAAAGTTCTTCCAGCCAGATGTTTCCTACATTCGGCCTGACAGCACCGAATGTCTTTATGACTTCCGAACTTATAACATTTGATATTAAATATAAGGTTTCATGTCCGAGATCTTCACAATCAATCATTCGATCACTCATATTGTACAGAACACATAAACAAAATTACTCATATAATTCATGTTTTTAATATATTGTGTAATCCACAATATTAAAAGTGGCAGGATTCCACTGCGTCAGGACGAGATTTTATCTATCAGACAGTCTAGACATGCTAGACGCACAAAGTCACTAAAGTACTAAGTCGGTAATTGCTTCTGGGACCGGAACCAACTCGACAAAAAGCTACGCAGCAAGCCCATACACTTCCCAAACATGTGAATCATTTTGATAAATTAACAAGCTGAAAGTTGGCAGAGACGGTGACATCCAGCTAGGACTTCAAACGAATCCATGTCCTATCCTGAACGGAGCAATGCTCATATTACTTTAACGATGCCCTGAGATAATATTATTGTTTCAAATCAAGTTTCCCCTCTATAAATTATCTTCTATGGAGCGGAAAAGAAGTAATATTTTCATTGGCCACCCGATACGGATTAATTCGTTCCATAAATCCGGAGTAATCCAAATAAAATATAAGATACATTACACTTTATGTAATCAAAAAATTAAATTTGGAAGAAAATCCAATTGAAGAGTCAAAGAAATTTTAAAATATCACGAGACTTGAATAATTAACACTCCGCTGATATTACGAGATAACTTGAACTTTGCTTCTTAACTCGACACTTACAAAGTTACGAATTTCATATTACAAACTCTTTGATGTCTCGTCGTTTCATTTTTCTTAACTGCGTAATTAAGTTTATTATACTGAAACATGAATGTTCTAGAGATAATCAAGATAATATTTGTTTCATATAAATCAGGAATGTTCTATTGTAAGTTTCTATATGTAATGATTGTATCGACGAAGGTTAGATTACAAAGCTTAAACAAAACCTGAAAGCTGAACAAGAACAGCGCAAAATCGATACGCCGTCGCGGCCGGACGCGCACCGTTACTTAATATTCTCAGCCAAATCCTTAGGCACGTGACTCAACTTGTTGCCGCACACCGACATATACATATATATATTTCTTATATATATGTAGAAAATTATTCTCGTTATATAATCAGAATATAGACAGTTAAAAGACATGAGCTTACTTTTAATTCATATTCGTAGAACGTTTCTTTTATTTGTTACGTGCCTAAGGAATATTAATTTGTAGTAATCATTTAAACAATATATGTACATTATTTGTAACTGAGACGTTTTTTGTAATCATGGTAACTTCAAAGTAATCGAACCGTCGGCTTACAAATAAAACAAGTAAATATCAATGTATGTAGATAGTTGACAATCCGATTACATAGTTAATTCAATATGTCATTGTGGAACTAAATAAAGTTGCTTTTTTTTTCAATTATAATGATGTCTAAATGCATTTCTGAGCAGTATATAAAATATACTTATATAAAATATTATCTATAATCACATTAAACTAGACTTCTAAGTACAGTCAAAACTAAATTATTGTTTCCCGTAACTGCTTTCTTTCCAACGTTCCGGAGATTTAAATTAATACTTTTTATTAAAAAAAAACAACAATAAAATAAATAAAATTAATAACATAAGAAATAAAGAGCATATTTTTATAAATTCCAGTGGGCATTTTTAACATACGCTAAGAAAATGCCCCAAGTTGGGCGCCCCGCGCCATACCGTAATTTTAATTAAACGATTATACAACCACTGAGAAATTTTACCTCGTTAACGTTATATATGCCAACTGAGAGATGAAAATGTTTTCATTAATATAGAAAATATGTTTTCCCGTGAATTAAACTTGCTATTAGTTGTTCATTATGATATATTACTGATGCTGTACTGACTACAGAATGCATGCAGCCGGGCTTTTGTTCTCGAAATTAACCTTTTTATAACGGTCGTTCGCATCTAATTATTAAAAATTATTATCGTTATATTCTACTAACATCATCATTTTCAATGAGAGTCTGAAAATGATTCAATAACTTAATTGTATTCCGCTAATCGGGTCAACAAGTTCCGAGTAGAAATTTACAAATTAAATTATTAAGGTGCCGGTCACGGGTCGCCAGCAGCGGTTTTTCCACGTTGGTTACTGTCAGCTTTGATGCTTCCACAGTCCACACAGTACACTCCCGGAATTCCCAGTTATGACCGCAAGGGGACGCGGTCTCGAGGTTGTTGCCCGTCATCGATCGCCGCACCGCCGCCGCCGGTGTTACCGGTGCACGGGGTTAAAACATCACCGCTGCAGACGCACGACAACACAGAGATTTGTGTTTCATTTGGACCAGCAGATTCTATACATTTAATATGACAAAAAAAATACCAAGAAATAATGCCGCTGAATTAAATGCCGTCATCGAAATCGTAATCATAGCTATATGAACTTTATATTATTGATGCCTTACCGGTCGTGTGAAGTGTCAGGAGATTCGCCAGTAATGGACTTTAAGGACGGGAAATCAATCGGAAGCAATTCGAGTGGCGAAACAAACTCAACATTACGTTGCCGGCTGTTAATTGGCTGCGGGTGGCGGCGCCGAGACGGCGGCGGAACCTCCGCATGGCTCCCCTCGCCCCTACTACACCCGCCGCCCACCGACGACTCTAAGTTTTTATGAGCGAAAAGCCCACCGAGACCCTTGCGAGTCTAGGGAGGTTCCTAAATATGTTTTTCTAACCTAGACTCTAGATCGTACATTTACTGAGTGACCATTCTAAATCATAACCTTAGTTTATAATCGATTCCTAAGCCGTGAGCTCTATTTCAAATATTTAATAATATTAGTATAGATCTGTTGCATTCCCAGCCTCGTGTATGTTCCATGTTCAACATTATTTGTCCATTTGGTAGGCTTATTTTGTTCGGCGGGGTTATCAAGTTAGGGCCGGTCCGCGGTAGGGGTGGCTGCCAGGCGGCTCTGCAGCTCGGGTCGCGGGGTGGGGGGTGCGTGTATCGACCGGGCTACCCTCCCCCCGGAATGGTTCAGTTTTCAGACGAGAGTCGCGCAGCTCGCCCGTGCCGCGACGCGACTCCGTCACTCGTTAGATAGCTAGTCAATTTGAAACTACCATCATGCTGATAGGACTTGTACGAGATTCGGTGATGCAGTGCTTCTGCCACTCATGCAGGGCGCCCGTTTTACCAGCAGGTTGGAATTTCTCAAAGCCCGGCGTTGGTTTTCTGAAGATCTCACGGTGTCTCTCGTATCGTCGCCGGCACGATGCCTACGAGAATGAAACGCCCACTAGCTACAAGTCGTAATGTTTTGTTGATATCTCCTCGTATTTGTATTTACTCTGTCGAAAATGGATTGAAGGTAACCCGAGCCTGATAATTAACGATTGCTGTACATTTTTATTTTAATAAGTAAAACGATACATTTACTTATCTTTACACGGAAACTAATTATCCTATTTTCTTTCCACGTCTAACGCCGTCCCATAAAACATTATATTACGTCTGGGAATACCGGCCGGCGTCGTGATCGATCCGTCGCCGCCAGCTGGCGATCGGATTGTCAAATTTTCTACGTGTCAAAAAATTGCCCAGAAATAAACCCCGATCTGAAAAAAAGGTTTCAACTCTTTCTATTGAAGTCCATCAAGTAAAGTCGTTGAAATATTTTGCCGATTCCTGTTCGTTTTCATTCGTTACATCCTTTGAAGATTAGGTGTAAGGTGTTTTCTTTATACATCAGTTATTTTTTGTTTCAGATTATCCATGTCTCCGTATCGTCTCTGGTAGACATATTGATTAAACATTTCTATATAACGAATGTCGACCATTTTGTCTGCTGAACTTCATGCGTACTCCATTTTGCGCGTCTAGTACCAATACTCTGTAGAATTTCCCTGACACTTCCATCTACATAAAAAGCACTCCTTTTTATGGATGACTCACTTGAGACTCAAAAGGATACATTTCATCTGAAGAACGATTAAAAATATTTCCTCATGAAACCACAGACATGGAATCAAATAATAATTTATCATCGTCGTTAACATTACAGAAGTGTATTTTTCGTCATTTATAGAAACTTTTTTTCCGTAAGCTACTTCTAGTCACGCAATAATCACATAATCGTCACTCAGTCCGGTTAATACTTCATGAAAGCCCGTGAATTATTGTTTTTTATTTACACAACCCTAATTAGAAGCCCTGCAATCAAGGGGTTACTAATAAAATATGATTGCAATTTGCATAAAAGGTTAGTGTATTTGTTCACAAATTGCTAATGTAAGGGTCGTGTCTACATCGGGGACTGAATTGACAATTGTTTGGGGTGACGTTAAGAGCTGAGTTTAATGAGCTCAACAAGTTTGTCACCTCCGGATATTAGTTAATGTGATTCACTACCACATTCACCCTCAATAATTAGGAAACAGATTTAAACTTTATTTATAAAAATATAGACTTCACTTCGCCGTTTAGAAGATGTCTCATATCTGATCTTAACTCGACCTAAATCTTGATTTTATCACATACAAGATTTCTGGGTCAAGTGACGTCTAATAAGCATTTCATATATCGTTAGACGTTATTAACCTTTAAAAACGTAACATATATACTTTGAACCAATACATTAACGATCAAGTCATATATAGATTTCTTTTGTTTTTGTTACGTAAATATAGGTAATATTACATAATATCAAAATTCATAACATATACCATTCTTCTTTGAATAACGATCAAATCAAGATCTACCCTATAGACCACGTCAAACTTACTACGTCCGAACTACATAACTCTGATGCATTGCGGTCTAAAAGTTGTCGTGTGTCACGCACGCCTAGATTAGACACAGAATTTATAGAAATTTTCTATCGATTTTATTTAAAAACATTGAAAGGCTCCTCTTGAAACCGTTGTCAAATGTCGTTGACAATTTTCTAACGATTTTTTTCCTTCATTATCTGAAATTGTGTTTCCCATAACAGAATGTTATTTTAGCTCGTTTCGGTCTAGACGTTCCCCCTGTGTCGCCCTGCGTTACTCGTCATGAGTATTTATTCGCTAAGTGAGTAAAGTTTTCTGCCATAGGTATGTACTCTAATACTCTACCTTCCCCTTTAAGTGAGACAGAGCTCGGTTGTAACATTTGTATTGCCAGGGCCGTAAATTCTCTTTCCATTTCCCTTTGCGAGTTTTAAAGCCCGGTTTTAAATATATTATCAGTTCGGATGTAGTGTCGTGAGGCGCCAGCGGGTCTCGCCCTTTCGGTTGTGACTGCTGCGTTAAATATTTACAATTCGATTCGTTGAATTACATTTCTTGTGCCACCACATTGTTTGATATGCTCAAATACACTTTTGTTTGTACAACTTAACGATTGCCGTAACTTGGAATATTATAATGGATATAGTTGAATTGATTACTTATCACATGTTACCTAATCTAGTGTTAGGTGTTGCGAAAAACCGCAATATGTCAGAATGAGACCGCATTAGAGGTCGTGGCCCCTGTGACGTAAGATCAGCTGCATTGTCTTTACTTGTTAATATTTCTTTGGTGGAATACTAATCCATATAAAATTATCGATATTATTATGTATTATATCCTTTTAGCAGTCTTCGCTATCTCTACAACAACTCTAACCGGTTTTCTAAATATCATTATTATTAATGTCTAAAGTTATCAGATATGTATATAATTAGTTTATATCACGTCTGTAATTATCCCATTAGTCTCCGGTGTCTGTATATCACCTCTGGAGTTGGGTAATGAGATTCATTGGTGTTCTTCTCACGTACCAGACTTTCATCTTAACATCGTGTCTTTTTATTACGACCTCACTATAGAGATGTATCTCAATCGGGATCGATTCTTTCTCTTCTTAAACTTAATTCTAAATAATCTTTTACGCGATCGACATCATCCAACAACTTCAACATAAAACAACATCAACAGAAACCAATCAATATATTTCAATTATATTGAAAATATATATTTTTTATAACTCAAACTTGAAATAAAAATCAACTATACCAAGTATATTGCATGTCACATAGTATATTTTTATCACTGTTACAATATAATTTCGTTTCCAATTTATTTACACGCAATTTCACAATTGTAACCGGATCAATACGAGTCCACTGCACGACATCGATTGTCGATCCACCATGAACACGGCTCGTGGCTAAATGCTCTCCAAATAAACATTCGTTAATTGAACTGCTCGTAATGACCATCCGATTGTCGTTGTTGTATAGGACATAATGGCTTCGGACGTATTACGAAGTTTGTTCCTACTGTGTTATTATAACAGGCTTTTACATTTCCACGTACATTTTAATTTATAGGACGTCGAGTCATTCATATTTATTAACTCCTACAAAGGATTCTCAATTTGCCTTTGATGCAAGTTAAATCATCGTCTTCTGAAATGAAAATATTTATGATGTTGTTTTGCTGAATTTTGTTTTACGTTGAAACAATTCGACTTGGACCTGTTATTGAATTAAATATAGTTTAGTTTCTTGTTGTCTATGTTATAAAAAAAACGTTATAAAAAAAACGTTGAGAACAAATATGTTCTTACATAAAGCTAGTGGGTGGTATCATTATCGAGAGATGCTCGGAAGATCTCAGCGACACCTATCAATAAATGTTGTTATTTAGCTCACCGGCGCTCGGTGCCCGTCAAGAAACCCGTCGGAAAGCCAAGGACTAAGCAACCAAAGAAAGTGAAATTCATCAGTAAGTCGAAACATACGAGCACTAAATAGATTTTCTTTGTTTGGCTTTTGTATTTTCTATTCCATAGAGAAATATTTACCGTAGACTATGTGAAAGTAATAGAACCCCGGGGAAAATTACTCACGTTCGTTATAGGTATGTATGGCTAGAGTGAGGGTTATATTAGTATGAGTCACACCGGTCGGGCGGCCACCACCTCCACCCCACTATGAAGTACAGAGAGATTCTTTGGTCGTTTGTGCAAACTCCGACCGACCTTGAAAATTGCTTTAATTTTAACACGAGGATCTCCGGGTGGAAAACCTCTTTAAAATACCGATCCGCAATTAAGACGCGCCCTTAATTAATCGACTTTTATAATTTGCGAGGGGGTTTTAATTGTTTTAATTTAATTATATACTTATTTGGTAGATTTTTTCTTTAACTATACTCGTTTGCTCAGATTCGTTGACGCATTGTATTTTAAGCATTTTTAGTTTGAAACTAGATCTGCACGTATGATTTTCATTTTCATGACGTCTGCTCAAGATCAAGATTACTATAAAATGACCGGGTTAGTAATCACTAAAATGTTACAAAAGAAACGAGTTGTCTGAATTGTCCTTTTATTTAGTTACTGTCTAAAATATAAGTTTGATATTGGAAGTTAAAACTTGAGGGATCAAATGATACGATAAAAGTATTCAGAATTGTGAACGAGTACAATACAAAAGTTCAAAAGTGTTGTATGTAGCTCCGATTTTGGCGAGTGTTTTGTTAGATTTCTTGCTTCATTTTCTTTTATATAGAATACCATAACTATATAAAGCGTACATCAATTTGCTTTTTGATTTATATTCTTTTCGTATAATTTCTGATCGGTTGTCAATTACCATTTTCTTTATTTTGTTAAACGCTTGATGCTACCAAATTTTAAATCGTTTTATCTATATTATGTCGTTTTTTCTTTTGTGTCTATACATATATGTATGTTTCAATAGCCACTGAGATCCGCTGTCAGGAGATGTCTAAGGGAGGGTTGGCGTATGAAGTGATCCTCGCTGAGCCTGTGGGCGTGCCCGTGCCGCGCCGCGCGGACTCACCTGAGAAGACGCCTTCGGTCGAAGAGATACAGGAGAAGTTGAAGGCTGCTGAAGAGAGGAGACGTGTATGTATACGATATACATTGAAAATTACACCACTGGACCCTTCAAACATTTTTGTGATATCTATTTCATATACAGGGTGACTGATGAATTACTATCAATATTTAAGGAGCATACTCGGTACATGATTCTCATTCGAATTATGTAAAAAAAATAGGTATTTAATTTTTGAACAAATTTCCGTATAAATAAATAAAGTGTTGACACGTTCCAAGTGTGGACGCGTGCGGCGGCGTGCTGACACAACAACACGCCGCCGCGCGCGAGTGTGTTTGTGTGTGTATACCTAATCTGTAGGGTGTTCATACGATGCGTAATTAATTACATAACTTTTGGTTAACTTTACTTAGAAGTTTATTAATATTTATGTTATATTAATTTTTATTTTGTCATATATGATCGTCAAATATCACGTCCTCAAATATCGATAGTAATTCACCAGTCACCCTGTATAAAGAGAACTTTATTCGTTTCGTTTTATTCTTTTTGTATAGATGTCTTGACCTCATATTTGAAATTATACAACTGTCGAAACTTTTTTCCGAATCATGTTTTATGATTAATCGATAACACCGAAGGTTATCCCTAAAGTTCTTTTGAAAGTTCTAAGTAATACTTTTATGTTTTTCGTTTCTCGCATAAAAATGAGGTACAAAAAGTCGTAAAGCTAATGGAAATTTAAGACAAGTAAGAGGTTACGCTTGTGCTCTTCAATGTTATGTACTCGTAAAATCTAGTCTACACACGGTATTCTACTTGAGTGTGTTAAGCACTTGGAACTTTGTCTCCGATATATTTAGGGTGTCAACATAGTATATGCCTATTTTCAGAGTTTGGAAGCAAGCAAGATGGCTGCTATCGCTCAAAAAATGCAGAAAATCGAAGACGCGTCGCGCATCCGCAGCGAACAGACGAACAACTTCATCGTGGCCACAAAGGAAGCCCTGGACGCCAAGATGGACTCCCACGAGGAGAAACGCGAGGCCTACATCAACGAGCTGCGGGCGAGGCTCAAGGATCATCTGGAGGGAGTCGAGAAGACCAGGTAGGAGAGGGGACATTGAACGATTGTGGTCAGATACATGTAGACATTCCATATAAACCATTAAACACTCGGCAGGTTGACCTTGGAGCAACAGACAGCTGAGGTGTACAAGGCTATCGAGGACAAGATGAACACCGCGGCCGACAAGCGAGACGAGAACATCAAGAAGATGCTGGAGCGTCTGCGGGAACATGTACGTCATGAACCGTCCACACGGCCGCGATAATAACACGTAACACGCACACGTTACAATGGGGAGCCGAATATAAAACGTGAAAATGGGATTAATTGTGATCATTGTGTCGCGATAACGGCCTGTGAAATGTCTCATCAGGCGCGCGCTCGAGCCTGAATGAAGTACGCGTCGAAGCTAACGGCTTTTATACGGCCGTTTGAATGCTAACAAAGGAATTATACCCAAAATAAACAATGCCTTTATTTGCAGACGAGGGTATCGTGAATAAAGTTTTGATGTTCCTTTTTTTGGTAGCTATTCCATTAATGTACTGAAAGGATTTAAATAAAAATATGAAATATATTAACGATCTCGTAGGTATTAGTGCACAACTAAATAACAAAGAAAGATATAATTAGTATATGAATGAATGAATGAGTGAGTGAATCCGTTTCCCAGGAGGAGCAGGTCCGCAAGGTCCGCGCGGGCAACCAGGAGCGCTTCCAGCAGCTGGAGAGCGCCATACAGGACAAGCTGCAGCAGGCCGCCGACCGCCGCCTGCAGATAGAGGCGGAGCAGAGGGAGAAGCTGCGCAACCATGTGAGTACCCGGGACACATGATGGAGAAGATGACGTCACTAGGGGTACCGGAACAGGGAAACGTGCTCTGATAGGCCTCACGATATATAAAAGCGGATATTTTCTAGCTCTAAATAATAAAAAAACAACTTCATAGTCGCAAGCCTCTTAACCCGCTTCCATTGTATTGAGCGTCTATTTCATTATGTACGTGAGTGTCGCTCATCCCTCAAGGTTGACGCCTCCTCCATGTCTGTTTGGACCGTTCATTTTCGTGCTCATTTTTATATTTATCATTTTCCTTTTTGTTCTACACCACCTCATCATATTATGTTGTCATGTTTATTTTCCGTTCCACCATCCCCATGTCGTCACAGAACAACAAGCCGGCGGAGGTGCGCTCCGTCATCACGGCCAAGATGGACGAGATCTCCAAGGACATCGAGACCAAGCTGACCGCCGCCGAGCAGAACAGGGAGAAGGAGATACAGAAGAAACTAGACTTCGTTAAGAAGGAGGTTTGTGATCACCCTCACCGCGGACACTACGCGACCAGGACACCGCTTAGAGTTGACGATTACATTTTTTTATTTTTATTTGAATAATATTCTATCATCCATCGAGCAGTTCCATCCCTAGGTCGAGGTCTACCACTCCATCCTAAACATCTGTTTCTGACGTAAGCTTATTGTGGTGTTCCCAGGAGCGACGTGCAGAGCTGGTGCGGCAGAACAAGTTCGCGCGCGCCGAGAGTGAGGCGCCCACCTCCGGCTAGACGCCCGCAGCCCACCGGCCGCCGCCCGCCCACGCCGCCCACGACGCCCACCGCCGGCGGACGGCGGCCCCGCGAGGTCGCCGCACACCCGGTGTCCCGCCAGCGATCGTTCCACACCGTTTCCTCGCGCTTTGATATCTCGACGTCTCCGGTCCCGATGGTTCAGGATTGTTCTCGCCCGTACTGACTGAGGAGGAGCGGCAGGTAGCAGGAGTCGGCTCCTGACGGTTAGTTAGTCGTAGTTGGATATCATAATTTTTAAAGTCGATCATGACGCAGCAGTATTTTAGTATCGTACGGACTATGTTTAAGTTTGTCATAGCGTCACCTCCCGCCTCCACCGCTCCGCGTGTTGGAGGTGGTCGTGTATCGTGTAATATGTTTCGTATATGTTGATGGTGGAGTGTTCGCGGGTGTATGTCGGGAGCGTCACACAGCGCCGCCTCCCGTCCGCTGCGCGTGTCCCGGACCGCACACAGTCAAGTGCCTGACCGTCCGCCGGCCGGGGCGGCTCGCTCGTGTGTCACACACACACACACACAATGAACGGCCTTCGTAGCGTTTTATACACATATATATAAAGTAGGGGGCGCCGCGCGGACGGCGTGTGTCGGACACAAACTGCTTCTGTGATGTTTCGCTCTAGTGATATCGATTATTCGTTTAGGCACAAATTATATCGATACCGTAAGTTACTGTAAGGAGGACGGGGGGAGAGCCGCGGTCTCTATAGCTGTATATATTCCGAGGTATCTGCTTGGGGCGCGCCGCTTGCTTGCCGCGGGTGCTCCGCTGCCCAAGGCCGGGTCGTGTAGCCTCGCTCGCCGCGTGTCGCTTGTCATCAGTCTCTAGCCTCTCTAGAGTCTGTTCGTGTCTGTTTGTTTGTCACTCCCTCTCCGCAGTGTTCATGTATCATTTTCCGTTCTACTATCGACGCGCTTCACTCGTGGAGGTGTACTCGTATGAACATGCTGTTTGAAGTGCAGGCAACTTTTGTAGTTTCATTGTCGTATTGAATAAAGTCATGAATACTAATTCATCTGTATGTTTTATTTGTTGACTTCCCAAACCCATGATGGCGATATTTATATATTAATCAGATAAATAAAAACACTATATAATTTAACACAATTGCTAAGCAAAAAATGCTATGTGTGAAAATTTCGTAACAACATTATTTTAGACAAGTGTTACAAGTGGCGCCATTTGCGCCGTACTAATTATAATATACTGTAATCCTTACAATAATTACTTTCATGAATGACTATAATCTATACTAATATTATAAAGCTGAAGAGTTTGTTTGTTTGAAAGCGCTAATCTCCGAAACTACTGGTTCGAATTGAATAATTCTTTTTGTATTGGATAGTCCAGTTATCGAGGAAGGCTGTAGGCTATATAACATCACGCTACGACCAATAGGAGCAAAGATATAGTGGTAAATGTGTAAAAAACGGGAGAAATTATTTCATCTTTGAAGCCTTCCGTTGCGTGCGCCGTGAAAATGGTTCAAGATACACAAAAAATATGTGTTAAAGAATAATAGCTCTTTTAATGATCTAAAAAACTGTCCGCGACAGTATATGTCTATCTTTTAAGATTAACTCACAAAAACCGTTTTTGTGGTACCTAATTTTATTCAAATAACGAGAAAAATATATATATTTTTCTATAAACCATGATACCATCACAGGAATTATGCATAGGTAAATGTAAAAAGTTCAAATTATTATATTATATTAAATTAACTTTCGTAGTAAATATATAAGCAACTAATGTTTAAAAAAAATGAAGAGGGTGTAGTTTTAGCATAGAATGAAGAAATATTTTTTTAACCTTGACATCAAAATATAAACTTATGTACAGCCACGGGCAAAAGTATTAGGCACCCTACAGTAAGACAAGTTTTAGGGTGTTTTAGCATAGCGAGTGTAAATAAAACTGCATTTATGATTACAATGGTTTATTTTAAGAAAATAATTAATATTTTGTAGGTCCACCTTTTGACTTAATAACCGCAGCCACTCTTTTTGGCATTGACTCTACCAGCCTGAAACATTCTTCTCTTGATATATTTTTCCATTCCTGCTGTAACGCGGCCAATAGAGCTTGTTTATTGCTAATCGAGTGCCTGCGGATATTTTTCTTTAAAATGGACCAAATATGCTCAATCGGGTTGAGGTCTGGTGATTGTGGTGGCCAGTCCAAAAGATCAATATGATTTTCAGCAAACCACTTCATGGTATGCGCGGACTTGTGGCAAGTGGCGTTGTCTTGCTGAAATTTCAGGCCATCGGTGTTTGTACCAAGAACAGGTCTTGGTCTATTTTCATGGGTGCCAGTCTCTTTGAAGCGATTTATAGCATATTGAACTGCACATCGCGAGCACTTCACTTCTCGGGCTATTTTAACCTGAGACATGCCTTGTTCAAGTAAAATCTTAATTCTTAGACGCTGTTCAGCACTAAGTTCAGATTTTTTCGGCATGACTAACACGTTAAATGTTAGTCTTTAGAATTGTGATAGGAATAGTTGCGTAGAAGACGTGTATGTTCACTGCAAGCACTGATAACACACTATAACCCGAAACGCAAAAAAAGCAAATTCGAAGAAACACCGCTTAGGAGCACACCTGGATGTCATAAATATTTTCTTTTATCTTAATTTGGTTAAAAATTGCCGCTAATACAATAGCTAAACCATAAAACACAGACTTGACCGCAATATAATGAGATAGTGACTAACAATAGGGGTGCCTAATACTTTTGCACGCAGCTGTACAAGGTACAGTTTCAGTCTTGATTTTGAATGTTCATTATTTTCGGTAATGTCCGTACAAAATGGCTGAAACCAGTATTTATTGTTACCAAGTACAAGTTGACACTTAAATGTTGCATTATAAAATTACAATTGTTCAGATTTATGATTAACTTTTGCCGCGACTTCGTCCGCGTGGAATAGTGACTCCCGGCAGATTTTTGGTTCTTCCCACATAGTTCCCGTTCTTGCGGGGTTTTCGGAATGATCGAGTTCCCGTAGAATTTTCAGGATAAAACCTGTTTTTTTTTATTCACAATGAAGTACTCTTAACCAACAACATATTTATTTGTTTATTTGAATAAAGATTAATATTATTATGTTGATACAACTTAAACAAATAATTTCGACCAAATTAGGTACCATAAAAACGGTTTTTGTGAGTTAATCTTAAAAGATAGACATATACTGTCGCGGACTGTTTTTTAAACCATTAAAAGAGCTATTATTCTTTAACACATATTTTTTGTGTATCTTGAACCGTTTTCACGGCGCTCGCAACGGAAGGCTACAAAGATGACAATTTTTCCCGTTTTTTACACATTTACCACTATATATTTGCTCCTATTGGTCGTAGCGTGATGTTATATAGCCTTTCTCGATAACTGGACTATTCAACACAAAAAGAATTATTCAATTCGAACCAGTAGTTTCGGAGATTAGCGCTTTCAAACAAACAAACAAACAAACTCTTCAGCTTTATAATATTAGTATAGATGAAGACAACTTTACATCTTTATAACTTTGGATACTAAATACTAATATTGTATCCTATAGTTGCTTAGTTTTAATAAACTCTTAATAAACATTTTTAACTATATAAAATAATTTCTTTTATTCTAGATAAGGGTCAATTCCATTTATATTAAATAAATAAATAAAAATAAATAAATAAATATCACAATAAAAGACTAGGAATAGGCGATAGCCAGCATACTGACTATTTAATTCATCAAAATGCGGTACAAAACAATTAAAAGGAACTGAAAAACAATTAAGAGGAACTAAAAGACACAAAGATGCACTTTATTCAAGGTTGGAACCTTATCACCCTTATATTCTTTTAAAAATAGATATTTTCGTGATTGCCTTATTTTTTCTATTTGGAAAAAATTATACATATAATTTTTATCCTCTAAAAACCTCAAAGTGGTAATCGGGATGTAAATCGAAATTGTTGGTTTTACATACATATCGCAAACTGAATTTACTAAATAATTTATTGCCCCTTTTTATTTTCTGACATTATTTAATGTTATACTAGAATGATATATTCTGAAAAATATTCTGAACCTGAGATTAAAATTTAATATATTAGTAATTTTCCCTATTACAATAAAGTAACATTAATAATAGTAAGATGTCATATAAAAACTAGAATCTACTACGTCCAAAACAATCTAATTACTAAATTTGTACCACGTACTGTCATTGTCATTGTCATAAGCAAAATGGCTCCGAATTGTTTCTATATTTCACGTTGTTAAAAATGCATTAACTCTTGTATAATAACACGAAATTGTTAAACTTTAACCTGTTCATAATAATACTTTTTATATTATTGTTAACCATTATCTAGTTAATACTTAAAACAAACTATGGATCGCAGCAAGGAAAACAAACGACGCCACGATCGCCACAATGAGAATGAAGAATACAGGGATAAGAGATCTAGAAAGCGTCGCTCAAGATCACGATCTCGAAATGATGATCGCTCGAAAGAATCTAGAAGAAAAAGAAATCATTCCAGGTCGAGGTCTCCCGCTGCTGGAGACAGAAAAGATAGACGTCGTAACGACGCGCCAAAAGATGTTCCAAATAAAACAGATGTACCATCAGCCCCCAAGAAAGCTAAAGAAACTGATATGTTGAACACTCGGACAGGAGGAGCGTATATACCGCCGGCGCGTCTTAGAATGATGCAAGCTCAAATAACCGACAAATCATCTGTGGCATATCAGAGACTGGCTTGGGAAGCGCTAAAGAAGTCTGTGCACGGACATATAAACAAGATAAACGTTGGCAATATTGGTATCATTATTAAACAACTTCTGAAAGAAAATATTGTTCGGGGTCGTGGTTTGTTGTGTCGATCCGTTATACAGGCACAAGCTGCCTCACCAACATTCACAAATGTGTACGCCGCTTTGGTTGCAGCAGTGAACTCGCGTTTCCCTAATATAGGTGAACTCTTGCTTAAAAGGTTAGTTATACAATTCAAGAGAGGTTTCAAAAGGAATGATAAATCAACCTGCATATCATCAGCATCATTCATAGCCCACCTGGTGAATCAAAAAGTAGCACACGAAATACTCGCTCTAGAATTATTGACATTACTTGTAGAAACACCGACGGATGATTCCGTGGAAGTTGCTATTGCATTTTTAAAGGAATGTGGACAAAAACTAACAGAAGTATCATCTAAAGGTGTTAATGCTATATTTGAAATGTTACGAAATATTCTACATGAAGGGAAATTAGATAAAAGAGTACAATACATGATAGAAGTGGTGTTTCAAGTGTGGAAGGATGGATTTAAAGATCATCCGGCTGTGATTGAGGAACTGGAGCTGGTGCCCGAAGAAGAACAATTCACACACTTGCTGATGTTAGATGATGCTACCGATGCACAGGATATACTGAGTATGTTAAAGAAATTTAACCTTTTGTTATTAGTTACAATAATATCAGTGTAGTATTCAATAAAACTATGTTAAATTTGTCATGTATGTATTGTGCTAAGTAGCAAAACTGAATGATAGAAACTAATATAATGAAGTAATCTATTTATATTACACTAGACAACATATTTTATTACTTTAATACCAAGCAAGTATAACTAATACATAATTAGAATCACTGTGTAAACTAACAATATTTTCTAAATTTCAGATGTATTCAAATTTGATGACAAATATGAGGAAAATGAGCAGAAATATAAGGCATTGTGTGGTGAGATATTGGGATCGGATGCTGAGTCCGGTGAAGATGATGGTTCTGAGGAATCGGGCAGTGAGGAGTCTGACGAGGAAGATGAAAAACAGAAGGAAGTCACAATTATTGACAACACAGAAACTAACTTAGTAGCTCTAAGAAGAACTATATATCTTACGATAAACTCTAGTTTAGATTTTGAGGAGTGCGCACACAAGCTGATGAAAATGCAATTAAAACCTGGCCAAGAAGTTGAGCTATGTCACATGTTCCTTGACTGTTGCGCGGAACAGAGAACCTATGAAAAGTTCTATGGTCTACTCGCACAACGTTTCTGTAACATCAACCGCATTTATATCGGCCCATTTGAGGAAATCTTCAAAGATTCTTATGCCACTGCTCATAGGTTGGACACCAATCGCTTAAGGAATGTTAGCAAGTTTTTCGCACATCTCCTTTTCACTGATTCAATAAGCTGGGAAGCATTGGAGTGTGTCAAGCTGAATGAAGAGGACACAACAAGTTCAAGTAGAATTTATATCAAGATACTTTTCCAAGAACTAGCTGAGTATATGGGATTGAAGAAATTGAATGATCGCCTCAAGGATCCGTAAGTATTCATTTTCAAAGATATATAAGATCAAGTTCTGTCAATGTTGCAGTCAGTATTATAAACATTTTACTACAATTGTATCCTTCCTCTGCAGGACACTACAGCAAGCCTTTTCAGGAATATTCCCAAGGGACAACCCAAAGAACACTCGGTTCTCCATCAACTTTTTCACATCAATAGGTTTAGGAGGCTTAACAGATGAACTGAGAGAACATTTGAAACAGATGCCAAAGGTGACCTGCATATTAAATTAAGCATATATTATATTTAACACCTAGTATATATATATTTGTATATTTTGAAATTAACATCAATATTGTCTGTTCAACCACATGATTTATTATAATTTACAAGTATTTCAAGCCTTATCATTGTCTTCCAGAATGTGCCGCCACCCATCACTGAGATAAATATTGACAGTGAATCAAGTTCAGACTCGAGCTCTAGTTCCAGCAGCTCAGACAGCAGCAGTTCCAGCTCAAGTGATTCAAGTTCTAGTGGTAATAACGATTGTCATATGCTAATATTTCTATTACTTTGTGAAATTTATACCATTAAATTTGTTTCTTTCTAGATTCAGAGGCTGAAAACAGCAAAAAACAGAAAAAAACGAAGAAAAAGACTAAAAATAAAACACCGAAAACTCCAGAACCAGAAGAACAACCCAAGAATAAAGAATCAGATAAAACAGAACGATGGGGGCATGATGGGTTTTATGACACTTACGGGAAAGACGCCAGGAGAAATGAAGTTAGTTTTGGAAGGAATGGGAGGGAGAAAGGTGAACATACTAGAAGCAGACGCGACTATCAGAATGGAGAAGAGAGGAACAAGAATAACGATAGGAGGAACGAACGAGAACAAACTGGTAGAAATAGGGGCAGGGAAGAATATAGGGACATGGACAAAGAACGGGTTGGAGAACATCATAAGAAAGATAAAGGGAATAGAGATAGAGACACCAACAACCGTTATGATGATGATGAAAATGATTTTAATAAGAGACGTCACGAGCGAGACTCACGGAGAGACAGAGACGACACGAGATCAAGAAGAAACGGAAAAGAAACAGAAGAACATCGAGAACGAAATGATCGTGAAAAGGAAAACGGAAAGAAAGATAAAAAACGTTACGACCGTGAAGACGAGAGGGAGACTCGAAAGAAGAGAGACGAACAGGAGAAAGAGAATAGAACAAGAGATAGAGACGGCGAGGGAAGGAAACGACAGGAAGGAGAAGATGGCACGAACAAGAAGAGTGAAGGAAACGATGAGCGGCAGACAGAGAGAAGGAACAGACGCGGAGAAGACGACGGAGATAGAAGGAAACGAGAGAAGGATACAAGGAGAGACAAGGATAGAAACACACCCGACACTAACACAAGTAAACGACGTGAGGCCCGTGAGACAGAGACGGGAGATAAAAACGAATATAAAACAAAAGACGACAAAAACAATGAAGATGTTAACTGTCTCGGCTCCCGGTACTGGGACACGTTTGATGTTCAGAGTAAAAATGATACGACTAAAGAGGATGACAGCTTCGAAGCCAGGACTCCTGAGAAAAACGAAAAGTACTATGAGAGAAGACGCGAGCGATGAAATGTGTTGTGTGTATAGTATGTAAGGTTTATTAGAATGTTGAATATAACGATGAACGTCTGTAAATATTTGATATAAATATACTTGAAATATTTTAAGTAAACGTTTCTTTTATTGAATACGAAACTTTTTATATTTACCACATCGCAAAAGTTGTTTTATATCACAAAGGTTGTATAGTCGTACAATACTTTAAAAAAAATACGTACGGAGATGTCATGATACTAGTTTGTTGTTTGTACACTAACTGTATAGACAAATAGAGAAAAATGGAAAATTGTTACCAACCGCAACGAACAGACCATACATTGGAAACGAAATACGATTCAGAGACCAGCGTGGAAACAACAAGTTCCAATAGAATACATATAAAATCTAAATCAGCCCCCATCACAGAATTAACGAAGGGAGATGAGGACGGTCTAAAACATCAGACATCTGCACCCTCTTACTTACATTCATTGAAAGACAACCAAGCTCCTCCTTTTCTAAAGCCGGAGAAGCAAGCTAAACCACACCTTTTACTGGGCACGATCGTCACCGAAGACGAGCTTGTGGAAATAATAGCGGCATCAGATAGCGACCCTAGCGATGGCTTGAGGAAAACACTAGGTTTGTTACACAAGAACATTCTAGAAAAACTTTTAAGCTAAGAAATACATTAATTTTAACTGTTTGAAGGTCAGTATCTTGTAAACAAGAAGCTGATACATAACTACAGTTTATCAGAAAAATCGTTTCTTGTAAGTTTGCTTATGGAGTGTATCGACTATGCCGCTCAGCGCAGTTTCTCAACACACAAACTAGCCTGCATGCTGACTCTGTACCTGGCGAGCCACTTGTACTTCAAGTGGTATTATTGGCTGCCACCCGTCGCTGTATGGAAATATTTCAAAGAAATTATGATACGACACACTATTGAGGTATTTCTTTGACAAAGTTATTTTTGATATTTAAGAGTAACTACTAATTAGTTTGTCATCCACATAGGACTCACCCGACGGCCAAGAAGTGTTTGAACCCAAGGAGTGTTATGATATATTATCACACTTTCATACAATATACTTGAGCAACTTGCCTTTAGTACACATATTAACTTTTGGAGTGCACCGGTTGAAACTGTCATGGCCATTCAAGCCCAAGTAGCAGAATATTTAGCAGCCCAAGTAGCAGAGTATTAAGTAGATTAAATATATGGTATGAAACAAGATATTCCAAAGAATTATTTTGTTAACAACTTTGTATAAATAAAACCAAAATCATAATAAAATAGTTTATTATTAAACAACAGCAGTCATTTTATTCTTAGTCTTCTTTCTTTTTCTTACTTTTCCTTCTGCAACTCCGTCTTTTTTAATATTTTGTTTGTCACCTGGCTTTTTCTTCTTTTTCTTGCATGATAATGGATTAGGATTTTTAGGTTTTTTCTTTTTAATGATTACTTTAGTGTTTTCTTCAGTTTCTTCTACACCCAGGGCTTTCTTAATCTTTTTTAATGTTTCATTCTGTGCTTCACTTATAAATGGATTTGTCTCTAGTGAGTGACCGACTTTATCATAACTTGCCTTCGATGGTTTCTCTAGTGTAGGAGACTTGTTATGTAAGTAAAGCAATGGAACACCGGCTTTATTCCTCATCTTCTCCTGTAAGTCTCTATCTTGAGTTGACAGAATGTAATGTTTTTGATTGTTTTTCCCTATCATGGATAGAATACATTGAGCACCTGACACAGGCTCTTTGTGATCACACTCATGAATACCAAATTGTTTAAGAATTGTGAGAGCCCCATGAGTCTTTTTAGCTATTTTTTCAGTTTCTTTTATAATACATCTTGTTGTTAGCAGCTTTACATTACCATTGAGATATTTAGGTAGCTGCTCTCTTACATTAATGTGCTCCTGAAACAACAGTATAAATATTACTAGGAGTTTGGTATGATATTACTGAATTGTGACAAGTAAATATTGGTACCTAGTTTTGATTACTGCTCACGGGTTCTGGAAAGTTCTCCTGCCACCGCATGCTTTGTTCTTTAAGGGTTAAGTGAGAGTCAGCGCTATCCGCTTCAGGATCTGGCAGCTCGTCGAGGGGTACTAAGATATCTTCATCGGGAAGTTGCTCAGCTTTCCATTCCTCGTCCACTATATCTATTAGTCGTCCGTTACGTCTGTATTTACTATCCATTTTTATATTAATCGATATTTATTTTATATACTATATTATTTTTATGCGGGGTGAGCAGTAATCCAAACTAATTTACCCTGAAAAGAAAAAGAAACTTACTTTAAACGCTGCGAAACAGAAGGTGCCATCAATTAAGACTTGGTATGGTTGGTGGAAGCCAAAGTTATTGTAATAGAACTTTAGATATTTTTGAACTTTTTTATAACGCGTTATCTTCATGATTGATTATTTTTACCTTCGTATGGCTAGCAACATAAACATAACTTTATTACACAGGAGGAACACGTTTCTATAGAAGTCTTGCCTCTTGGGAATAAACTTCGTTTGTTATGACAGTTGAAGTTAGAAAAATGACAGCAGGTAGAAACCTTCAGTAAATTTTGCAACTAAATGAAGCCTTTAATTTTAAAAGACTACCAGTAAATATTAATCAATTCTATATAACCATGAAACTTTAAACATTTACTCTTAAAATTAAAAGTAAATAACGTTACGTATACTACGATCTCATAGACAAGAATCGTATACCATAGAGATATAGACATTTTGTAAATTGTCTTGCTCGCTCTCTCGCTTCCATGTTTGTTCGTGGTCATTTCGCATTTCTGTGCTAGATATTCTAGTTTAGCGAATCCATTAATGATTTTATTCGTATAAGTGTGTAATTAATGAAATTATCCGATTCGCGGCGACCTCACAAGGATTTGTCGCCATATAAAAAGTGTACACGGGCCATATAATAAAGGGAGGGTACGTCTTTCATGTCCTTAAAATGTAGTAAATGCGTCATTTTATCAAATAATGTAGAGTAAGATTTCAGTACGACAGCAGTAAATCTCGTAAGTATCTGTGGTTGGTTTCGTGGTGTCTAAAGTAAGTGGTCAGAGGGAGGAATCGTAGTGGTCCCAACTGTTTCGGGCGGAGGAGATCGTAAATGATAGGACGGCGGAGGAAGTGGATTGATACGAGTTGTCACGGTTAGTCATCGAAAGCAGAGACCCGTTTTTACGAACCAACATCAATTTGGTGGAGAATTGTAATGGTTGGTTCCGCATCTGCGCCAAATAATCGCCGATAAAGTCCCATTGTCTATAGTTTCTTTGTGATTTCGCAATGATATACACGCAGAGATAAATAGCACTTGTTTTTGTTTAAAACTTTTATGACATTTGTTTTGATGTGTTATAATCCTTTGTATAACTAAATATATAGGTTCTTCTAAATATATTAGCTAGTTATATTGTCAGTTCATTTTTAATGTTTAAATTGTACATTGCATAGTTTTGTGTTGTCTGGTGAGTTTTCATTATCAGCCTCATTATCATATGAGTAATCAAATTGGATTATTATTAAATGGCATATTTTAATAGAGAGCTTTGTCAGTTGATGTTTTATGTAACTGCACTCATCCAACTTCACAATGAAATCTTACAACAGCCATAGAAACTACGTTGAGAGTCAATTGTATTGTATAAATTGTTCAGTAGGTAATAACAAATTTGATTGTAAACAAAATTACTATGACTCATATACATAAGTGGTGAAGAGGTGTCTTAACAATTAACACTTAAATTGATTGCATGTAAAAAATAATATATTATTGTTAATATTGATCTATTAATATGAATGGAGAGTTATATAAATATATATGTTTTTTTTATCAAATTTCTCCTCCAGTGACACCTGAACAGTGTCTAGGGAAAACTTGTTTAGAACTAGTTAAGATGGTCTAATGAATAATTAATTTTACATTAAAAGAATATTGTGCTTGCCAGTCATTCTGCCATTAAGGTTTTAATGCTGTTAATTTGATCGCTAGTTAATTACCTGTATTTTTATTTTAATATTTCTATAAGCAGTGAAATATAGTATTAGTTTTGATTTATGTTCAATTAGTGAGGTAGGAATGTATTAATAGTATAAAGAGACATCTTACTTTATGTGTAGTCTCTGACGACATTGCTAAGTCAGTAATCCAATTTGTCAGCTTGATTTTATGTAAACAACGCGGTTTGTTCAGTTTATTTATAGAGAGAAAACTATACAGATTTATAGTTAGTGAAGTGTGTTATTAAATATTAATAAATTGAAAATGATCTCTATTGTAAGTGTTAATGTTTTGATAAGGTTATATAGAATATGTAACAATGAAATGCTTTGTGCAGGCGATGGCAACGAACCGAAGTGCTCAGAGGCCAAACGGGGCGCCTCAGACTAAGGTGTGCCAGTTCAAGCTGGTTCTGTTGGGCGAGTCGGCCGTGGGCAAGTCTTCATTGGTGCTACGCTTCGTGAAGGGTCAGTTCCATGAGTATCAGGAGAGCACTATCGGAGCAGCATTCCTTACACAGACACTCTGCCTCGACGACACCACTGTCAAGTTTGAAATCTGGGACACGGCAGGACAGGAGAGGTAAGGGAAAGTCTATCATTACACTATGGACATCAGATTTAACTGTATTATATACCATTATAAATAAGTTGGATTTGACTTAGTTGAGCTTAGAAAACATCACACTTACTAAAGTAGTTATTTTTGTAAAAGATTAATTTTTAAGAAATTTGTTTACTTATTCCCGTAGAGAAGTAATAGACTATATATATATTATGCATACTCTATTACATAGGAATGTATTTAAATGCATATTTTTCCAGTATTGATTCAAAGAAACTAGTCGAGTTACGTAGTGTGTCGTCACAAAATTCATTGTCAAGATCCGCGTGCAATCATAGAAATGCGTTCATAATATTTACTTATAGTTTTTTTTGTCTTCTAATAACTTTGTTTTTAAGATAGGTATATTTTTCTCGTCTCCGTACAGACATTTTTTTTTATTAGACGTAATTTTCCCGCGAAAATACCACAGACTATCAATAAACTGTGTGCAGGTGACATGTTAATTTTATGTCACCCCGAGGAGTATTTAATACTGTTAATTAATTTTTGTGAAATATGATACGATTATTGTAATTTATTTAATAGTCATATGTACGTAAGTTTTTATGGCATTTATATAAAAAGGTATAATATGTTATACGAATTCTTCCAGATATCACAGCCTGGCTCCTATGTACTACCGGGGAGCGCAGGCCGCCATTGTAGTCTACGACATTACTAATCAGGTAATTTTTTTGATCACAGATGTATTTCTATAAACTATTAAGTATATTAATGACTCATATAAATAAAATAGTCTTTAGTATACATTAAAGTTTAAGAAACTAATATATCGTGAGAAAAATGTTCTCAAATAATAATATAATGCTTGTCGTTTGTCTACGGTTTTGTTCTCCTACGGTTCTCATGATGGCCATTTTGTATTTTTTATTACTAAATTTCACATTTTTTTTTGTTATCATAAGCAAAATTTTCTTTATCGAATTTCTTTATCCACTTAGGTACCCTCTTTAATAATTACTTAGTCTTAAAATTATTAAATTGTGTTATACGGTAAAGAGGTAGTTTCTGCCAGTCATACATTTGTCTGTGTGTAGGCGTTATCTTGAAAATTTGTTATCTATTTAACACGGACGGGATTTCAGTATTTTTTTATAATAAACAAAAATACGTATTCGTATGAGTCATTATTTAAAATAGGGGAATTAAGTTTTATTATCATACAAGTATGTACGTACGTACATGTATGGATGGATCACAATGATATGTTAAATTGTTAATAAAGTCGATAACTACAGTTGTAAATAAAAATATTTATATTTTTAATTGTACATTATAATCTTTTTATCCATTTGAAACATATCTCAGGGCTTTACCCTTTACTTTAGGACACTGACATTTGTATTAAAGTCTCAAAGATTAAATACTTACAGAGCAGACAAACAATAATATATTATTTTAAAGCTAATATGTGACCATTTAAATTGAAATCCTGTCCAATAACGTTATATAGTAGAAGCCGCGGCTCGTCTTAGACTGGCTGGCCTTCGTATTAACGATAAAAATATGTTTATCAATCTTCATTTCCATATTAATTCTATTTATAACACGTAAATTACCTGTTCAATAAATTAAAATTGTAGAATGTAACTTTAAAGTGTATTATAACATCAGGCAAAGGTATTCGACCACAGTATGCACTTGTGTTCTTACAGTAATTAAGACTCATTGAAGCGTCCTTTAAATGGTTAGTAACAAAGAAAAGATTACCGCCAAATGTTGTAAAATGATCGTTCTAAATTCAAATTATTTTTTTTATTTTTATAAATTGCTATTAGGGTTCCAAATTTAAATAAATTACCTCGTGTTCTAAATTCAAATATATAATTCTTCTGATGTATGTAGCCGTAGTACAAGCTCCATACGTTAAGCAATTTCGTCGGTCCGTGTTTCTCAATAAATTAGCGAACAATCCTCAACCAGTCAAGGTCAGTGTATTGCATAATATCGTTAAGTTTTCCATACTACGTTAAGACGGCGACTCAGTATGGACAAAAATTAACTTTACTAACATCTTATGAGAATTGAACCAGTATTTCTATTCAAATTTCAGTACAGGAGAGGTCACGATATATTTGTTACATTGGTAAAGCTTAAATTGATCCAATATACGTTCAGAAATACAATTCATAAATTATTATAGCTTACTAAATAATGTATAAGTGGAGAACGTTATTTTCTACAATTGTAATATAATCTGTAGCATATACATATAAATATAGTATGTTTGTGTGTATTTATAGCGAGCGGCGATACGACCTTGACCTCCAAATTTTTATAAGACTTATAGACAGATTTGTCTACATATAATAATAATTAATTTTATATACATTTCTTCTTATTACCCAGCATTTTGTGTGAGCAGGTAAATTGTTTTTTATTGTCTCGTTTATTGTAAAATCAATTATACTAATGACCTTCAACCATCGATCGCTGCGTTTATAAGAAAAAATAAATTATTCAACACATTACAATATAATTATAAAATAAATGAATTCCATAATTATTTAGCGACTTTAAAATTAACGAATTCTTTATCAAGTCGGGATGAAATTTTAATAATAAAGGAACGGACGCGGGAAACAAAGTTGTATCCCTATTACGAGTTAGCATATTTACGCTAAACTGACAGTTTACGGTTTGTCATTTACAGATACTTCGCACTTCATGTTCAAACTAAGTATATGAGTCAGTGTATTAATGAAAATAATCTCTTTCTCTTCATAATAATATTAATAAATCATTTTAAATGAAATAAAAAGTCATTGAACGATTGAATATTGAAATTGTACAGTTGAGAAGAGTATTTGTATTGTTTGACGCCCCTCACGTGACGACACAATACATTGATAACACTTGGATTGTTTGTTTGAAGATTAAATTAATACCACCGAGAGGATAGCTGTGATGACGGCCATTACCGGTGTTGTCACTACATAGAATATACATGAAAAATATTAACTGAATGTTTACATATGTTAAAATGCAGTGTTTTGTTATTAAAATGTTATTTAGTGCATAACAACGGAACTAAGATTAGAAGTGGTAAAAAATTATTAAGGAATTGTTAGTGTGCAAAAAAAGAGTAAATTGTAAACACGAGCCGTTGAATGGAAGACAGTATAATAAATATATATGGTTATTGTATGATAATGTTAAAGATTATATTTATATTGAAATGTTTGTTTTACTAAGAGTTTAATGACTGCTGAATGTTTTACTTACCTCTCAGGAATAATGAAGGTTTCTTAACATATTTTTAACGTTTTTTTTAAGAATTTAGATGTTTGAATATTTTTTTTCATTATACGATATTTTATTAAATATACCATGCTTTAAATTGGATGTCGTCAGTTCGATTCCTTGTCGCGATCATGATTCTTTTTAACACGTTTTTACAAGCTAAATGAAGCTTGTTTGTAGTCATAATATTGGTAAATATATTAAAATAAGAATCGAGTCATAATCAAATACGTGTTTGTGCGTGTGTGCGTGCGTTCAATCTTATTAATGTAGGTCTTCAGTTGAAGGACGTGAGCTCGCGGATCGATACAGGCAGGCTTTGACATTATAGAAATATGAAAAATATAAATATGTTTGTTTGGAAAATATTAGACGCCGATAGTGATATCAGACACTGGAACAGTCGCTGTAGGGGGCAGGGACCTGGATAGAGACATGAGCTATCGATTAATGTGTGATAATGAATACATGTGACGCGGTACAGCGGCTGGGTGTTTTGGACACCAGGTGTCTCCTTTATACATTTGGTTTAGAGCATTGATTATAACAATGAGACATTGGTTACTAAGTATAAGATGAGAGTAATAGCTTCTGGATCTATGTCTCATTATCTTCTTCTTCTTCCTGGCAATGTCCTAGCTTTGAGTCTCAATATATTATGTATATAATTCAGTGTCATTTGTTTCATATCTATGTTTATCGTCACATATCTTTATTAATTATTCCTATATTGAGTAAATTGTTATAATCACGTGTTCTAGAAGAACTATTATACAGTACAGTTACAGTATGTAACTAATAAAAAGGACCATATCATTTGTATGTAGCGTATACAATTCCTCTATAGAGAGAGGAAGCCAAATGAAATGTATTGAAAGAAACATATTTGTAATTAATAATAATACTGTTTCATAGGACACATTCGGTCGCGCCAAGAACTGGGTGAAGGAGCTCCAGCGGCAGGCGTCCCCGTCCATCGTGATCGCTCTGGCCGGGAACAAGAGCGACCTGGCCGCCAAGAGGATGGTGGAGTTCGAGGAGGCGCAGGCCTACGCCGACGAGAACGGGCTGCTGTTCATGGAGACCAGCGCCAAGACCGCCATGAACGTTAACGACATATTCCTAGCCATCGGTGAGTACACAGGGGGCGCCACCTGTACTGACGGTAGGCTGTGTACTGTGATGTATACTGATGACGTGACGTGTCGCCCGCAGCCAACAAGTTACCAAAGAGCGAGGTGTCGACCGGCGGCGCGGGGACCAGGGTGCTCAACGACGCGGACGCGCCGCGGGCCTCCTCCTGCTGCAAGTGATACCGCCAGGTGACGCACGCTACACCACTAGGAACATGGAACCGACTCAGGGCGGCAACAAACTTTACGGAATATTGTATGTTACAGAGCGATCGGCAGCGGCGAGCGACCGCCCGCGGGTGACGCCCGGCCGGGGGACACGAACACACACACACACACACACATCCAACACACACACACACACAGTCCGCGGCCGCGCCAACATCTCGACTGCTGTCTCTGTATAGTTATATTTTTCTAATTCACTGATGAGTTGTAAAGCTCCCGCCGGCCGCGCTCCGACCTCGTGCCGTGTCGTGTCCGCCGGCCCGCGAGGCCCGACCATAGACTAACTTGAAACTTATCCGTAACGGTAACGAGTAAAATATAAATATATAATGATAAAATAAATATTTGTATCATGTTATAGGCGGCATTGTTTTTCCCTTAGCTTAAGGTCTTACTATGTTTAATTTTCATAGCGGTATTTAATCTGGTATGATACGACTCACGTGCGCTGTAGATAGAGTACCGGCTACCGGAAATATTTATAAATATAATGAAATGTGTTTAAATTAAAAAAAAATCGATAATATTTTTATTCTTTACTTAGGGGACGTAGCTTCACGTAACGAATTTTTAAAAAGGACGGATCGGCTCCGACAGTAGAGTGTAAATAAAACGTGTATTCAAAATGGACGTCAACTGTCACATTATACAAATAATTCCCGCGCTTATTTTCGTTCTGCACTAGCTTCGTACTCGGGATGCATTTACAATTATTATGAGCCATTTCATTATCTCTAGAGTAACGTATCAAGTTTATGTGTGATCATGTTCAAGGGCTCCTTGTTCGCGAGGGCTCGTGCTGGTTCCATCTCTTCATCAATCATCTATATACATATGTTATATTTTTGTAAGTCCATCCTACACCGAGGAGGTGTAGATCAGTTTTATCGTTTAGTTCAAATGAATAGAGACTATACATGATGTAGTGTTCGTAGGAAATTATGAATTGGTTAACGGGCGGTTAGATGTTACAGATATAATAATAATAATATGAAATGTTTGTTGGTGACGCATTCCAGTGGCGCGCTCGGCTCGCACGGCTTGTATTGGAACGATACGTGAAGATGGGAACACTGTTGTACATCAACGCCATCGCCATCTTGTTGTCTGTGAGGTGTGGTTATTGTTACACGTTACATAATGTATTAGACAGCCAGCTAACTACTTAGTATCCGTCGATACGAATCGATCTAAATGTGTTTGGAATCAAATTATTTAATATATGATAGTAATACATATTGTTTTTTTATAAATCGAGTAATGAAGTTATTATACATAAGTTTTTATATTCGCATCAGTCCAGATCGTTTCTCGCCACACCGTGTTCCGGCTCGGTCGTCGGTGTGAGCTCATAGTCGTCATCATTCAGTGTGTCGGTCACGTCTCGCCGCGGTACATGTCATGTATCTATATTTTTGGGTAACGTTATATTTGGACGGCATCAGTGATACCACAGAATGTGCAATAAGTAAGCTTCTAAGATCACCGCTTCCGATATATATTATATACAAGTTAAGGTTCGCGACTCGAGGCGAGGTGAGGGGGCTGGCGCTCCGTCACTCAACCGGCGCGAACACGTTTATGAAGGTCATATAGTATGGTTTTGTATTGTGTAAATATTTTGGATTTATTAAGATTATTATATTGAATAAAAAAATATTGTAAATTACTTTGTTGCTTTTTATTTACCTCTGTTTTTGTCGCTCATGGTATCCATTATAAAGAAAGTTACATATAGGTTAAAAATAGTTCATAGATTTTTTTTTATTTCCACTCGAATAATGAAGTGATGGGAGTATATTCACAGAGAAGCCGGTTAATGATAATAATAGTTTTAATAAAACATCGTAACAAATTACTTACATCTATATTTTATGTTTAAAGAACAGAATGCTTAAGCAAAGTCACACAATAAAAGTAGCATTAAGGGTATCTATTCCTACATATTACAAGTTATTGAATTAGAATAGGAAAACGTACAAATTTGTACTAGGCGTACTAGAAACGTATATTATAGATCGTTGTGAAAGGAACATCATTAATTTAGCCATGATTATCAGATCTAATAAAATATAAATTTTCGATACGAACAATTTACAATAAGTTTTTATTGACTAGCAGATTTACATATGAAGTGATTGTCATCCAAATGACAATAATATATCTCATAATATAATGCATTAGAATTGCAATAAAAGATTCAAATTAAGTCATCCTAAATGTAGGAAGAAATAAACATTCTTTAAGTATATTACTGGCCTTTATATGTTGAGAGACACAAAACATACACAAATATATTTAAACAGTTGACTTATATAAATATATATGTGTAAAGTAACGAACAAGACACACAAGTTGTTGTTATTTACAAACATTGTGAACATATTCAACTAAAACATTAATCGGTTGTAGGCAAGAAAAAGAATTTGCTTATTATATATTAACAGGAATACTAGCCTCCATTAAGTACGGATACAATATTTAGACCAGCTATGTATATACACGTTAGTTTACAAGTTACAATAAAAATGCATTTACTACGGTCGTGTTATTGACAAGACCGAACATTATAAGTACTAATGACACATACACATGGCTTGTGTTATATTTGGCAGCATCTCTATGTAGTGAGAGCGTATAATCTTATATAACTATATTATATGTCGCATAGTGTGGTCACTCGTTATAGTTCGTCGTAGTATCTGTGGTCCGGAGCGGCCTCGCTGCCCACGAACACGTGATGATGTCCAACGACCTCTTCGTATGAGAGTCGGTCGTCGTGGTCGTCATCGGCAGACGCGAACAGGTGGTCCACCTCCTCTTCGGCTATCTCGCTGGAATACACATACATATTATACATTAATCTTATATATAAAATTTTCCCGTCACAATGTTCGTTCCCGTACTAATCCGAAACGGCTTGAGCGATTCTCATGACATTTTGTGAGCATATTGATTAGATCTGAGAATCGGCCGCCATCTCTTTCTCATTAAGTTATAAGGATTGTTCATCCCAAAAATTTATTTTTTGGGGGAATTTTTTTTTTAATAATATGGTATTAAAAATACAGACAACCGCAAATTTTACTTTTTTATCACCAACGCCTATTTTTTTATGTGACAAAACAACGTTTACCGGGTCAGCTAGTATGTTATATTAAAGATATGATCCTACAGTACATGTTTACTCCAGTATACTCACAGAAGCTCGGCGTGAAGTAGTCAGTAATGGCTGCGTTTCGTCCGATGAGTGAGAGAGCCGGTTGCCCTTTCCCTATTCCCAACCTTTCCTACCCGTTCCCTTTTCCCTACCTTTCCCACTCCGTCCACCCCCCTCTTTCTTAATCAAGGGTGGCAACACATCCGCGAACTATGCTGCGGATGTCCATGGGCGACGGCACCTCCTTCATCAGGTAGGCCGTCTGCTCGGTTGCTCACTTTCACATAAAAAAAAAGTATATGCTATACTCACTTGTTGTCAGGTATGAGCCAGCGCGTCAGCTCGTGCGCGTCCAGTGAGCCGTCCTTGTCGCGGTCCAGGTCGTGAGTGAACTTGTCCCTCTCAGACAACAACCACTCCTTGTCCTGCTGGACACCTGGAACACAAACACTCTGTACTTAATAACATGCAGTTAAACTCACGGGAATTCATTACTATTGATTAAATTTAGATGATAAATATGTTACAGTAGAAACTCGATTAACCGGACTAATTGTTATCGATAGGCATTCGGATAATCGCGAATCCATATAACTGAGGGCCGGATCATCGAGTTTTTACTGTATGTATTTGTAAACACTGTTAGTAAAAATTCAAGTGTCCATTTGTTATTTCAAATTAATAGTTTTTCTCTAGTAGTACTTGAAATCTACATCGAAAAAGTGATTTTAAATATATGTATCTGTCTGATAAACTAATCTCTAGAAAGTGTGAACCGTTGTTGAGAGAAATCTCACACGCCGGTGGAAAATATCATAAGGAGTTTTAAACCGAGTTTCAAAGGGAGGAAATTTTCAGTTTGACTGTGATTGTTACGTTATTACTCCTACAATAATTAGAGGTCGTCTTCAAAGTTAATTTTTAATCGAATGGACATTATATTGAGGTGATTTCACTGTCACTAGGTAAGGATGTGATGAAGGGGTCCTTGATAAATAGAATTTGGTGAGGATGATATATTATTGGAATTAAAATATTTCCTTTATCAATTATCATCCTGTCTTTGTTTGAAAGACTCATAAAAATACTGCTTTTTATTCACATACTAAATTCAGTTCTCAGGGTCTCCGGTGATAGTTAGCATGTTGTTTCATTTAAACAATACCCGCTCACAATTTCCCACACTTTCCTCATGATGATGTTTATATTTATAACTAGCAACATTCATTTCTTTCTTACTTATTGTCGACTTTAAAATGTTAAACATAGCATAGTTTACTACAATACTTGTACATATTAAGTCAAAAATCATATTGTTAACATGTGTAGGATAACTTAAGACTCAAATAATAAAATACTCCAATCTTATGTAGTATATTGCCCTTGTGTGGGTGTAACCATCTCTATCGACCTTTGACCTTTATGTTATCTCTTATATGTTATTTGAATATCTGACCTCTATCTCCCACGTACTCCTGGAAGTCTATCCTTCCATCTCCGTCGCGGTCCTTCTCCCTCAGTGTCTGTTGCAGCAGGTACTCATGCATCTCAGGATGTTCCTCTGGGTTTGTGAACACCTGGAAATTAATAATTAATATATATACATCTTCAATATATACAAATTTTGGTAATTGGTTCTAGTAATCATTAATTTTCTTATATAAAACATTCACATCTCACCGCAAACTCTTCAAAGTCAAGGGTCCCGTCACCATTCTTATCTGCTGCTTTCCACATGGCCTTCTCCTCGGGCAGCAACTAAAATAATACACAAATAAAAGTACTAATTAGATGAATAATCAATTTTATATTTTCTAAATTATTTTAAGACAACATATAGTTTTTAGTATAAAATACATGTAATATTGTCAACATAGTGTTATTTTATATATTAATTTAGTATCGTTCTCACCATGCCAGTCTCTCCAGTGTCATCGATACTGATCTCATCTTCATTCTCAGCTCCGAATGCATCTCGGAGGTATTCAGACCAAGTGACAACTCCATCGTTGTTGTCATCAGCCTCGGACATTCGTTCCTCGGCCTCCTCTTGGGATAAGTTACTGGAATATAATATTGAAATGCACTCACAGAACAATAAAGCAATCGGTATAATGCAGTTTTGAAATTTTCTATTACAATTCTCATACAATAAAATCTATTAGAACAATATTAGAGTTACAGGTTTGAATCCAGCTTGGGTTCATACTTCATTCCATATTTTGTATTTCCATTATCACAATTGCCTCATAGAATAAATAGTTATCTATACATAAAAATAATAAATGGAAATAAACAGTTTATCACCATTCACTAAAATAATATTCAAGGTCAGAGAATGCTTGTGAATAAGTTTTCAACTGAGCCCAGCCTTCTTTTATTCCTTAACAAAGACAGACTTTGCATACATTGAATATTTTAAGGGATTTGTACCTTTGATACAACTCCTTTGTTCTGTTGATAATCATGTGTTTATGAAACTAGTAGATTTCAGTCTAGCAACAATAAGGTCTAAAATTTAATCTAACAAACACTAATAAAGAAGCAGATGAGTCAAAATAATAAGTTTAAAAACAAATAAAGGAATTTATTCCTTGTTATGAATAAAATAATGTTTGAATGGTAGCACAAACTTACATGAATGAGTTTAATATCCACTTCTTGAGTTCCTCCCGGTCAATAAACTTGTCCCTGTCGAGGTCCATCCTGGGCAGCAGCTGCTCCAGCCGCTTCTTGGACTCCTCGGGGCTGAGTCTGTCATACTCCTCGGCTTCCTTCACACTACCTACGGAGAAATAGTATGTGACTACTAAAACCGACGGCACCAACAATAACAGAGCCGCTTTGATGGACATGTTATCGCATTTCTTATCGACGGTGCATCGTGGAGTCGTATTGCCGGCTGAGTAAACACTCCGCGGCCTGTGAGTAACGCGTACCTAATATCGCTTCGTGATCGAACTCCACGTTGTGACCGACGTCGTTGTAGTGCTCGTAATCTCGCGGCTTGTACGCCCCGTCCGACTCGCGCTCCGGGCTGTCCACATTGTGGCCGTGCACCGCCGCCGAAGCGCACAGCAATATATTGGGCGTTAGCAAAAGAATAAATGATAACATATATTTCGTCAACATGTTTCAATTTCGATAACCCACTTTGGTTATTTATTTATTGGGCTGAATACTCAATGAGCATGTATATTTATGCAAATCCCATTTTTATCTCCACTTATTTAAAAATAACATTTGACTAAATGACAGACACAACACAGATTGTAGGCTAAACAGTAAATCTTAAATGACAGCTTCTGTATTAATCAATTTTGTATTGGTCCAAAATAACACAACTGTTTCCTTTTTTACTTTTATGTTTTTGCCATTGGTTTATTAAGGACGATATCACAGAGCACCAATCAGGAACTTAGATGTGGCGATAAACATTCTAGTGTCATTTGTCAGATCTGAGTGTTGTTCTTGTAAAAATTGGTCAAGGTCAAATAAGTAAGGATATGTTATATTTAATGAAATAAAAAGAAAAATAAATCAATAGAATTTATTTTGCGTTATTAAGTAAATTGTCTGCTACCATCACTATTAAAGTTATTCGTCGGCCTGCGACATGGCTAGGATAAGATCGAAGAAATCTTGAAAGATGTTTACGAATTTCGCCTACAATCAATGGTAAATGTGCTCGTGTTACTTCATCTGATACGTCTAGTTTTATTAAAGCGTCCTCCAAATATCTGTAAACATAGAAAATGCATTAAAGAGGGAACCTGTTTTAAAATATTTAAATACAACATTCGATACTTACTATGTATGTAAATTCAAATGTACGGTCATGATTAAGGAATGGGTCACATAGTATCATCAAAATACATTTTAAAAACCATACAACACAAAGTTTTACCCGCAGCTTTGCTCGCTTTTATGAAATTAATATAATAACTATTGTATTCATTAATCTAAGAATTTATGTCATTTAAGTAGTAGTAAACTATGTACAAAGTTAGGCGTCAAGAAATATAACTCTTATTTTTTTATGCCATAAATTAGTTTAAGCTCACTTGTAGTTTCTAGGAACTAACCTGCATTTAAGTTGTGTGTCATGCACCATATCGGTGGCCAGTTGTTGTATGAGAGCCAGTAGAACAGGTTGTTTCAGTCGGCAAGGCTCGAAGACTCTCTGCGGGTGGGCGGCACGACAAGCCGTCATCACCAGGGACAGGTCGGCCGAGGACAGAGCTTCTTCGAAAGCCTCGTTAATCTCGCCATTTTCTATCTGCTTGTTTATTCGGGCTGACTTCATCTGAGGATATTTTATTCCCTATTTCTGTATTTGAACTATATTATTACTAGTTTGAATCCTCCAATGGCTACGGATAATTACTTAGGGTACGCAAAAAAAATTCCTCTTTGATTTTAATTGATAAGAGATTCGAAATGTGTCAATTGGTAGCAAAAGCTTTGGAAACAATGTGGTAAAGAGTGCCATACTATTTATTCTTTCCTGAATCCCGTTTTACTTGGATGTAAATAGAAAACTTACTAGTTGATCAATAATAGATAGTTCTGGGTCCGTCGGTTGTGGAGGGCTGGTCGATGTCATTAAAGTATCTTCTTCACAGTAGTTGTCCTCATGGGATACAGGCAGAAACGGGGGCGATAAGAAACTCTTTATCCATTCACTTATTTCAGTTTTTAAGATACTGAAAAGTTAAAATCATGTTTATAATATAAAAGTTACTAAAAATTAATTTCCTAAATATTTGGAAGGCTATACAAAGACCTGTCTCAAGTTGTTTTTTTTAAGTTTTAGCGGATTGATATTTTTTAGCTTCGTAAATCGTGAAGATATTTCAAATATTGCAGACTACACGTTCTTTACCTTGACATCAATTTCACGTCTAATCTTACACATCAATTACCAAACAATATATTTAATGAATCATCATCTAAAATTATAATTTATAGGTACATCTAAAGTTTTTTCTAAGATTGTATTAATTATGTATTCTACTTACGATTCCAAATTGTTCTGCATAAATTGTAAAACAGTAGACGGTTTATCGTTTTCCAGAGATATCAAATGCTTTTCTATAGCATATTTAAGAGTTCGGGTCGATTTATGAACCGATTTATATAGGAAGTAACTCTTCTTTTCTACTGGAATAAAAAAATTAGCACTTTAGACTGTTTATCAGTTGATTTGTACCGTTTGATTCTAAAACCCTTACACTCATGAAAAGCATTATGTAGGGTTCTTGAAACATGAGTTAGCAGCCGTCGTTGAGATCGCTCCAGGAACGGCAGGTAGACCTGTCTGAATGCTTCAGACAGACATTGCCTCATCACCTCCTTCAAACGCTCGACTATCGTCGCAGTGAGGTGGTCCTTGAGATCCTTTAAAGTAATCCGTTAGTAACATTTGTATTAATATTAAATTTTATTATGAGAATAAGGTCTGGAAATATTTCTCTTAAATCTTAATGACAGCAGGCTTCAGCTAGATACGATAATATCATACAATTATTTGTTATATGTATTGTATACAAGAGTGAAATATAGTGGACAAATAATGTTTTTTTACTCAAATATTTCAATTTGTTTAAAATGGTCCCAAGGTATTTCTTAAACTTACATCGCTTTTCAGATAATCTGTTATTATATTTTTCAAATCCATCTCCATACTTTGCGCTAGACTCAGATCCTCCATATCAAGAGAAATCTTTGTATTCCCAACTGTATTGTTAGACGATTCTGACATCTCTGTCCTATAAAAAATTTAATTATAATAGAAAAACTACTAATTTATATTTATATGTATGTATATGTTTTTATATGCCTTACTTTTGGTCGTCGTTCTTGACAGAGCATGATTTCAAAATAAAAATTTCTTCTTTTAAATCTTGAAGTAGCTGGTTCTGTTCCTGCAATATTTCTTTACAAAAATATATTTATTAGCATCCATTATCGGAACAGTTTTATATATTAAAACCACAATGATTAAATAGAAAGAACATTGGTTTAGAATTAATTTTTTACTACTTGGTGCACATGTGTACAGAATAAGATGTTGGCAATAAAAAGATTACTGGTTCGTAATATAAAACTCTTAAACAAGTAACATACCACTCAACTTTACCACCTTAAGCTCCAAAGCCAAGAGCGTATCGCTTCGAGAAGTTTCGTTTGCGTCCAGATTTATGAATCCGCTATCCAGATGATCTTCCAACGAGCCGTAGGATTTATTGGCGAAGATCTCGCAAATCTCTAGTGAAGAGTCACTCTGCATGTTGCCCTCCCCATAGTTACAAAAGCGACCATTGCATTCAATGAAATCACTATCCTTCAACAAATCTAATGTTCCTAAAGATTTTGATTTTATTAAATTGCTTTTATTGATGCGTAATGACATTTTCGATACCAATACACTGTTTATCACGCGTGAAGTAATACATTACTATATAGCGGTTGTTCTCAAGTCATATATTTATTTCCTCCTACCCTTCTTTAAAAAATATTAATTAATTATTTATGCCTATTGTATTTTATAGTACTTGTCGATAGCGGTACTCGAATCGTTTACCTACTGTTTGCTGTCATGCAAGTTGGAGGGGTGACCGAATCAAATGTAGCTGAAACAAAACATATATCTGTTTAAATTCAGCATTAGATCTGGTATTGTATCTTGATGTGTGTTGAGCCAATCAAAACCTACAGCGTGCTATTACTTACTATGAATTTGTGAATTAACAGAAGAATATACTTATTAAAAACGCTTGAAGTAAAATCTTATATGTAGGGCCCGTATATGCCCGTAGGGTATGTAAAAAATCAAAAATATGGAGTATAAAATAAAATACTTTCATAATTAAACATTATTTTACTATAAGAAAAGGGTCACTCGTGACGTACATCGTTAAGTTACATTTAAAAAACGATGAAAAAAAGTAGCGAAATATTTATTTCAACAAAAAATAACAGTTTTATTCAACTTCCATTACACTAGCCTTATCAAATTGGTTGCAATACACAATGACGTGCTTCTTTAAATTATCAAAATGAAAACTGACCATTTGGTCGACATATAGCATTACATCTGCTGATTGGTCTCAAGTCACATGACGTGATGGGTGCATACTTAAACATGCTTAATTCAGTAATTGTGTAAGCCGTGTCTATAGCCCTCGAAACTTTCGCACAGAATTTTTTTTAGCGTATTAAATCCTTTATTTTAATCAAAACATTGGTGGCGGGAACGTAAATTTTGTGTATTTTTGTGAATATATGGATGATTGTTACATTTTCTTAAAAAGTAAAAAATATGTACATTCTAGACCGAAAATCGCGTAAATTAAAAATATGTATTTACATATTCATCCGGGCCCTACTTATATGTAACGAAGTTTTATATTTTACAAAATGATAAATTTGAACAGTTATCAAAAAGTAAGCAACTAATAATTCAATCGTCATCTACTTTTAAACACGAAAACAGCCGTTTTCCAACAGCGAGTCATATGTTATACGTATGTCTCTCATCTCTCAGAATAATTATTATTCTTTTCGTTAGTTGCTAGAGATCTATATGCTTAGTCCAAGTTGGTATTACACTACACATTAAGCGTTAATACTATAATATATGTACTGATTTACAAACGAAATACTGTTAACTTTCTGTATGTACGTGACGACGCCATTTAGACTACACACTTCTATATGTCATCTAATTCTTTATTAATCGAACCCATGAAGTCAATCTTAAAGCGAATTTGTTCTGAACGGAAAGCTTATCGTTTCTTATTCATTTCAAAGCAATATTCCAACTATAGACCAGTACCGATATCTTTTAAAACATAATTAAATTATAGTAGAATGAAACTCATTAGAAAAGAAGGGGAATATTATAAAATTTAAAGGAAAAATAATTTACGGGCGATCTGAGGTCGGGAAGGGTATGGGGATGGGTATTTAAGGGTAAAAAATGGGTTTTCTCGATTTCCGGCAAAACTAAAAGTCTTACGGAAAAATGTTAAATAGCAAAGTTGTAGGTAATAAAAAGATCTAAAACTTTTGTTCTAACATTTTTTTCACATAACCTGAAAATTTATGTGATAAATTCGAAAAACCAAGTTTTTGGTTTTTTATTTTTATCTCTTATAAAAAACAATTTTTTGTCACGAAATTTGGTGAAAACTTTCCTTTTGATGTTACAAATGCACTGTAATTTATTTGATTAGAAATATTTATATTTTCAGCTTATTTTGAATAAATACCCAAAAATCAGCCTCATTTTCAATCGAAAAATCACCCGTCAAAATATCAGCTATTTTCAAAAATTTGGTATGTTTTGAATTTGTTGAAATCTCTATTTTCCGATGGTAAAGAAAAAAATATAAATTTCTTACTTGCAGTACCATTTTTGAATAAAATAATCATGTCCCTTTTAATGAAATGACACTCGATATCGTTTGGAAAATGCTCTTTCAATTTATTTTTTATAGTTTTAGCAACTTAATTTCAATTTTCTGTAAATTAACTAAAAGAGGGACTATCCGGAGGACTTCCAGAGTACACAAATATTAAAAATAAATTAGAAAGAGCATTTTCAAACCGATGTCGAGTGTCATTTCATTAAAAGAGACATGATTATTTTATCCAAAAATGGTACTGTAAGTAAGAAACTTATATTTATTTCTTTTGACGTGTGTTTTTTTGATTGAAAATGCGGCTAATTTTTAGGTATTTATTCAAAATAAGCTGAAAATATAAATATTTCTAATCAAATAAATTACAGTGCATTTGTAACATCAAAAGGAAAGTTTTCACCAAATTTCGTGACAAAAAATAGTTTTTTGTAAGAGATAAAAATAAAAAATATTGGTTGCTTGTAAAGTAGGTTTACGATCGAGATGTTTACGTGATAACGTCTTATTGGTGATATAAGTTTTTGGGAAGTAAAACATTCAACGAAAACTTAACCGCACGAGAAAATCTCCATTCTTTTGTATGCCGCTAGAGTGAGAGAGACGGAAGATCGATCCACTCACTCAAACGCTATGCCTGCCTCCGCTCGTGAGGATTCCGCGTGACAAGTTTCACGGAATTACTGGCAGCGCTCGAAATGAGACGGGAGATCGGTCCGTCTCTCTCTCGTTATAAGTACCTGCGATCGCGCTCGTGAGGTTTTGGTGTGACACAAGTTTCTGAACATGTCACCCGACTAAAACGATTTTAAAGACGTTATCACGTCAAAAACCCAAAACTTGGTTTTTCGAATTTATCACATAAATTTTCAGGTTATGTGAAAAAAATGTTACAACAAAAGTTTTAGATCTTTTTATTACCTACAACGTTGCCATATAACATTTTTCCGTAAGACTTTTAGTTTTTCCGGAAATCGAGAAAACCGATTTTTTATCCTTAAATACCCACGCCCGTACCCTTCCCGACCTCAGATCGCCCGTAAATTATTTTTCCCTTAATTTTTACAATATTCCCCTCCTTTTCTAATGGGTTTCATTTTACTATAATTTATTTTCACTTTTCATCATTTTTAGAGGCATCTGCACTGGCCTACTATAAGTAATTTTGAATTTAAAATTTAATGAGATCCGAGATTTTAGCGAGTCATTTAAATGAAATTAATATTTTTCGGATATATTATTTTTGATAAAAACTACATATTCCAGACGTTTCGGCCACTTTACAGCAACCGCGATCACGGGCAGATGAGATGTGTCTATCAGTTGGTCTTGTTATTTTATCACCTAAAATTATTTAATACATATATACTAATATTATAACTACTGGTTCGAATTGAATAATTCTTTTTGTGTTGGATAGTCCAGTTATCGAGGAAGGCTGTGGGCTATATAACATCACGCTACGACCAATAGGAGCAAAGATATAGTGGTAAATGTGTAAAAAACGGGAGAAATTATTTCATCTTTGAAGCCTTCCGTGGCGTGCGTCGTGAAAACGGTTCAAGATACACAAAAAATATGTATTAAAGAATAATAGCTCTTTTAATGATCTAAAAAACAGTCTGCGACATATGTCTATCTTTTAAGATTAACTCACAAAAACCGTTTTTATGGTACCTAATTTGGACGAAATAATTTGTTTAAGTTGTATCAACATAATAATATTAATCTTTATTCAAATAAACAAATAAATATACTGTTGGTTAAGAGTACTTCATTGTGAAAAAAAACATAGGTTTTATCCTGAAAATTCTACGGGAACTCGACCATTCCGAAAACCCCGCAAGAACGGGAACTATGTGGGAAGAACCAAAAATGTGCCGGAAGTCACTATTCCACGCGGACGAAGTTAGTCAAATATATATGGAACTTAAAAATAATCTTGGATCCCAGTTTCCCGTAGTACAATTAGCAAAATTTTATAATGACATTTCCAAAAAATTACCAAGTCTGACCTATTTAGTGATTCATTTTCTGTATTTAAACAAAAAAATATTTACAATTTTTTTTCTAATTTAAAGTTTTCCTAAGTTTATATAGTAATATTTTTTATTTTATTTTATTATTTTTACGTAATATTTTTATTTTATCTTTAAATAACATGTAAACTTTTTAATCGTGCACTGTTTATAGTTAGTAAATGTTATGTACACTTATCATTGACGTACATATCTGATGTTATAAAATAGTCACTTTAACTGCAAATATTTAAGTGTGCTTGTTGTGAATAAATAAATAAATAAACTTTACATTATTTATTGATTACACATGCAAACAGTGGTTTAGTGTAAATAAATATGTTCTAATATGTATATGAGAAATGAAAGTCACAAAAAACGGATCAAATAAATTTTATTTCCGTAGTCAATAGCGGTCACATTATTTACTGCCCAGTATATTGTACAACACAACTAACATGAACATTATCAGCAACAATAAAAATATATCGTGTCTGAAATGTGTTTTACAAGTCACATAAAAAAATATTATGAAATATTTGTACATTGTTCAAGGACGAACACTCATCACACTCCTCACTCCGCTCCCTGTACAGATGATAACTCAAGGCACGGGTCATGAAGCATTTGGTTGGTTTATTAATTGCATCTTAAAATCTATGTAACATCTATGTAGGGGCAGTAACTTCAATATGTAAGCGGAGAATAATTTGGACATTTATAACACTACTCTGATCTTTAGATATAGCTCTCATCTACAAATTATTTAAAATGAAAATCAATATTTTCTTTTAGTTATTTTTTATAATATGGCAGTAATTTTTGTAATACGACAATATTAAAACTCAACTTTAAGTACCGCATTACCCACACTTCACTGCCATTTAGTACAAAATTTTTATTGGAACAAGCATTAAAAGTATATCAACCGTCATATATAGCTTCATAAACATATAGATAAGAATATTACATAAAAAAACTTATAAACCTAGCAGCCTTATGTAATAATATCATTGTTATATACATGTATATAAACCAGTCAGTTGTGGACACGGTGCACCGGTCCAGCGTCACACACTCCACAGATTGTACATTCATCACAAGTATCATATCAATATGGAATCTCCTCTTATAATATATAATAATAAATTTGTTAGGTCATTGATCCTCTTAAAATATAATTTATATCAATAGTTCTTCATCAACTTGAGGTGAATATATCTAATTTCAATAGCACCATACATTGTAATAGGTGGATTTTAATTAGATTTATATAAAGATATTTAGGTAAATAATAATTATAAAAAAATGTCCTCTTTGTACAATGATCAAATTGACAAAATACTTGCAATAATTAAATGTGAGATTATGAGATGAGATAATAAATATTTGAAGAATTTAGAAAAAATAATCACAAATCGTATTTTTTCTAGACATGAAACATTATGTTCTATATATATCCAAATGTCCACATAGTTAGACTAGATTACAACAAAGTCTGAAGGAACAAGGACTGTAGTGATGCACTAGTCACAGCACCGATGAGTATCTGTGTGTCACATCACTAGTGTGGCAGCACAGCGGCAGTGGCAGCACTGTGGTCACACGGCGCCCTTGACCAGCGCCTCAGTCGCCATGAGCAGCATCCGGAACTGCCTGCTGAGGGAGTGGCTCGGGTTGGAGTTGAGGAACGATATGATCTGCTTCTGGAGCTCGCGGACCACGATGGGCAGGTGCTCGCGCGTCACCGGGTTGGACGTGTCCAGGTTCATGACCGCCTCCTCCAGGTACCTGCGGAGAGTGACACACAGAGTTACACAGAGTAACACACACGCAGAGTAACATCCAGTATGTACAATGTATGATGTATTCAACATCTCATTAGCTGAGTTAATGACTAATACAGAATGTTAATCAAACTAAACGATGCATGATCGTGTTCATCGGCATTTTAAATTTTTAATATAATAATCGTATTGATATTAAGGTGTGACTTGGAATAAGTAATTAGCCTGAACTCATAAAAAAGCGTCTGGTGTACAGTTAGTATAGTATAGTTTAGTACAGTTATATAAACATCATCTACTTTTTTTTTATCTATATAGTATATAAATACATTCTAAGAACAACCAGTGACAGATCAACATTTTTTTCCCGGATCACGAGAATCATATTTTTTATTACACATAATAAAATTCCACCGTGAGATTAAACTCGATATATATCCCAACAAGTCCAGCTTTCATTACATCAAGACACTAATTTCGAGTTGCAGCCTACAGCTATGTGTGTGTGTGTGTGTTTGTGTGTGTGTAGTCACCGGTGCTTGAGGTGCGTGTCCTTGGTCATGTCAGCGGCCAGCTGCTGCACGAGCGACAGCAGCACGTGCTGCTTGAGGCGGCAGGGCGGGCCCAGCACGCGCGCGGGCTCCGCGGCCCGGCACGCGGCCACCACCAGCGACAGGTCGGAGGCGGACAGCGCCAGCTGGAAGGCGCCGTTCACGTCCCCGCTCAGCATCAGGGACTGGATCTGACTCACTTGCATCTAACGAACATTGATTGGCAACCATTGGTACTAGGTATACAAACGATAACTACTTTTGAACTATACATATACGAGTATTTGATTAAGTTAATCTATCTATATGATTTTCGATATTGGAACTGTTTAAGGAAAAATTCAGATATACGAACTTTCGGAGGTAAATTCTACTTTAGATCCAAATTTTCTACAGATACTCTACAACCCCACTACATGTTTACATGTAAATAACGTTAAATACTCTTAATAGGTATGGTAAGGATTCCTGAATACAGTTTCTTGCGGTGCGAGGAGGTCTCTGAAATATTTATAAGAGATGTACTTCTCATTTTATATTTCATTGATTTTAATCGCAATATTTTCGGTCATTTCGTGTATTTTGTTTTCAATAAAATCTTAATGCACAGTTACCTCCACTGACGAATTATTCTGTAAAAGAAAATTATAGATATTTTTTTAAATTTTAATTCGATTCAATATATTTTGAATGTTGTTATTAAAATTTTTTTGTTTATTTCACATCTGTAAGAAATATTGTCATAACCGTTATTTTTTTAATTTTCTTTGTCTTTTATTCCTGTATATTTTATGGGACATTTTGCTCACTTTGCAGTTACCAAGAACACAAACTCTCTGTTAGTCATTTTAATAGAACATCAATCTAAAAAACACTTACAGTAGAAACTCGATTATCCGGCCCTCAGTTATACGGATTCGCGATTATCCGAAGTACTGACTAACTACTTGAAATAACTACAAGTCGAATTCGCTATTGAAAAGAAGAAAATGTATGTTTTAATTATTTATTAATGAACATTGATTTTCGTTGATATGTATTTGTTATTTTTTTAAATAAACATATAATATGATGTACTACACATGCACAAAACCGGCTTTTCTTAATACTTTCGATTATCGGGATTTTCGATTATCCGAATGCCTATCTACAACAATTAGTCCGGTTAATCGAGTTTCTACTGTATTTCAATCTGTATTCGCGAAACCTTAAATTCTATGTACGTATTGGCCACTTTTGGTTGATCTACATTCTATATAGTCAGTCGACCACACTTTCCTTATAAGAGGTTAGTCTAAGGTGTACCTGTCTGTCGGTGACGGAGGGCGCGGAGGTTGTGTTCGCGGGTGACAGAGCCCTGGCCGTCATCGCTCGAGCGTGTTCACGAGTCTGCTCACGCCACCAAGACAGCTCCTTCTCTAGAACACTGACAAAGAAATATACATTTATTATGAGATATATGACGTATATAGAGATGACAAATTGTAAAAAGTTTCTATATTAGTATGTAGTGTAAGTCATCTGCCCTAATATTTTTTTTTATTATTCTTTATTGCACAAATAAAATATGTACAAAGGGCGGACTTAACGCTATAACCGCATTTTCTGCCAGCCAACCCAGAATAGTATAGGAGAGTAGTCAGTATGGTGTGCACAGAAGTTAAAGAAAAATTTAAAATATGTACATAGTATAAAATACATAAATATACATAATATACAGTGTAAACTCTATATAACGACACTGAAGGGACCATGCTTTTTAGTGCTTTATAGAGAGTTGCCGTTAAACAGAAAGAAGAAAAATCAGAATTAGAAAAAGACAAAGTTTATTTCAGACTAGTGTTAGTACTTATGTACATAAAAAAGAATGTTATTCGAACGCTATTGTGTATAGTCAGTTATTTTTGTTTGACGTCTTTTGCTGCACCAGTACTGTTGTTGTATTTTTTTAGTTATTTTATTCATATCTTGCGATATTGAGGCATCTTGGTGATAAAAGAAATAATTTTCCAGTAGTTTAGCTGCTTCCAAAGCTTCTTTAATGCTCGGTGGAGGCTCAGGCTCATCTATCTCATCTTCTTCATTTCCTTGCTGTTGATCCTCAGTTTTTATCACTGAATCTAAAATTTCTTTGTCTGTGAGTGAAGCCGTTGTAAGGAGGCAGTCATCTACTTCCATGTAGGTATCCAAAACCGTCGACACGTGTAAGCAATTTGTAATTGTAAACAAAAGAACGAATTTCTTAGAAAGTTCGGTATGCATGATAGGGACATTCGAGTTTATTGCGGGCTAGGATAACAAAGCGACAAAGGAACGTACACAGCTGCACAGTTTTTACTAATTTTAGCAACTTAAAAGGTACTTTTTATTATTTAATTGTTGTCGTTATTGAGAGTGGGTGTGCCGCTATGTAGAGTGTATCATTGTATGGTAAACAAGCTACACCAACCAAAGTCAAATGATTTCAACGCTTTAGAGAGTTTGTCGTTAAATCGAGTGTCGTTATATAGAGTTTACACTGTACATAAATATGCACAAACATATACATACATATATAAGTACATAAATACTTAGCACATATACATAAATTATATGTATAATTCTAGTTATAACATCAAGGTGTCGTTACCCGTGCACCACGTCCTTGATCTGCGCGGCCACGTGCTGCGGGTGCAGGGGCGCGGCGCGGGCTAGAGCCTCCGCGTGTCTGTCGAGCGCCGCCCGCAGAGACCCCGCCGCCGACGCCCCGCCGCGCTCCGCCGCCACGCGACACGCAGCCTCCGTGTTGGCCGCGACTGGATAACATTATAATTATTGTTATATAACTATTAGTTCACATCAACTTTACTTCGAGATACTTATATCACCGCTGTCAGTCACCAGTTATGTCTACAATTTTTTTGTTTTTAATTTTTTTTGTTGGTTATTTATTATTTTGACAACAAATATATATTTTTTTAATATCTTGAAATCTAGTTCAGTATTATTCTTAATCAATTCACATACAACGTAAATCATTCTTTCAGGTGTATGGTGAAGAAGCGCCTGTGGGTCTCGGTGTAACGACCGGCTCTGTGTTCGGGCCGGTCGGCTACAACATGCATGTTAACAGTGTAGCCAATGTTGTCAATAAATGTCGGGTGTTCACGTACGCAGATGATATGTGTTTAATGTAAACGTCAAGATATAACGGAAATTCAAAAATATATACAGGAGGACTTCGACAATATCTGCAAATGGGCACATGATAATGGAATCATATTAAATAACGAAAAAACTAAATGTATGCATATATACTCGCCATATAATCTGAGAGCTAAGTACTTAGAGTCACAATATACTACTGTAGTAGGTCACACGTATGATTGTTTACATAACAACAAATTAAACTGTATAAAACTACAATATGTAGATAGATTTAAGTGTTTAGGCCTAAACATTGATAGTAATTTCAACTGGGAGATACATGTAAATGATTTTTATGTATTATGTAAACTTTATCAATTAAATTCGGTGTTAAATAAACAAACAACGGTGTTGATAAGTTACGGACTAATTGTTTAAGGGCGAACGCTTATGACGTAAAGGACGTTAAGAATTTACAAATAAGACTCATCAAGTTCCTACTAAGTAAAAAAGATAAGGATAATTGTAATAAGGACTATGAAAAACTCTTTAGTGTTTGTAAAATTTTACCGATAGAAAAAAAATTGCATATTTAATAGGATTAGAGTATCATTACAATAAAGAATATAAAATACCGATAAAAAATGTATACAATACCCGGAATGTGGAAAAAAATAAATTTGTATAACCAAGATTAAAAAAAATATTATGGAGAGAGATTATCAGCATATATTGTACCTAAAGTATTTAATAAAATTTATATGTTATGAAAAAATGATAAAATAAGTAAACAAATGTTTAAAACAAAACTTAGGGACTTGTTTTTCAATGACGAAAATCTGTCGCCATCGTGAAACAAGACCAGTGAACTTTATAAAACTCATACATAGTGTTGATATACTTTTTAGTTTAAGGAATATGATGCTATGTTTTGTTTCTTTAATTTTATTGTGTATCGTTATTTTTATTTTCTTTATGTTTAAACAAAATGAGCGCGTCTCATCGTCAAGCATAATAGCTTGGTGAGAACAAAAAAAAAGTAAACCATTATTAATACTAAGAAATAAATAAATAAGAAAGGAGCAATGTGTTTATCATATACATATGTACATCTCCCGTCTCGTATACGTACATTCCTTAGTTCCCTGTTGGAAGGCCGCGTTGATCTGCCTGAACAGCTGTGCGTGTGCTCGCTCGACGGCGGGCAGCGCGGCCTCCAGCGCGTGGCGCAGCGCCTCCCGCGCCGCCTCGCGCACCGACGCGCTCACCATCGACGACACGCTCGACGACAGCCGCTCCGTCACCGACTGGGGACACACACACACATACAGATACACACGTGGAGAAATTCAAACGTAATATTTCTACAATAAATATGCTAAAGCATTGGCAGAACCACTGTCAATAATATATACGAAGTCTGTTAATGTGTTTAGCGCTTTTCCAACGAAATGGAAGCAAGCACTGATCACACCAATCCATAAATCTGGACCAAGGAATAAAATAGAAAATTGTAGACCCATTTCGATATTAAATACATTAAGTAAAATCATTGAAAGGGTTGTCTATAAAGTGATCGCACCTATTATCCATAACTCAATACCTATACAACAACACGGTTTTATGGCAAAACGATCAACGGTAACAAACTTATCACTATTTACTAATTTTGTTTACATGGCAATGCATAATGGAGAGCAAGTAGATGTAATATATACCGACTTTCAAAAGGCGTAACGCAAAAGCTTCAAGACCTTGGAATCAAAGGTGACTTGCAAAGGTGGTTTTGTTCCTATATACCAAAAAGGCAGCAAACAGTTGTTATAGATAGTGCTCGTAGTGATTTCATATATGCAACCTCAGGGGCTCACAGGGATCACTATAAGGCCTCGGCCTCGAATTTTGCGGGCAGCGGAGCGGCAGGATCTTACGCGTATAATCAAATGGACCGACCCTCGAATACAGCGGTGCCCGCTGCCCGCTAGTTTGGAGAACAGTATGCGTTTCCGTGCCGCCGCCGCCGCTCCGCTGCCCGCAAAATTCGAGGCCGAGGCCTTAAGTCCGTTACTGTATAACGCATACTTGTATAATATATTTAATTGTTTTAAGTACTCCCGTTTTTTACTATTCGCAGAAGATAAAAAAAAATTATAAAGTAATAAGTAGCACATCCGACTGCATTGAATTGCCAACGTGACCTTGATAATCTTTCACATTACTACGAAAAAAAATAAAATAACGATTGATATTATAAAAACAGTAAAAATAACATTTTCTAGGAAGCATAAAAGTATTGAATATAATTATAATATTGATAACAAGCCTATCCAATAAGTTACATCAGTGCGTGACCTTGGAATTCAATTAGATTCTAAACTATTGATGGCAGAGCATATAGAACTCATTACTGATAAGGCATATAAGCAATTAGGCTATATAAAACGTATATGTCCAACTTTTAATAGTATTGAATGCATAAACATTTTATATTTTACTTATGCACGATGTATTTTAGAATACGGTAGTAGTATATGGTCTCCCAATTATATAACTTACAAAGAAAAACTGGAAAGAATACAAAAAAAGTTCATAAAATTTCTTTGCTTTAACGACTTTAAAGAATTTAACGATGATGTTGATATAATATGTAAACAATATAATATTGAAACATTGGAAACGAGACGACGACGTTACGATATGTATATGCTACATGCAACAATTACCGGAGATATAGATTGCACCGATTTATTGAGCGCTTTGTATTTAAGAGTTCCTAATCGCCGCACACGTCATACAGCACTATTCCACACGCCTGAGCTAAACACTAACTATGCACACAACTCTGTCCTTAATCGCATGGTCAACACATATTAGAAATAGAACTGTCCAGCATGTCAAAACTAGATTTCGAAAAATCTATAATTAAAAAAGATAAAAATTCACAATAATACATACATATATACACAAACACACACACACAATCATGCAAACACGCACCTATTGTATTCCCAGCCGTAAACAGTTTTATCTTTATATTACTTTTATACTATAAGTTTTACTTTTATGTTACCGTCTTCTAGTTATTAATATGTTTAAGTTACCTGTGTAATCCTATTTTGGTTTTAATTGTATGTTATATAATAGTTAATATAGAAACTTATGTATAAAAACTGTTGGATTACCAAATAAATAAATATATATGTATCATACTCGGCGCCGCACCTTGCTAGTCACCAGCTTGTCGATGTTGTCCCTGAGCAGGGCGTCCGTGGCGCTCAGCTTGGCGGCCAGCTCGTGCTGCAGAGCGTGCGCCAGCGGCTCCAGGGCCCGCGCCGCGCCCGCGCCCGCCGCCGCCGCCGCCTGCGCGCTGGCCGCCTCGCCCATGGCCGAGATGCGCTCCCAACTGGATGTAAGACGATTCATTAGTTGTATAGAGTGTGTCTTAGTGTTAGGTGGTCCCAGTAGGTGGTGTTACCCGTCGTTAACAGCGTCCCTGAGCGCGGCGGCGGTCCTCTGCCGGTCCAGCCCCCTCTCCTCCCGCACGGCCCGCACCTCCCCCCGCAACACGCGCAGCTCCACCGCCTGAGACGACACCAGCTCTGAACACGAGAGACAGGGACTCACTAAACTACTTCTTACTCACTACATAATACAGTGCAAGCTTGATATAACAACTCGGAGGGGAACAAGAAAATATTCGTATGTAATTCGTTGAACTGAGGTTTGTTATGTTGAGGTAAGGTTGGTCTAAAATTCGTTATAAAAAGGTAAAATAATAGTTTCATTTACCTCTACATTACGCAAATATCTAGTTATAGCGAACAACTTCTACTAATAAATGATAACACATTTTTATCAAATTAATACTGTTTACATTCAAACCACTTTCTTCTGATAACTTATCTTTAAATTTAAAAATTGTAGTCAATGTACTTGCGGGATTTCCGAACTTATTAGCTATGTGTAATTTTTTCGTCATAGGATTTTAGTCAACATAATTGATGATGTTTCGCTTTTCTGCGACCGATAAGGAACACTTTTTACGCTTCTGAGCCATTTTAACTTAAATCTTTAACAATAGTGACGAGCAGAACTGTTTATATTACTTTTCATCAAACAACAACGATTACTTTACGTACAAAAGCGTGTCGAAACATGTCGAGACATGAATTACAATATAAGATTAAGAGTTATATTACTGGTGGGAATTTTATATAAAGGTTTTGGGTTGTCAAAATTCGATAATTAGAGGTATGAATACTTTTCCTACTTGATAGTTGAAAATTCGTTATAAAGAGGTTGTTCGAAAAGAATGTTCTCAATGTAGAGGTATATTTTATATTAACTCGTATAGACAATTCAAGGGGATTACGTAAAATTCGTTCAATCGAGGAACTCGTTATATTGAGGTGCGTCATGTTAAGGTTGCACTGTATTTAATGTTACACAGTTCCAAGATTAACGTTTCAAAGCCAAGATTTAGAGAAAGACAATCTCTCACCGGTCAGCTTGTCGATCTTCTGTTCTAAAGATTCCCACCGGTTCTTCTTGACTTCGTCCGGAACAGGGACGACTTCTGGGGCGGGGGGAGGAGCCAGTGACGTCACGGGCGGGGCGGGCATGCTGGGGGGGAGGGGAGGGGGCACTATAGTGGGCAGTTTGGGGGGAGGCGCCATGGAGGGAGGCTTAGGAGGAGCCGCCAGGGTGGGGGCCAGCGGTGTGGGCAGGGCGGGCGGTAGGGCGGGCGGCAGCGGCGGGTTGATGGGCGTCACGAGCGAGTTGAGCGACTGGCTGCTGGACTTGTCGCTGGACGCCTTGCGCTGGTTGGCCTCCGTGATCTGCTCCAGAGATATCTGCGGCCACGACGTGTCACTGTCTGGAAACACATAAGAAACGTACAGGAGGCCGTATTAAAGTTACAAAAAGCCTAAAGCGTGTACTAACTGGCATGTTTCAGTTTGGCAGGCGGCGGAGGTTTCTCAGTGGAGCTGAACAAGTCCCCAGTGAACAGTTCCCCGACCGGCACCGTCGACACCTCCTCGCTGGTCGAGCTCGGCTTGGCCTCGTCCTCGTCCTCCTGTGACGAGACACATTGTTCACGGGCGAACGTTTATGACGTATATAAAGGACGTTAAGAATTTACAAATAAGACTGATCAGGTTCCTACTAAGTAAAAAAGATAAGGATAATTGTAATAAGGACTATGAAGAACTCTTCAGTGTTTGTAAAATTTTACCGATTGAAAAAAAATATAATATTTATTAGGATTGGAGTATCATTACAATAAAGAATATAAAATACCGAAAAAAAATGTATACAATATCCGGAATGTGGAAAAAAATAAATTTGTACAACCGAGATTAAAAAAATATTATGGAGAGAGATTGTCAGCATACATAGTATCAAAAGTATTTAATAAAATTGATATGTTAAGAAAAAATGATAAAATAAGTAAACAAATGTTAAAAACTAAACTTATGGACTTGTTTCTCAATGACGAAAACCTGTCGTCATCGTGAAACAAGACCGCAGTGAACTTATAATATTATAAAATTTATACATAGAGTTGATTTACTTTTAGTTTATAAGAATATGTTGTTATGTTTTATTTCTTTATTTTTGTATGAATCATTATTTTTATTTTTCTTTATGTTAAACAAAATGAGCGCGTCTCACCGTCAAGCATAATAGCTTGGTGAGAACAAGAAGAATTGTAAACCATTACAGTCAATCTTGGTAACTTTGATTCATCAGGTAACTTTGACAGCGGGACCACGAACTAGTTTCGATTATTTTTTCGCATGAAACCAACACTTTCATATATGTTTATTTTAGATTTGCGACTTTAAACAAGCTTCCTAAACGCACCTTAAAAAAAGTAAGTTGTGAAAGTAAAAAAAAGTCAAAACTTTTTTCTGAATACAGCGCGTGAATTTAAGTTTATTTTAGGGTGAATAACTTTTTGAATAATTTATGATTTTGGTTGCTGATAAGGTAAGTGAGATGTTATACAGAGCCATTTGTGATTTTTCTACCATATTTTCATGAAAAATTTGCATATAATTACGTCTCATTTTGAAATTTCATGAATAAATATGAAGATATATATTTTGAACAGAAACTGGGTAACTTTGACAGTGTCCAAGTTACTCTTACATAGAAACTGAAATGGTGGAAGAAGAGCTGATTGAAGAATATGGTGTTAAAATGGAATTTTGCAAACATGCACATCAAAATATGTTGAGTTCTCACTTGGAACAACAGTTATATTTAAAACAGAACTCACACTGTTTCCAGGAAAAGTGACAAGTTTCACATTCCCGTATTATACACTTGTTGTCATGCGTAGATCAATTCAAGGTGGTTGAAAATGGCCAGATCAAAGAGAAATTATTAAAATTAAATATGATGATGTTGTATTTACAGTAGATAACAGTAAGATCAGTGTAAAACAGCCTGGGCTCTACACCATTAATGACGATTTGCTCTATATGGAGTGGGGAGAATAGACAATTTAGGCTCAAGATTTTACAAAATGATTGTTTGTTTTAATTATTTTCGCTGGTTTTCTTTTTAATTTGAATAAACATGTCTAATTAAACGAGTTTTTTAAGCGGTTTTGATGGTGTTAAAAAATGTGTGTAACATTGCCAAATGTTGTAGACTGATTCTTCATATTTTTTTAATAAGACAAAACTGCAAAATGGTCGTTTTATTGAGTTACAAGCATCCATTAGTTAATAAATATATACACCAATGTTACCCAGATCGAAAAAAATAATACTTATAACTACTTTTTTATGCATGGCTGTGTGTGTCAAAGTTACCCAACTTATGAGGGTAACTTTGACGCACACAGAATTTAGGTTTTATACTATACATATTGGTATGTTTTATAAACTTTCTGTGAATGTCTAGAGACGGAAAGAAACACGAGAGCACTGATAAAATAAAAAACACTCGAGTGATAGGTTTAATTTTTTTTAAATATAGTATAAAATATCATCCTTATCTGTCAAAGTTACCCAGATTGACTGTATAATTACTAAGAAATAAATTAAAAAAAAAACATTTATTATGAGCATAGGTCTTTCAGCACCTTAAGATCTAACGAGACAAACGTCGGTACGTTGATTTGAGGTCCACCGGCGATCACAGTCACTGTGAAGTGTCTGAATCGTAAAATAGACTACGTAAATAGTATTTTTTTTATTCCTCCCATATAATAACACGAGCCCCGGCCCCAGTGTTCGTGTATTAACTCACCACATGTCCGTAGTAGTGCGCGTCGTGGGCCATGATCTGCCTCACCTCCCTGCTGGGGCTGGAGCCGCCCGACGTCTTCCCGCCCACGCCGTTCAGAGGCTCCTCCGCCCCGCTCGCCCTCGCTATGTTGGTGATCTCCGGTGTGGCCGACAGGGGAGGGTCGTCGTCCTCTCGTTTACCAGGAGAACTGAACGGTTAACGTTTATTGTAAAGTAAGGAAATAAATTATACATAATAAACACGTTCTAAGAATATGTTTTTAATATTTTTTATTCTATTTATTTTCATGTAACCATTAAATTAAACTCAAAATCTTTATTAGACCAGCAAAATTTCACCAAACTATTTTAATTCCTAATAAAATCGGTTCAGTGTTGTATGTCTGTCTATAATGTACATATTAGACGTCACTTTGTTTTGTTCAGGGTACTCTCAGCTATGTTTCATGTGTATCGTGAGCGTCACCTGAAGGCGTCGGGCGTCATGAGGTTGAGGGGCGGCATGGCGGACGGGGACTCCGGCCTTTGAGGGATGAGGCTGCCTGGTTGGGTCTGGAAACATCACAAACATATACACTATGAGACACTGAGCAGTTAAATGATAGCCAGTCGACTCCCACACACGTCCCTAGCCGCGTGCCCACCAAATGTTTTAATGTCATATTAAAATGAATACATACTCTGTATCAAGTCCGTACGAGGTATGACAGCTGAAAAACAAAACATGAGTGACGGACCTACTGACACGATATATGACGGAACAAGGACAATAACACTAACTGATCACTTCGTAAATATGCAATATTATTGTTTGGACATCTTAATAACTAAGTTTATTAGAGAAATAAACCTCCTGAAGCGTCTTGTGTGCGTCACGTGACATATCTTTGATATAAACATTAGTGTCGTATCAATTAGCGTATGTTCCTCGTAGTCACGTATCGTAGTGTGTGTGTGTGTGTGTGTGTGTGAGTGTACCTGTGACCTCATGAGCAGGTTCTTGAGCTGCTGCGTCTGTTGCTGCAGGATGCTGGACGGCACGCTCTTGGCCGCGTCCTCTACTTCCTCTTCCATGCTCAGATCAACTAGCTCTGTGAACAAGAGAGTATGCGGGCTTTAATAACCTTGACGGTAGACCGAAACCGTTTAATATCATGAGATCTAAGATTTTCGCGAGTACTCATTTAAATGAAACTAATATTTTCGGATTTTACTTCGCGTATTTATTTTTTATTATAAACTACATACTCCCGACGTTTCGGCTACTTTTCAGCAACCGTGATCACGGGCAGACGAGATGTGAGTTTGATATCAGTTTCCCATGTTAATATTGTCAAAGTATTCCCACATCTTTAACGTTTAGGAACCGATGCATTCTATTGTTTCTAAATGTTGTTTCAACGAGGAACGGCTCCATACAACAATGTATACATACATTAATTTTACGAACGTAAAAGGGGGGTGGGGTAATGGGAGAGAAAATTCTACAGACTCTCAAGGAATGACATCATTTAAGGAGTTTAAATTATTTAGAGTAATCAAGAGTCATGTGTTACCTCTGTGTGTGTTCTGTGCGGGCGGCGTGTACACCAGCTCGCCCTCCTGCAGACCTTTGGGCTGCACGATGAACAGACGGAGCCGGACCCGCGACGACGACGGACCTCCCTCCTCGTCCTGGAACACAAACACACATTACAAGTCATACATGGCATTATTACCAGTGGAATCATGTGCGATATTAGGTCCTATGTCCGCTATTAATAATGTTCATACCTCCCTTGAGTCTTTTATTTATTTATATTTTTAAGATCCACCAGTGATAATTACATTAATACAATATTGGGTAAAAAGAAATACAGTGTAGCTTAATTCTAAATGCATTATCTTTTAAGGCAGATACAGCATGCAAAATATTAAAAAAATTATAAATCATTTATTACATTATATTAAAATCGTATAACTTATTGATAAAAATTATTAAAATCTCTATATTAAAAATTAGGTCATTATCTATATTTTGTTTATGTAAAAATTATTTATTTAATTTATCGCTGAACAAAAACTTATAACGAAATGTTTTGAGTGAGTCTCTAAAAGGATCCAAATGTTTACAACTATGATTTAGAATTTTAGACATCCTGGAAATTGGTGAGTTATTGCCCAAAACAGTTTTTCGAAAAGGTCTTGTAAGAAGATTAATTGTTTTGCGTGGATATCGAGAGGGAACATTAAATTTAATCTTAGATACTAAATCTGGATTATCATAGATATTGTTAAGGCATTTATACAGGGTGACTGGTGAATTACTATCGATACTTGAGGACGTGATATTTGACGATCATATATGACAAAATAAAAATTAATATAACATAAATATTAATAAACTTCTAAGTTAACCAAAAGTTATGTATGTAATTAATTACGCATCGTGTGAACACCCTACAGATTAGGTATATATACACACACACACAAACGCGTGCGGCGGCGTGGTGTTGTATCAGCACGCCGCCACACGCGTCCACACTCGGGACACTTGGAACGTGTCCACACTTTATTTATTTATACGGAAATTTGGTCAAAAATTAAGTACCTATTTTTTTACATAATTCGAATGAGAATCATGTACCGAGTATTCTCCTTAAATATTGATAGTAATTCACCAGTCACTCTGTATAAAAACATCAAATCCAACAAATCTCTTCTTTGGCTCAAGCTATGTATATTAAAAAATGCTAGCCTTTTATTATACGAAGAGAGTTCTTTAGCCTTTCCTTGAGAGAACGCCAGATGGTAGAGAAAACGCCTTCGTATACTCTCTATTCTTAGGCAGTGTGTTGCATAGTGTGGCCTCTAAATGACACTGCCATACTCTAGTATACTTCTTACTATTATATAAAATTAGTCTTAGTGAGTTTGTATCAGTAAACTACATCCGGAGCGTCGTCAGTGTATATGTATATACATCTGAACAGACAGCATGTCGAGTTTCATTAATGCTCATTCTTCGCTTGCCCGCGGTGAGTGTGTCTAGTCACACTAATGTCAAGGACACAGATGATTCAATTACAAATTCCAATACGAATGCGTGTGTTTTATTTCCCTTATTGTTCACGAGGTCCAAGTAATGTATATTTACCGAGTGGTGTATGTCAAAGTCGTCGGGCGAGTCTGTCGCGTCCCCGGCCGAGCCGTTCCTGTGGTAGGGGTCGTCGCAGCTCGACTCACACTTGGCCGGCAGCTCCTCTGAGAACGAACATTAGTCACTTTAACTTTAATAATACACTCCAAGTTAAACATTGAATTTATTCATATAATAATAATAATTATAATTATAATAATGTTTATTCACAAAAAAGTTACAAAGTATAATGAAGTTCCTGATTTCTGAGCTAGGCTCAAAGACCTGTATTACAGAAATCAGTGTCCTCTCTCATATTAATTTAGTGTCTTATCGTTTTATGTAAATAAAAATAAATGATAAATAATTATTTCTTACTGTATACTAGAGTAGAGTGTGTGTGTGTTTGTGCGTGTATGTGTGTAATTAGTTTCACAAAATATTATAGCAACAACAGTTCAGTTTCCTCACAATCTAGTCCTGGTAGCCAATTTTTAATAATTTCTTTAGCTTCACGATTACGTAAGGGATGTATATTTTTTATTTTATTTTGTTTTGTTATACAAATAAACTGCTTTAAAATCATGTTGTCGTTTGGCTGAAGCTGTTCGACATATAACAGGTGGACATACGTTTTTAATGACACGTTGTTTACTGTATTCGTCGGCATGATAGGGGGGTATTCTATGTTGTTGGATAACCAATTGATAGACGTATAGTTACCTAACCGTAAGGAGTTGACATTTATCGTACAACTTAGTTGTAGAAAATCTGTATGGGCTAGAGGTCATTACTTTTGAGATAGATCTATGCGCTCTTTCCAAGTCTAATATAAAGGTTTTACAAGCACCACCCCAAGCTTTTATACAATATACAATGACTGAACTAGTGCATAATATATTGTGCGCAGAAGACCTAAATCGGCAGTGTCTCAACTTCTTGAAAACCCAAAATAAGTTTTCTGGCGCGCGTAGTTTTGATGTCTATATGAGGGCGCCAGCTAAGTTTTTCATCCAAAATAACTCCTAGATATTTTACGGTCGTACATTTAGTTACCTCTAAGCATGAACAGGATATTAATACTGGGATTTCCTCGAATGATTATCAAATTCGTAGTATGTGTGAGTCACCTGCGTCCACAATACAGAAGCTGAGCACGGGGTAGGGCAGCAGGAACTCTGCTATGCTGCGGCAGTAGGCGGCAGCGTCGTCGTGGTCGCGCGCCACGTGCAGCACGTACAGGCTGCGGGCCTTGGAGTGCGACAGCAGCAGGTAGGCGGCGCTGGGGTCCAGCTGCGCCTTCACCACGCCCGCCTCGCCCGGGCCCGCGCGCAACGAGATGCTCTGCAGGCAGCTCCACGACTTGCACGACCAGATCTTGATGCACGTGTTGTTCTCCGCACCCGTCACCGCGAACTTCCAGAAGTGGACGCTGGACGATATGATTTTATTTATTTTATTTATTTATAGATCACCAACAAAATACACACGAAAAACATTCCAGATACATGAATAAAAAATAAGAATACTGGTATCTTACTTATAGGTGATAACAGCATGCACAAAATAAAAGTTAAGCGACAACAAACAGAAGGTAAAAAAGCTAATTAAATAACAAACAACAATAATTTAAAATAAAGATAACAACATAAGTAGATCCCAGATTAATATGTAAATACATATTTTTAATTTAGTCGATTTTCGGTCTAGAATGTGTTTTTTACATGGACTGTCATATTTAGACTGTGAAAAACCAACTTTTATTTTCCATATTTTACCATATTTCAAAGTTAAGTCCATATTTTACAAGAAAATGCCACAATCATCCATATATTCACAACAATTCATAAAATTTACGTTCTCGCCACTAATGCTTTGGATAAAAATAAAACATTAAATACGCTAAAAAAAATTAACAAAATTCTATGCGAAAGTTTCGAGGGCTGTAGACATGGCTTACAAAATTACTGAATCAAGCATGTTTAAGTATGCACCCATCACGTCATGTGACTTGAGATGAGACCAATCAGCAGATACATATAAGGCTATATTTTGACCAAATCGTCAGAGTTTTAATTTTGATAATTTAAAGAAGCACGTGATTGTGTATTGCGTTGCAACCAATTTGATAAGGCTAGTGTAATGGAAGTTGAATAAAACTGTTATTTTTTATTGAAATAAATATTTCGCTACTTTTCTTCATCGTTTTTTAAATGTAACTTAACGATGTACGTCACGAGTAACCCTTTTCTTATAGTAAAACAATGTTTAATTATGAAAGTATTTAATTTTATAATCCATATTTTTTCCATATTTTTGATTTTTTCGTCCACATGTTATGTACATATTTTAGATTTTTTAATACATATTTATCCGGGCCCTAAACATAAGTAAACTATCTAAACTAAACAATTTTGAGTATTTATAAATAATATTTTATTTTTAATTTTTTTCATATTATCGAAAATATCTAAATCTTTGTCTCCGCTTATTGAATTATAGGCACTCATAATTCTATTGAGAGGGGAGTAATGACCCAAATTAGATTTAGACATATGCTCTGAAAAAATCGTGCGTTTGCTAGTGATATGTGTAATGACTTGGAAGGTGCAGAAATACGTATCCTCGATAATAAGTCTGGACAATCCAAAGAGCCGTTAATTAGGTTATAGATGAACATGTTGTCCATTAAGCGTCTTCGATCAGCAAGGGTGTTCATTTTGAAAAAGGCTATTCGATCTTTGTAATTAGGGAGTTTTTTTGCTAAGCCAAATTTAAAGGATTTTAGAGGGATATTTGAAGAAAATGAGTAAATTTATGTAGACGAAGGTCTCGGATAAGAGCTAGTCCATATTATATTCACGTAACTACGTGCAAAATGCTCCTATTAAGTCATATTTGGGTATATATTCTATCCCATGGCTAACATCCACCCATCCTCTCAAACCCTCACAAACTTCCCATATACCACAGTAGGTGTACTCACTCGGTGTTATAATTCTTGTGGTTGTCGAGGAAGAACAAGCAGCTCAGCGGCTGGCCCTCGTGAGGCTGCCACTTGTGGAGGCAGCGGGGACTGATCTCATTGTTCATGTACACCTACAATGAAAGATTATGATAATAAACTGACACAGTTTTCCATCGGGAGCTTACTTCACAACCAATTACTTTTTGATGACAATCAGAATGGATGTGACTTGCTTGATAATTAAGATGCATTTTCTTTGTCCTATATTATGGGTATTTGAATACACACAAAGCGTTTTTGGGGTCTTACGAAACAGTCATGTATATTTTTATAGATTTATTGCACAAGACCACTACCGGGGCTACCCACCTCGGAGTTCAGAGTCGCATTAAAGAGGTGAGTGGATTTCAAGGGTTCTTATATTTATAAATCACGAAAACTTTCTCTTTTTAACACGCTTTTTTAAACCACAGCCAGGTAGAAAGAGTTGTAATCAAGGAGTACCTGTGTGAACATGACGTATCCGTCTTGAGAGGCGGTTGCCAGCGCGGTGCCGTCCGGAGAGAAGGCTGCGGCCAGCACGGGCGCCGCGTGGCTCCCCGCCGCTAGTCCCGCGCCCGCCGCCAGCGCCGCCCCCGCCGACACATACGGCAAGGGAGCTCCGCCCCCGCCCGCACACAGAGACCATATCGCGCGGACGTTCCACATACGAGCTGACAACATATACAATTGTTTTATAATATAAAGCTAATATCTCAATAATAAATCAAATAGATTACTATCTAATTTATACTATTGTATAGAAATACTTCGACGCAAACCAAAATCGAACCTGCACCCTCAGGTATATCATATTTATTTATTTATTTATTTAGGAACACCAACAGTGTACATATACAACATTTACACAAAAAAATATAGCCAAAACTAAAGGTCTACATATGTACACCTATTACAGGTGTTCACAGCATTGCCTAAAAAATTGTTTAAAAACAACACCTTAATCTAATTATATTATATTACATTTACAAGAAAAACACTATTAAATAAAAAAACACAAATTAATAAACAAACACTAATTAATAAAAACAACACAAATTAAAAACGAAAAGTTACAATTTTAAATATATTTTTGCAAGGTATGTCTGAATTTAGTAGAAGATTCGCGAAACATGTCCAGGTCTGTTATATCTTTATTTAGTGAATTGTAAAGGTTGCACATCCTCGCAAGCGGAGAATGCGCACCTAGATTTGTTCTAACTTTTGGATGGTAAAAAATTTTTGTTATGCGTTGACGAGGAATTTTATTGGGTACCGAAATTGTCAGCTGAGCTAGTAGATGGCTGCTATCTATAATACCATTTACGATTTTAAACATGATCATCAAATCATGAATAGATCGTCGAGCATGCAAGCTCTTCATGCCAAAATGAATTAGACGTTGTTCATACGGGCATCTGAATGATATTTCATGAGAATGAAATGCTAAGTAACGAGTAAACGCTCGCTGGACTCGCTCGATGCGCTGACTGTGTATACTATAAGTTGGATTCCATATCGATGAAGCATACTCTAACTGGCTACGGACGAATGCGTTAAACAGTATAATTTTGGTGTGGGGATTTTTAAACATCTTTGTATTGCGTTTTAAAAACCCTAGCATTTGCATAGATTTTTTAGTTATGCAATCTACATGGGGCACAAATGTCAGTTTATTATCAATTGCAGTGGCGGCTGGTGGGTTATCGAACTGGTGGTTCACTTTACTAAAATATTGACAAAAACAACAATTGACATAAAATATGTTTATTTTTTGTACATTAATTCATAACTATATCCAACTCTGATACAAAGTCTATTAATCCACGATACTCCAGCATTACTGGACTCAATAGTTTCATCGTGACCTCGCAAAGCTAACTCAAATGCACCACAAAACTTGACACAATCGATAAGACGTGATAAAATGTATCTGTTTTTATCAACTTGTTTATTATACTTTTGGATATTACTTCTATACACAGAATCTAGCTGATTACGAATATCGACTGTGCCTAACACAGACAAACTCATTACATTTTGTAGGTGTACTTGTGAAGAATCGTGTTTTTTATTTTTTCACTTAAATGCGTGAAATCCTTGATTCCAGTTTCTGTCCAAATCGATTCTCCGCCAAAAATAATGCAAGGAAAACAAAAGAATGCATTAAGACGCTCACATCCACACAACCATTTCTTTCTATTATACATTTCACTTTTAAAACTTCGTATACATGCTTTATTTTTCGATTTACACTCTTGTTTTAAATTTAAAAAGGGCCGTGGCGGCCCGGCCAATTTAATGTTCACTTTACTTTGAAAAATTTTGTTATTTTCTTTAATATAATCAATATTTATACTCATTTTCAACTAATAAAAAACACAGTACAGAATAAAAGTTCTATTATAGAAACGAAATAAAAACTAAAACGAATTACGGAAATAATTATAAACAATAACGAATTAACGCGTCACGCATACAGTGAAAGTTGAAACAATACCAATAACGATTAACGAAATGTCAATCATAGCACCCATCCTTTCGGCCGGCCCCTTGCCGGCCGGCTCAATACGTCATACATCGGGTGCTCTCGGTGACCTTCGGCCGCTTCGTGCGGCGCGCGAGAACCGACTCGTTACTCGGTACATTTCTATGAACTATCTTTTGTCTCACGCGCCAGGCGTATTGATGCGTGTCTCATACAAGATGTATTAGCAGTCCTCGTGCACTCGCCGGAGCGCACGATATGAGTTTAGTAAAGCGTTCAAACTTTTTGACCATAATTAGGAAATTAAATTTTTTATACCTTTTTGTATGTTTAAAAAATAAATATTAAAATGGTAATTTAAAAATTAAGATGACATAATATTTTGTAATTTTTAAATATTTTGAATTGGTGGTTCAGCGCACGGGCGCACTTAAGGTACAGCCGCCACTGATCAATTGTAACACCTAAATCCCGAATTTCGTTAACCTTTGTAAGAGAAATTTCGTTAATGTTATAACATGTTACAATTGGCAACCTCTTTCTAGTGAATGTTATGTACGAGCATTTACTAACATTTAAATCCATCAGATTATCTTTACACCATGCATTTATGTTGTTTATGTCATTTTGCAATAAGGTTACGTCAAGTTGAGAATCAATTAATTTGTATATTTTTAAATCATCTGCAAAAAGAGAGAACTTACAGTGCTGAATTACCAGAGTTATGTCATTAACGAATATTGAAATAATAAACAAAAATAATTATGTGTTAACTGTAAATACTGTATTGGAGTAAACAAACTTCTTTACAGCTGCACATCTAATACTGGGCAGTGTAACACTGATTTTATCTACATACAACTCTTATAGTGTAAACATGATTTAATATACAAAAATTTGATTGAACATAAAAAAATAAATAGCCTATCCATAGATAGGAGCCTCTCAATATACATGAATTATTGATGAGTGGAGTCCAAGTGTACCCACCCTGATGTGAATGTGTAGTGAGCAGCAACCTGGCTACATCATCATCGGGTGAGTCGTCTTCATCAGGTATGTAGGGACACCACACCACTCGGTGCACGCCTCCACCCACACACGCACCCGTGTCCTCACGCACCTCCGCTGACAGGGTGCAACTGGAGAGTACATATAAGTTCATAAAACTGGAGAGTACATATGAGTTCATAATGAAACAAGTATACAAGTAGCGCCATCTGTGACATACTAATTTTAATATACTATTATCCTTAGCATAATTCTGACATTATAACAGAATAGTTATGACATTATAATCAATTGTAATAATGAATCATTGAAATTTTGTAATCATCATTTAAGTATCTACTCATATTTGATAAGTATATACATATACAGGGTGACTGGTGAATTACTATCGATATTTGAGGACGTGATATTTGACGATCATATATGACAAAATAAAAATTAATATAACATAAATATTAATAAACTTCTAAGTAAAGTTAACCAAAAGTTATCTAATTAATTACGCATCGTGTGAACACCCTACAGATTAGGTATACACACACACTCACACATACGCGTGCGGCGGCGTAGTGTTGTATCAGCACGCCGCCGCACGCGTCCACACTTGGAACACTTGGAACGTGTCAACACTTTATTAATTTATACGGAAATTTTGTCAAAAATTAAGTGCCTATTTTTTTTACATAATTCGAATGAGAATCATGTACCGAGTATTCTCCTTAAATATTGATAGTAATTCACCAGTCACCCTGTATAATATACTGGCTTCAGCTATTATGTAGGACATAAATGGAAATTTTGAACATTGGAAAATTTCGTTAAAACTGTTTCTTGAACACATGACATATAGAATACAAGCAGTTATAAAGAGAAATAAATATAGTTATATGATATAAGCTCACCGCAGACCGCTGTCCGTAACTTCAATTTCATGGATATAAAAATTTCCCATTTCATCAATACTGGCCAGTAATATTTGGTTCTGGATATGTGCAAATGCCAGGTCTAGAACCTAAATAACAACAAGAAAGTTTTTCATCAGAATCAATCATAAAAAATGCAGGACAATAAAAACACATACAGTGGAATCTTGATAACTCAAATGTCAAGGGGATTGTCACACAGATGGTTTTGCTTCCATCATGCGCAAACGCTGCGCGTCCTTACTTCGACGAGTACGGGACAGTCCCAACACGATCCTGCATGCATTGTTGGATCGCTGGGATTCACCAATTTTAGCACATTGGATATGACTCCACATAGTTAAGTAAAATATATGTTTTGTTTAAAATTTGTTAAGTATCAGAAATAAAATTGCTTTTCTTTTGTAACTTTACTAACCAATTAATTTATTAAGTTTAATTTTATTAACACTATATGGATCTACAATATGGTCTGTAATAAATTATTATTATTATTGCAAAAAATTTGGAGTTAAGGTTTTTTCAATTAAACAAGAATTTCAACATACAAAGCATTTAACTGTTAATCCTTTAACTTAAAAAGGTATGTTTTCTAAGTATATTTTTCAAATTGCAGACTAAAATTTGAATAGAAATTCGACTTAGTTTTTCTAGTACCTATACATTATATTGAAAAATAATAAATAACAAGTACATAATAATGTGTGCCTACTAATGTAAAACTATGGCTTAGAAAGTCTGATTTCTGAAATTCAAGTTATAGATGGTAAATGTGTACTATCAATACCTCACAGGGAAATATCAGTTTGTTGAATTAAACAATGTTAATAATTGTTGAAAAGTGTAATTTTTCATTTTACCGAGACTTTTGACTTAATAAAGTTTAAGTTATAGAAATTCTACTGTATATGCATTTGAAACATAGTATTGTAAAGTGATGCTTGAGAGTCAGTTTAGTTTAAATTCTTTTTCATTATATAAAAACATAATATTTTAATATACACAAGACACATATTATTAGTACAAAAAAATCATTACCTCTCCTTTCATGCCTTTTATGAGTGCTCTTCTGTCAATCCCAGGCTCAGGGTTGTACACAACTCTCACCATACCATTCCAGCTGCCAGGGTCGGCAGCATTGGGAGCTGAAAACAATATATTGTGTAACATGACCTACTTTTGTATTATCTTTCTTCTTGTACCTGGCAATTTCCCGGCTATAGCCAGGGTCTGCCTTATATGTTGTGAATAGTTTTGGCTAATTGTTTTTTAAGACCGGCCGCCTGATTGACATTAACCCTCTTTTGGAAATTGGCATTAATCAGTGATGTCTAAATATTCTTAGAAAGTACATATGACTCGGAAAAATCACATTGGTACTGAACCACTGACTGTTTTTGTATTCTCTTTGTATGCAATAAATTAAAAAAGTGATTTGATGAATTTGAGTTTAACTTAAGAGAACTTTAACCACTAGGAAATACATCATTAAAGCCAAGTTAGGTACCTTTAATACTATATGCTAGGTACTGTCCACTTATATGAACAGCAAGGAGTTGTCCGGAGTAGAATTTAGGTTCCCAGTTATAATCGACGAGGCTCTTGAGCTTCACTTTGGAACTGCCATGGTTGTGGTTACCAGCATTTGTTGTCACTACCACGTCTGACGAATATACTTCGGAGCTGCAGACGCCGTCACCTTCAGAGAATGATCTGGAATGACCAGGACCATCAAAGATTGTAAAAGAGAACCCGGAACTAACACTCATACTCAGTAATATGATTAATTACATATAAAAAATACATAAATTACATATTACAACGAAAATACATTATAGCCTTTGGTAAGAAATGCCATGGAAGTACAAATTGACAAATTTATTAGAAAGTTATAGACATAAAGAGTATCCAATTTATTTATTTTCTGTTCATATCCTCACAAACAAGTTTAATTAAATGACTGATACTAAATACACTTGGAAAAATATCTTGGGTTTAATAAAACTAACATTTAAATCAAGTAACTCACATTGTTTGAGTCGAATCTGTAAGTTTAGGAAGCATCGCCGTTGGTTGCATTTTACCATTAATTCCCAACTGTGAACATTAATCATAAAAATGTAAAAAAAAAACTTTAATAGAAATTTCTTCTAAAGTGTATGTGAATTTATTGACGATTTACACTTGAACTCCAAAGCCGACCGACATTTAATCAACATAGATTATTAAATATAACATAGATATTTTAACATGAAACAGTCTATACAAGAAACATAAGACATACTAAATCAAAGTAATTAATGTATTACATATGCACTACTCTCCTCGAAGATACAAGTTTAATTGTATATATTCATTTATAAGAGAATATCAAAATGTATTTCATTTTCTCCAAACAAATTAATTTTATTTTACAAGTTATGTTTATGATAAAGTTCCAAAACACACAAATACATATATGAAAATATTTGTAATTAGATTTAGGCAAAAGCTTTGAGAAGAATTTTTTATTTTCTACTTCTGCATCGTAAGATTCGTATTTATCTGTACCAATTTTATACATATTGATTGATATTTGAATGTTATCTGTAGACTGTATCAATATTTCTTAGTATATGTCACTGACAGTTGACAAGGCAGTGAATTGATTTTTCGAAAATGGTAAAATTTATATAATTTATAAATATGATACCAAAAAAGAGTATTTCTGAGGATGTTTGTATATTTTATAGTCTTTGGCGGACAAGATATCAATGCTTATGGCGCGGCCAGGGGGCGACAATGCCGCAAAAGATGACGTTCCCTGGTGGATGCGATACGGTGCTCGAGGACTGGGAACAGTTGGCAGTGCAAGTATGTATCCTTTCTATTTATACACACAGCTCAAACAAGAAATAAAAAGAAAGTCATGCTAATTGATCGTAGCACTATATTCGTTCATGGGTTATTCTAAATCTTTCTTTTTTATCTTATCAGTTATAGTGTTTAAACAAATTCTGAAAACATTTTATAATGATAATCTACAAATCATACAAACTAATGAACTAAATTTTAATATTACAAGTACACAAATATCCTATCTTATCTTTTGTCAATATAAAAAATATTAACCAAAATCATTAATTCTCTTTGTTATAGCTCACAACAATTAATTGACCGCCCAATAAAGTTTAGTGTTCACTGTTATTCACCAAATAATTGTTATGAATGGCCATGTTCACGTAATAATAGCTTCAAGTGGGATGTAATTTGTATGAACATGGTCTGAATTGTTATATTGAGTTCATCCACTTTGTGATAAATTGAAATGTCTGTCTAAAAATAACACAGACAACCATTTGAGTCCGTCTGTAAATTATAAGACACTAATCAAGAGTCAGATTAGAAGTACATACAGGCACATTGAATCAGTAAAATATATTTTAAACAAAATCCATATACATATATATTCTAAAAGTGTTTCTATCATATCATGAAGCAATTTATTTATTAAGTGATCCACCAAATTTTTTTTTTCTGAAGACCTGAATGAAATCTTATTCTTAATAAAATAGTTCCATAACTCCAAACACACTCATGACCTTCTGGCATGTGCTTTATTAAATAATATTTTTCTTTAAATGTGTTAAAGAAGTTTCTTCTAGTTTATCCATTTATCTTTTATTTATTTTCAAAGCAGTGATATATTGAATTGCAGATGTGTATTGATGTATTGTTTTCTGATGTAAGCAACATTTCCCATACAATCAAGTTAATAGCATTAATTCAATATTAAAATATATGATATAAAATAGTTAATACTCATTCCATTCATATTATTTAAAGATATTGTTACCATTTAACACGTTACTGCTAATTGGTTACGCCTGAGTTTGAAAGTGCAAACAATAGAAGGGTTTTGTTTCTGATAAGTTTAATCTCTGTTTATATATTAGCAGATAAATGAAACATCATAATAAAATTATGTTTCGTTGCAGTAATCTTTTATTTCCATCTTAGACAATGATTAAGAGATCTCTATGGGCAGTCCTACAGCCTAAGGGTTTGTTTTTCCAGAAGAGCATTTTTCACATACTGCTAAAACGTGTGAGTCATTATGATTATGACAAAGTATTTGTTATGACAATACTTGTTATGTGACACTCATAATTACAGTTACATGACACTAGGATGCAAGTATAAAATTAAAGAGTGTTAGTACATATTTTTCTAAGAATTTTATTAAAAACTAGTTATTTCTATAAAACGAAAATATTGTGGATGGATTCCTTCAGCGCCAAAGAAGGGAATCTTGTAATGTTGGAATGAAAGCAGAAAAGGTAGGAATTGATTTTTACGGAATTTGTAGTGTTTTTAGGACAAACTTTAGTAACATTAATTACAAGTAATAATTGATTACCCGCATCCCCCCCTCGCACTGTCTCTTTTCACCCCCTTGCCTTCCAGAGCGTTAAACGTTTAACGCAACCTTGATCGAAGTTGCATAAGAAGTTTCACTTTAAAACTATATTTGTTGTCAAGTGACGTTTTATAAAACAAAACAAGGTTGAGTGTTATTTGCATCTTACATTGTCCATTCAGTTCTCTTAATGGAATGCATTTCTCTTTGTGCTCTCTCGTTTACTTAAAGGTTATAAAGGGTTATTAATACATTCACGCGTGTTCCCTTATTCTCAAGAAATTACATAAATTCTTCATCCACATATTCACAACAATGTCTGTATGTGGTATGCACAAATCACGTTAAAATTTGTTGTTCACAATTGCATAACACTTCGGAAAACATTGAAATACTTCAGACTTATGTTTCATGAAGCAAACGTCACGAAGACATATAACTCTCCGTCTTTAAATAATAGATATTATTTCATATCTAACAGAGAAGTTCCTTCTATGGGACACACATCAGTATAAAAGAAATTTAAGCAATATGAATCTATGGCTTATATTGTGTGTTCATTTGATGTCTTTTTTATTCACAAATTTCTTTTGTTCCTAGCGCCGCCTCACTGTAATTTTCGAGACTGTCTTCTTCATTTATTAGATGAGAAGGGAGTTCTGTATCGTTTGACTTGCTTCTTCGAGTTATAGGCATGCTTATCGTAAGTGAACGGTACGTTGATCCCAATTTACTCAGAATCTTGGTCATTATGGCTTTGTCACTAATTTTCTCACCTATCTTCCGTAGCTTCTTTGCTAAACTCCGCCTTTGACACATGCTGTGCCATTGTATTACTTAGATCGATCTATGTGAGTATTGATAAAATTGCTCATAAATTAATATTTTGTCATAATCTGCTTTGGCGAACTGGTTTGTACTGATTTCGCTAAAATCCAGTGTCAAAAATAGTTTACAGATACAGTTATGAACAACTTTATTACTTTCTTTCTTCGACCATAAACGTCGTTGATGGAATTTTTGATATTTCTCTTGTTTAAGATTTTCTATAACTGTAGTCTAAACTGTGAAAAAACTTCTGTAAAATTTGTCTATACATTGGCATTCTGGTGATTAAAGCTAGTGATGATTAAGTAATGATTTTTTTAATTATAACTTCTTTAAGTAAAATATCGTTTTTAATTTAACTAAAAGATTTGAAAAAAGAATCTTGATCACGGCTAGTCGAAATTAGGTCACTAATGTTGTCACCGAAATTTTTAGACATAGTATTTAATACACAGAACATAGACCGTCTAATAAGGTTATTAAGGAAATTTCACAATAATTAACCATCGATGATTTCTTGATTCAGAAGTTTCCTCATGTGTAATATTCAAACAAAAATATTTCATGCACGTGTCACCTAGATCGTTACAATTTTAGGGAAATCAATATAACAGTTTTATAACTGTTACCCTCATTTGCTGTGCGCGAGGGTGGTCAAACAATATTTTTCCTTACATGTGGGTATGATATGCCTAAAAAAAATAATTACCCTAGTCTTTAAAATATGAATATGAAGTCAAATTATTATGTTATTGATTGCTCCGTATTCAGCTAGGGTCATTATGAAAAAAAAAATTATGTTAGTATTTTTGGGTGCATAAATAGAAGCACTTATGTCAGTCAGTGGTGGCCTAGTGGTTAAGAGGCCCATCTCTCATGCACAAGGGCGCGGGTTCGATCCTGTCAAGTACTAATGTGATTTTTCCGAGTCATATGTACTTTCTAAGAATATTTAAACATCACTGATCAATGCTGATTCCCAAAGAGGGTTGATTTCAGGCAGACGGCCGGTCGTAAAAACAATTAGCCAAAACTATTCACAACATGTAAGGCAGACCCTGGCTAAAGCTGGGAAATTGCCAGGTTACCAGGTAGAAGAAGAAGAAATAGAAGCACTTATTGAAGGTTGCTTCTTTTAGTCATCTTTAGGTCTGCCTGTTGTCGTAAAGATACTAAAGAAGTAGGATATACTCAATCCTGAATTACGATGTAATTCCACACTTTTTATGATTCCAATTACACTCTTTGAAATGTTATGTTAGCAGATAATCTTGTTAGAACATGCTCTTATCGTCAGTCAGTTTTTTTCGTATGATTCATTTCGTCATTCTTCCGCATGGCTAATTCTAAAGAAATTGGTTTGTTAACCTAAGCAACTTTCAACACTTCTCTCTCATTCTCAGACAAAACCTAATTGAGTAGGCTGGAGTGTACGCGTTCTATATTTCCTTCAAATTCGGTTTTACTTTTAATAAAAACATTTACGTTTTAGTAAATGATAAAAGTGTGTAATTATTAAAATCGTGAAGATACCGAAAAGATAATAATTTGTCGTGTTTTTATTTGAGTTAACAAATGATAACGTTACGACAGGTTTATCCGAAATGACAGGAATTAATTTTCAAGGATGTGTCTGTTGTATTGTGTTTTGAGTAATTAGTTATCGCTTTAAAAAAGTGTCAGTTCTTCATAGTCCAGCCTACTTTGAATTATCATTAATATTGTTCAACAGCCACGAAAATGCCCACAGACTAACAGATATTTCTGTCAATTTTCTTATATTTTATTGTTTGACCCATGTCTGCGAGTTTTTTTAGTAATTTTGATCTTTTTTGCTTTTGTCTATAACGAACACTTTTAACTTAACGGTAAACAATATTGTTGTAATATGTGTTTTGATATGAAATGATGCACAACTTCACCCTAAAGACAACAGCAGTTTTTCGGGAACTATAGTTACTTTTATGGTCCATGTATAAAGATGTCTCAGTCAATTTATAAAAAAAAAAACAATAAAGCATGAAGATTATTTTTAGGTTTCAAAAACCGCACATGCTCAAAGATTAAATGGTTTCATCTCTGGATGCTGTTCCTTATTTCTAACTGCACGATTCCTTAAGTGTCGGTTTCAATTCTGTTCCTCATTATGATATTTAAACTATGTATTTAAAATTAAAATTAACATAGATTTGCAATAAATTAGACGAAATTCAATTTTGGACTTATCTCCATTCAATCTTTAGATTTAAACAAGACAAAGATTCATTAATGTTATTATGTATACAATATCTTTAAATTGTCCCACACGGCTTCTCTAGACATACTACATTGGAAATATCCAATTTATCATGACTTTGGTTTTACTTATCCGATCAATGAGTCATGTCGGCTGTACTGACCGATATGAAGTTTTATTCGCAAATAACACTGAGTCACAAAAACCAAAAAAAAAGTCGAACGGGGTCACATCGAGAGATCATTTGTTCCGCATATATTGCTTTTTATTAATGTTGGTCGATCGATGAGTGAACAATTGGACTCAGAGTGAGAACTAAGACATACGCTACTATTCATTTAAGTAAAACTGTTTTTTTTTGTACTTTCAAGTACTTTATAGCACTTTGTTATCACGGTTTTTGCAAAATAACCGAAGCATAGGCAGTAAGTAGTTCAAAATAATAAAATACGCGTAGTAATCCGAATATATTAGTTAATTTTAATTGGGCTTCAGTTTTATAGTAGAACGGAATTCTCGTTTTGATGATATTTTTTTTGTCTATACGCATTTACGAATGCGTATTTACCGTTTACGCCACAGTGATTTGGCAAAACGATCGAATATATGACTAATAATTTGCTGGATATATCATTAACAAGATGGCCCTCATTATTTGTTAAAATTATTAAAGATCCTTTTCTTATCATTTCTCTCTTACTTATCTTCATGACATGATGACGATTCTCTTTTCATTACCCTCAAACGCAAAAAGAGGTTTGTCATAAGTATGACGTGGGTGTCTGTGTGTAAGTCTGTGCCACCGTAGCCTTCAAACGGATCAACCGATTTTGATGCGGCCTTTTTTTATTTTGAAATCCAGTTTCCTTGAGGTCTTTCTTAGCTACGTATGATAAACATCGTTCCAACGATAAATGACTAACATTTTTGTAAAGAGCTAATATTCGTATATTGTTTTATGTTTTTTTACATGTACCATATTTGTTATGTTACCATTAATCTAAAAGTATTTTGTTCAATTTAATTATCTCAGTGTAGTTTTTCTGAGGTGGTAGAGCCTAGCTGTGGTTATTACAGCTCGAACACGGGCTGGCTCGACCGGAGAAGAACTACCCTCTCACAGAAGATCGGCGTGAAGTAGTCTTTAATGGCTGCGTTTCGTCCGATGAGTGAGAGAGCCGGTTGCCCTTACCCTTTCCTGACCTTTCCCTTTACCCTCCCTTTCCCACCTTTTCCCCCTATTCCCCAATCAAGGGCGGCAACACATTCGCAAATCTACGTTTCGGATACCTATAAGCAACAGTACTACCTCAATCAGGTAGGCCGTCTGCTCCGTTGCCCCCTTAGGCATAAAAAAGAAATGTCAAAATCGATTGTAATATATACAGGGTGACTGGTGAATTACTATCAATATTTAAGGAGCATACTCGGTACATGATTATCATTCGAATTATGTAAAAAAAATAGGCACTTAATTTTTGACAAAACTTCCGTATAAATAAATAAAGTGTTGACACGTTCCAAGTGTTCCAAGTGTGGACGCGTGCGGCAGCGTGCTGATACAACACCACGCCGCCGCACGCGTATGTGTGTGTGTGTGTATACCTAATCTGTATTGTGTTCACACGATGCGTAATTAATTACACAACTTTTGGTTAACTTTGCTTAGAAGTTTATTAATATTTATGTTATATTAATTTTTATTTTGTCATATATGATCGTCAAATATCACGTCCTCAAATATCGATAGTAATTCACCAGTCGCCCTGTATGAAAGATTTTAATGCAACTAAAAATACCAGTAACTGTTAATACAGCCGTAAGTGTTAAATATATCGTGAAATTGTCTAACCTTTTATCTTACACTTACGGTGATATTGAAGGTTATTGTACGAACGAAGGTCGCGAACAACTGAAACACTTTCGATTTTTATATTTATAATATTAATACAGATTTACTTATATATAAAGCATCACAAGTATGACGAATAGCACAATTAAAACTCATTAGATGTAAGCTACATAAGAGAAAAATATTTTTTATAGTGACGCTAGAGAATTTGATTTTTTCATCATTATCACAAAATAAAGACTATGACGATTTCAATTTTGACATCAAAATATTTAATGTTAATTAATAATTATTTAATCAATTAATAAATTATAAAGCTAATAAGTAATTAATGAAAGCGAAAGTTGTTACGTATGTATGTGTTGTTCAATCATAGTAAGTTTTTATTTTTTTCCCAATATTCGCAAGGACCGGGTTCCAATATAATAAATAAAAATAACTGTATGATAATGTATGTGAAACAGAATACAATTATATACTTAAGTTATAATATGTTTTATTTTTAGTATATATCTAAATCAATTAATAATTTAAGGTCAGTTAGGTTAATTAAAATTCAATTGATTATCATTTTAAAGTATTTTGAACCAATATTTATGATGTACATATGTCTCATCGCCTCTATCTCTTCATGCAGTAAACAGTATCGTTTATGTTTTAATTGTCCATAAATTTTCCTTATGTATTTATTTAACTGATTATGATTTAAAAATATCGTTGTTTTATATGAAATATTAACTATATTTTTACAAATACAGCCACGGGCAAAAGTATTAGGCACCCTACAGTAAGACAAGTTTTAGGGTGTTTTAGCATAGCGAGTGTAAATAAAACTGCATTTATGATTATAATGGTTTATTTTAAGAAAATAATTAATATTTTGTAGGTCCACCTTTTGATTTAATAACCGCAGCCACTCTTTTTGGCATTGACTCTACCAGCCTGAAACATTCTTCTCTTGATATATTTTTCCATTCCTGCTGTAACGCGGCCAATAGAGCTTGTTTATTGCTAATCGAGTGCCTGCGGATATTTTTCTTTAAAATGGACCAAATATGCTCAATCGGGTTGAGGTCTGGTGATTGTGGTGGCCAGTCCAAAAGATCAATATGATTTTCAGCAAACCACTTCATGGTATGCGCGGACTTGTGGCAAGTGGCGTTGTCTTGCTGAAATTTCAGGCCATCGGTGTTTGTATCACCGAAAATTTCGTTATCGACGTTGCTAGTGCTGTTTCCAGAACTTCAGTGTATTTAACACTATTCATTCGTCCCTCACACAACACCATTTCGCCCACTCCGTCGGCAGCCATGCAGCCCCAGATCATTATTGAGCCTCCACCATGCTTAACAATGGGAACCACACATTCTGGGTTGTATTCTTAGCCAACCCTTCGCCTAACATAAGTCACACCGGGTGTTCCAAACACCCATGCCAAACGAAAAAAACACATTTATTTTCAAAGTTATTATTTTTCATGCAGTACGTTATTTTAAAAACATTTATGTGTTTTAATATTGTACATAAAATAAATAACAATACCTCAAAGTTAGATTCGTCTGACCACAGTATGTTGGACCAATCTTCCACTGACCAATCTCTATGTTTGAGTGCCCACTCCAACCGATTTTTCTTATTGTGTTCTGACAGCCACGGCTTCTTCCTTGCTTTACATCCTTTTAATCCAGCTTTAAGAAGTCTTCTTCTCACAGTATAAACACTCACTGAGCTGCCTTTTGCCTCAGATAATGCTGCAGCGAGCTCTAAAGCAGTTTTTTTCCTGTTTTGTAGAGACTGCCTAATCAACAATCGATCTTCCCGTTCAGTAGTAACTTTTCTTCTGCCTGTTCTTGGTCTATTTTCATGGGTGCCAGTCTCTTTGAAGCGATTTATAGCATATTGAACTGCACATCGCGAGCACTTCACTTCTCGGGCTATTTTAACCTGAGACATGCCTTGTTCATGTAAAATCTTAATTCTTAGACGCTGTTCAGCACTAAGTTCAGATTTTTTCGGCATGATTAACACGTTAAATGTTAGTCTTTAGAATTGTGATAGGAATAGTTGCGTAGAAGACGTGTATGTTCACTGCAAGCACTGATAACACACTATAACCCGAAACGCAAAAAAAGCAAATTCGAAGAAACACCGCTTAGGAGCACACCTGGATGTCATAAATATTTTCTTTTATCTTAATTTGGTTAAAAATTGCCGCTAATACAATAGCTAAACCATAAAACACAGACTTGACCGCAATATAATGAGATAGTGACTAACAATAGGGGTGCCTAATACTTTTGCACGCAGCTGTAGTTTGTTTGTATGGCCTTTTATACTTAAGCAAATCCTCAGTCTTATTACTTGAATTTATATTTATTTTTTAAATACCTTTTAGTTTCGTTTCATTATTATTAAAGTGATTGAACCAAGTTTTCGTAGTCGCGACAAATTGCCCGTATATTATTTTATTTTTATAATTTTTCCAGTCGCCATATTCTTCGGTCTTCTGAACTGCTTCAGTTTAATATCTCTCAACACGTCGTGTCTGTTGGCCGGCGTGTGGCAGATGCTAGCCGGCTTCATAGTGATGGTGTGCGAGGCGCCGTGCTGCTGCTTCTTCATAGACTACATACAGGTCCTGTCGGATAAGGTCGAGTCCAGGCCCTACTGGCAGAAGGGAGCGCTGTATGTGGGGTGAGGATACACATTATAATACTTCAGTCGATCGAGCGTTTACAGCTTGGAAAACAAATTCGATGGACCAATTAAAGTCGAACATTCCGATGGTAATACGATCAATGACCACTTAATTGAGGCCTATCGATACTAATTAATTTATAGCAATTTGAGTGATATTCATATCAATCTACCGATGGCCGAATCTGTGTTATTTCAAACTACGTTAGTGCTAGAGTTTAAAATGTTTTAATGTGTGTCGCAGGCTGGCTCTGCCGCCTTTCTTCCTGTGTCTGTTCGCTACGAGCACCATCCTCGGCAGCGGCATAATCTTGGGCACCGGCATCTTATACGGCATGATGGGACTCGGAAAGAAGTTTGTATACATTCATACATATACTCATATTGGTTATAGTTAGGTTTCTCTAACCAGTCTTGATATATTTAATATGTTAACTAACAGTGTGTCGTTTGTCGTCTAACATACGGTGTGGCTTGTGTCGAGGGGACGTTGATTATGTAACGAAATGTGTGGAAGCTTATAGTTAATGCACGCACAAAATATTCCATGATTAATCAATGAGCGCGGTTTTTTAGCAAATGATCTAAAGGGAAAGGGAGGGTGATGAGTATTGTGGTTATGTCCTTTTTGTGGTTATGTCCTTTTTTTTAAAGGGAAAATCATCAAATGACCCCTCTTGTTTTGGGTGGGGCAAGAGGGAATGTCAGACTCTTACTGACTATTGTGGTTATGTCCTGTGTGTAATATAATGCTCGTGACTGACCGGGTGTGGGTTAGGGGCTCCAGGGACGACATGGCGGCGATGGCTGCGGGCGGGTCGACGCCCCCCGGCCCGCCCCAGGACAGCACCGTGACGCTCATGGAGGACCCGGACGTGTGGCGCCCCAACTAAGTAAACATAAAGCTATCGTGGCTAACATACGTGATCGTGTTATGGCTTGACTTCGTCTGGGCTTGTAGCGTTCATTTTTATTTGGTTGCACGTCTCGCTTTTTTGTTTTAGGTCAGCATGTTTTCTTTTAATGCCTAAGTACATTTTTTATATTTTTCTTTTACACAAACAGTTCGTTAGTTATTTAGACATCAATCAGTCATTTATTGGCACCGGAGCACAGACTATTTCATATTCGCTGTGAACTCATCACCAAGAGCTAGTTGAACGATCAATGCTAGTATTTAGTACATTATAACATGAATGTGTTCGCGATCTCATGGCAGGGCGTCGGTGGAGGAGATGCGGACCGCTGCGTCCTTGGAGGCGGGCGCCAGCACCGTCCCTCGAGCGAAACTCGTCACCAACGAGCAGCCGTTCAGCTTCACCAGCCCCCCAGCCCAGTGATGATGACCCCTCGCCGATAACACCCTGCTCCCCGGCGTGTGTCACACAGCTGGTTCATGCTAGTTCCAACCTTCTAAGAGATAAGTGTCATTCCTCTTTGTATATTTTGTCTTTACAGTCCCCCCTCCCCTCCACGTCAGATCGTTTTTCGATCCATCTCTATATATTAGACTGTAAAGTATTCAACATTATTTCTATCTCGCCACGAATGATTTTAACAGGTATATTGATTTTGTTCTATATTTATTTATTAAGTAATTTACTTTTGACTGAGTTTTTATTTATTATATGTATAAAGAGAATTGTGATTTAAATTTTATTTTTTAATATAAATCATGCGCATTTTAATTTTATTATTAATGATATTTTGAAGAAATCATTTTATTATATAACAACACTTCATAAAAAATCATTTTGCATGGAAGTGAAGATATACATTTTTATGGATTAGTTTTACTATTAATTTACATTATTTTCTATTTGAGCCTCTTGAATTTATTTTTTCAAAATCTAAAATATATCATAAAGTTTTTTTATACATTTTCCAGACTTATCGTTATATCTGTCAAAGTAATGTCATTACTCATTACAATTATATAATATAACTAATTTGTTCCATTATATAAAAAAAAATCTATTTTAATATTATAATGCTGCTTTCAGTGATAACATTACGTTTATTAAAACGTGCAATAACTATGGATTCGATTGTTATAGTAGTTACTAATTAATGTTGGGCTGAATCGTCTTTGCAACGGCTTGTCGTTTTCGCTGAATTTTTGACTATTTCTATGAGAATGCATTTTGTAATCTACTTCGAGGTCCAATTATATGTTTTTATTCTCATAATTTATTGAACTTCCAAATTTATCATACACCAAGTACCTGAGAAATTTATAAATTTAGTATTTTGATGTTCAAGCACATTGTATTGAGGGACAAAGTACCAGGGAAATTATGATCATAATGTTTTATTTTGAAATTATCTTGTAAACTACAAATTCAATGAGATTTCGTAATTATTAGTCTCATGGCCTGGAGATGTTTCATATGTAGTAAAATAATTAAAAACATGAATCATAATATAAATGTTGTATGATCACAAAATGACTTTATATACTTTGAACTATCTTTTTTATTTCAACTATGAGTTAAAATACTCATAAAAAATGTTTTTTGAATGTGTGTTATTCAAATTACTGATTGTTGGGCTTGTTTAAGTCAAACACCTATTCCGGTACAAGAAATATAACTAATTAGCCCGCATTATAAAACAATTTATATGTTCAATGGTCTTTTATCTAAAAATTACTGATATTATATAAAAAAAATATGTATAAATATAACAATAAATGACATCATACATTCCTTATACACAATGGTCTCAAGAGTATGTATTAAATATGAATATTGTTCTATAACATGGTGAATTCAAAGTAACTCGTCAATTTAGCAGACTGTAAGTGACAGTTTTTGAGAACATAATTTTTGTATGAACCCATGTTAAAAGCCGTTTGATGTTCCATTATATTATTTGTATATGTTGATAATGTTTGTAACTAGTTGTATGAAGTATTATTGTATGTAAGAGCGACCCTAGTCTTAGATAACATTATCCGTAGTTAAATGTTGCTCACGGCAAGTCTATGTTCTTATAGATCAATGGAATCGCTTGTTTCTTTATACCCGTGCTTCCCCTTGTATTTACAGTTCCATTTAAGTTAATCCCATATTTATCCATCACTTGTTACATGTATATAGTGAAATTGTTCAGTAGGTAGTTTTAATTGATATATTATGTATATTTGTTTCTTTGGTAGCTAAAATATTGTTCCGGTACCAATAATATCAATCGTTGTAAGTTTATATATAAATGAAAATTGTTTTTAAGTTTCCGCTAATGTAATAATGCTTTCTAATGATCATATGTTTATGTAATTTCCATACATATCTCATTGAAGCTATTTACTTGGTCTAACAGCTGGTTGGATGATTAAAATTATTTAAATAATAATACATATATGAATAATTTTGTTGAGAATGTGTAGGTTATTCTAGTTAATATTTGCCAGGGTTGCCGCATGTAATCAATTATAAAACTATTTGGATGTGTATTTGTGTCAGTGGCAGCCCTGGCCGTTACACCTAGCTCACATTGTGTATGGTATGCTAGTTCTATAGTAGACATGTATTGAATTGTTCTGTCGGTAATGTTGATCTTTAGGGAGGCATATCTGTAATAAATGTGTGTATATTGATAGATTCTTTTATTTCACCCTGTTCTCTCATTGTTTTGAAGGACTGATATAGTTACTTAAATAACTTGGGGAAATTTTTAAAATATTTGCTATTTTAAGTTTTGTATAAATAATTGTTGTACTTTTATGCTGTAAGAAATTTCATATCAATATTTTAATTAATGTTCTAAATGTATAGTGTCAATTTTCTTTACCCGACTTCAAGAAACTATTCACTTAAAGTGTGAAACTCATAATATATAGTGACAATATTAAAAATTTATCCTTCACAAGCTGTTGAATCATTATATTTATACCCTAATATTTTTAAACACATGAAATAATTCTTTTTTATTCCATTCCATACAAATAATTTTCTTAATTACTTTGGCCTACTAATTGGAGAAGAAACACTAATAATTTATTTATTTTTCACTGTGCACTAGCTGTAATTGCAACACAAATTCTTACTAGATAGAAAAAACAAATAGTTTTATAATCATTATAAAGGAAGTAAATCGAGTTAAAATATCATAGTACAGTTATAAGGGAAACCAGGTTTATTTCTGACTTAAGTATTTACAAACGTAACAACTGTAAATATAATATATGCATATATAACAAAGGGTTAGCACTTTTTAATTCATAAATATACATAATTGCCTCACGGCACACTCGTATATCGTAACATGATTACACTACGTTCAGGCTGCGCCTTTTTGTTTAAAAATCGCACCAGTGATAGTCCCGTGTCGCTGTATCAAACATATCTTGTTATCGGTTTCTAAGCAGACAGTGGGCGGTTTTAAATTCGGTTGAATCTTACACGCCTGTTCCGATATTGCCACAATGATACCCGCTGAGTCCACATGAGCTGAACCTTTGGAGGCCAAACAAAGTCCCTGATGATCCGCAACCAAACAGCCGTTCACATTTGGCGTCGACATTATCTCTTCTACCACTTTATCTAATTCTTTCTCCATATTATTGATACTCTATTATAGTTGAGGATATTAATATAGCAAGTAATTATAAGTCAAATGATAGTTAGTACGTGCAATCCCTAGATTACACTTTCCGTTGAAATATTATTATTTTCTTCTTTTTCAGTTAGTGGCGTTAAATATTATTATTTTCTAATTGGAATGTCAGTTCACTACTGTCAGACAGTTATTACAAATGACAGCTGATAGCTTTCGTTCAGAAAAACGGATTTTAATCTTTATACAACTTAATTTCCCAATACTTGGAATATGTTACAAGAGATTTAATTAATTTGACATTTTGAAGAAATTAATATCATAATATTCTAAAAATATTACTATTTTCATTAAAAATGATTTCCAAACTTTCAACATATTATTTAAACTAAAGTGTTAAATTACTGAAATAAAAAAGACATAAGATTACCTTTTTATAGATGTTTTTATAGATCTTCTCAATAAAATACAGATATAGAGCTTCTGAGTTAAGGTTTATTACTGTAGTATAAGATCTGATTTATCATTTAGTGGTTGTAATAAATTGTTGCTTCTTAATATTTTACATACTGAATTTCGGTCACCTATTTCATATTTGGTATAATTGTAATTTGTTACCTATAATTATTTATAAAAATTTAACATAACAAAGATTTTACGTAGATTACTAACTAAATTCTTTTTACTTATTAACAGTAACAGTAATACAAAATGTAATGTTTTATAATAATTGTACTAGTATCTTTAATAAAAAAAAAAATAAATATTTAATCAGCTAATTATGAAAGCTTACTAACGTTATTATGGATCCATCCGTTACAGTTTAATATAAAGTAAGAAGAGTTATGCAGCAATCATAATCTGAAGATATTAATTTAGCTTTTTTTTATGAAAAAAAGTTATTCTTTAACGTTCATTCTTGCACATTGCAAAACCGGTGCATGAAATGTGAGTGTTTCTTTTAGTAAAGTCTTGTCTGTCGAGACAACTGTCAACAATGTTTGAATTTTTATTCTACTTGCTGTTTATCACTCTGTCAGTACTAGGATCAATTGGAATTTATAATTTTTTTAAAAACAAATATAATATTAAAAGCGTACGTTTTACGAAGTGTGAGTATGTTAATTAACTTGTTTATATTATTGTTGCGCAATCTATTTGTAGAAACAACATTAAGTAGCTATGTTTGATTTACATTTTATTATTATTATTCGGTTGTACAAAAAGGTACGATGTTAATCAAATGTTTATATTAAGTTATAAATATCTACACGACTATTCAAAATTAACCATCTCTATCAAGTTCATCATAATTAATAAATATAGTAACTATATACCCACATATGTATAAAAGTTATATAAATAAAAAATATTTTTTCAGCTGTTATTGGAGACGTGAAGAAAACTGTTATATCTACATTTCATTCTAACATACAAGAAACTCCAAAGGACACAAGTAACGTGGTTTTGATATGATATGTAAAAAAATATGTAATAAATATTATTTAATTAATAAATATTCGTAATATGGAACTGTTACGTAATTTTAAACCTCAAACGATACTTTCATTTTCCCTTTCACGTACAGAGTTCATCGCTCGTATGCAAGCTTTCTACACAGTTGTTTAATACCTTTTTGAGATCAGGTATTGACCACTAAATACTTTAATAATATAACATTCATGTCTGAAAATGAATTGCCCTTATATGTAAAGATGAAAAAAAAGTACTTCAGTACATACTAAGTATTGTAACAATATCGCGTCGGCAATTGACATTGTTCTTTGTCAATTGCTGTTATTAATAGCTATTTTATACGACCAAGGCCTGATAAATAGCAGTCTTAAAAAAACAACAAAAATGGCCGTTAACCTATAAGTATAAAAAATATACAAGTTGTGAAATTTTGATGTTAAATAAATAAAATTGAGCTGTTTCTGAAAACAACTATGTTAAGGCATTCAAATAATAACTGTGCATTGGAAAACTTATAAATAAATTAATTTTCATATATGTGTTTCATGACCTAAAGTATAATCTTAAATAATCGAGCCTTTACATATGAAATCAAGTAATTCTTCCGAAGGACTGTGTGCTTATCTATACTAATATTATAAAGCTGAAGAGTTTGTTTGTTTGTTTGTTTGTTTGAAAGCGCTAATCTCGAAACTACTGGTTCGAATTGAATAATTCTTTTTATGTTGGATAGTCCAGTTATCGAGGAAGGCTGTGGGCTATATAACATCACGCTACGACCAATAGGAGCAAAGATATAGTGGTAAATGTGTAAAAAACGGGAGAAATTATTTCATCTTTGAAGCCTTCCGTTGCGTGCGCCGTGAAAACGGTTCAAGATACACAAAAAGTATGTATTAAAGAATAATAGCTCTTTTAATGATCTAAAAAACAGTCCGCGACAGTATATGTCTATCTTTTAAGATTAACTCACAAAAACCGTTTTTATGGTACCTAATTTGGTCGAAATAATTTGTTTAAGTTGTATCAACATAATAATATTAATCTTTATTCAATAAAGAAATAAATATGTTGTTGGTCAAGAGTACTTCATTGTGAATAAAAAAAAACTAGGTTTTATCCTGAAAATTCTACGGGAACTCGACCATTCCGAAAACCCCGCAAGAACGGGAACTATGTGGGAAGAACCAATAATCTGCCGGAAGTCACTATTCCACGCGGACGAAGTCGCGGCAAAAGCTAGTAGGTAATATTACTCTTCCGTTGCATTTCTTTAAATTGAATAAAATAGGAAAAAATGTATTTAATCTGAATTCTTGAATATAACTAGCTTGCTGGTTCAGCTTCTCTAATTTCAATGTTTCGTATCTGAGTTTTGTCCTATAAATGATAGTACATGGGCCGACCTATCATCCAAATCTCAAGTCATAGTAATTAATGATCGTGAAAGCGAATCAATAGCTACCCGTGTAAGTATTAGCGGTGGACTACACCGTGAGTGACAATTAAATTATAATTCAGTCAAATAATACGGGAAAAGCTTGACAAGTGTGTCGCCTGACGTAAAGAACATCGAAAAACAGACGTGAACACTCTGACAGAACTAAAACATGAGAATAACTATGTAGAACGTCATAAATAAATACTGTTTTAGAAATTATAGTTTTGAAGTAGGTAGGTATAGAAGAATTATACAAATTCTTTTCGAAACCTATATCGATTTAAAAGAAGAAACTAGTAATTATTTGGTTGATATTCGTTTGATAAAAAAGTGTGTATCAGAAAAGGTTCATTACGAATATTATAAGAAAGCGTAAATTAGTAAGTAATATATGACATACGCTTAAAATTTTGGAGATTCGCAAGGAGACTACATAACATTAATAAATATCTGTATCGTTTCTGAAGACAGACATGATATTAATCAGGAATCAAATAATTTCCACTAAAACCGCAATGGGTATGAACTAATAATAGCTCATTGGCTTTAAAGGACAAGTCAATTGAAGATAAATTTGTATTTAGTTAATACGTGCATATATTAGAACTCAGAATAGTCTGCTTATAAACGTTATGACTTATGTAATAATAGATGTGATATAATATTTCCGAAGTTTAAGGAAAAAACAAGTATTTTCAGAATGAATAACGTAATGATTATTATCAATCAATTTGTTCTAAATCTCAAAGTTCATTAAAAGCATTACGTTTCTCTTAATTATTGTAACTTTCTCAATTTGATTCGATTAAAAACTGAAATCCTAAACACTTACAGTTTCGTACATTGTTTAGGTATCCAAAGATCAATGGACGGTCAACAATTACACACGGCATAAATGTTTTTCCAAATATTACTTGTTGTTTGTGCGTTGTTATTTAGATTTGTATAATAAAAAAAATACTTTAACTTTAATTTATAAACAGGACTTCGGTTTTGGACGCTATAGTTTCTGTAAACAATAATTGAAATCAAAGATCGCGGAACCGAGAAGGAAACCCGTTCTATGTATGATAATAAATTTGTAAAACCTATTACGTAACTAAGCATTAACAGATAAATTTTATTTGATCTCTGAACCTGCCCAAGATTCCTTATTTAAGAGTCTTGGTGTAAAGGGTTTTAGTGGGTGCAAAATTGAGATCTGGTGACTGGTATTATCCTATTGTTTGATTTCAGACATTATAGTATTATCATATTATAATAAACGCGTCTACATAAGGATATCATATTCGCATAAGAAGTTTATATTATGCAAATTTACTGTGAATCGAATATCAGTATTATTTTAAAAATTTAAAGTTACTATTATTTTAATTCTGTATCCTAACTTTTTTATAACTTAACATGTTTCTTAAGTCCTACAACAATTTTATGAAAATGTTGAATGGCTTTTAATTAATAACCATATATATACAATAATTCAAATCATTGTTCGCAATTTCAAAGCAAACATCTTTCTCTTTTAATCCTCTCTATCAATTCCAGAATTATACTTCTAGTGACTCGCACTTGAAAATGTTTTTTTCACTGTGGACTAACTGCGGAACGACTATTATATTACAGAAATATTAACTTAAATCATTACTAAATCTAAAAATATAAAAAGGTTTTAGAATATTAGTGAAACCTCATTTATCGGTAAAATTCTAATATACTATAATAATTTCAATGTTTATATTAAACTTTGATAAGTACATCAAAATATAGTCTGTGTATACATTTTATTATTAATTATTGAGTTTTCGAAATGACGACATATGTAATCAGTAATGCCAAAGCATAACATAATATATTTATACGTATATGTATCATAAATAAATTAATATTTAATCTGTAGTCATCGCCGACTGCCAGTGGCTGACGGCTGTGCGGTCATAGATTGTCAGTTGTTGTATGTTATGTTGACAGGTACCGTTGAACCGCCAGTATAGCACTAGTGTTTGGTAGTGCTCGTTTTGAATTCATAGCGTGATGACGCGTACTCGTGTTTATTAAAACTTGAATGAACTTCCTTACGTGCAGCATCGTTGTTATTATATAGAAAAATGTTAGGATTTATTTGTTTAGCTGTGATAGGCGCGATAACAGTGGCCGTGTTCTTGATTGATTCGTTGTGGAGCGTTTTGGAACTGATAACGTCATATTTAACACCTTACTTCATACCCACAGAAGTGTTACCCTTGTCGAAGAGGTTCGGACCTTGGGCTGGTAAGTGAACCTCACAAATAAACCCTGTTTTGGTGAAACTCGAGCATTCACCTTTGAAATTGTCGTCTTTGACATATTTATCCGTATAACATGCAAGCTTTACATTTCTCCGTTCAAATACTGGTTTCTGTAGAATACTTCTCTGTGATCTATATCGATAATAATTAATTGCATCAGTAATACATCGTGAAATAATATATGTATTCAATATACGTTACAAAAAAATAGTTTTTTTTATTGATCTAGGTATGTGTATAAAAGGAAGGAAGTACAAAATACTGTAATGATTGCTCGGAGTCTAAATATATTTAATATTAATTTTATCAATAAACAACAAACCTTATCTCCCATATTATTTACATCAAAGTCATAAGTTACAAATGGTTGAAAAACTACTTGGAATTTAAATGGAAACTATTTATTAATGTATAAGTAATAAAATCAGACTTGCGACGCAACCATGATGTTGTATCACGTTTTATTATATTCCGATATATTATAACACAATTTATAAACGACGTTTTGCGCAAAAGACATTAAAATCACACGCAGCTACATGAAATGCAGCGAGAACAATAAGTGATTGCCTCTTACTCAATATCGTAATTTAGAGTCTCCGAAGATGGGTTGACCTCTCATCAGCACGCGATGGTGAGGCAACCTCCATAGCGCACAGGCTCGTAACAATAATGACAGACATTAATATAGATAATCTTCTTCTTCTTATATATATAAAAATGGATTGCTGTTCCTTAGTCTCGCTAAAACTCGAGAACGGCTGAACCGATTTGGCTAATTTTAGTCTTGAAATACTCCTAGAAGTCCAGGGAAGGTTTAAAAGGTGAGAAAAATTGGAAAAATTGCCGGGAAAACCCTAAAAACAGCTCTTTTCTATTTCCCATACAAACGATTTTTTGACATTAGACTTGACAACTAACTAATATGTCAATCATTCTGTTCGATTGAAACAGTAGAAATTTAATAAATACCAATACCGGGTTATTGAAGACGGAATAGAGTTTGCCCGGTCTGCTATACCTATATTACTAATGACGAAATTAACGCGGACGAAGTCGCGGGCAAAAACTAGTGTTTTATAATTATATATTGGTCTAAATTGATTCATCATAATCATCATCATCAGCCTATCAGAGCCCACTGCTGAGCAAAATCCTCTTCTCACATGTAGAAAGTTAATTGAATATTTGCAATTTTTATATTAATTTATAGAAAAATATCGCAGTGGATTCCAAAATTAATATCTTACGTTCGTACTATATTTTAAACGTCTTCAAAAAAGTGCTGCATTTGCCGTAATACGTCAATGCAATAGAATATTTTATTTAAGTATATGAGTATCAAGTTTCTTATGCAAATACAATTTTGTTGTAATGTATCTTAACATATGTACATTTAAAAGTAATTTGAAGAGAAACATTGTCAGGAAAGGAATAAAACGTTTTGCAAACAAAAATTTAAAAATTAAGATATAAGAGAATTAAGAAAAAATAAAAAATAAGCTGTCTAAAGATACATTTATTGAGACGCATGAAAACTGACTTTGACTTTTTTTGACACTACTGATTTTTTATTTCGTTTGTTACGCTGCATTAGCATTCGGAATAATTGGTTATTTGTTCGATTTTATTGAAAAAACGTGCCTTAATAGAAGAGTTTAAGGAAACGTTAAACTAAAAGTATTGTAGGTAACATCGGAAAAAAACAATTACTTATTTATGTTTGACAAATACTGTGAATTGTATTACATAAGTAATGTTATAGTAACTGTTACTGACAAAGTTAGCATTATCGGCATTACAAGATAGAAAATATAAAAGATTTGTATACTATACTAATTTGAAACAAAAAACTATTCCATTTAATTAATACGATTTTATTTTTGAAGACATCAAGGCTATTACACCGCTATTGGAAAGCGTGCAAATAAATTGACAATTAGTTATTCGATTAAATTTTATTAACAATCGAAAGCATTAATTTATTACGAAATATTTTTATGCTGACGTCTAAATCCCTACTAATATTATAAATGCGAAAGTAACTCTGTCTGTCTGTCTGTCTGTCTGTCTGCTACGCTTTCACGCCTAAACCACTGAACTGATTTTAATGAAATTCGGTACAGAGATAGAGTTGACCTTGAGAAAGAACATAGGATAGTTTTTATCCCAGACTTTTGAAAGGTTCTCTTGGAAACGCGATATAACCGAACTCCACGCGGCGAAGCTGCGGGCGGAAAGCTAGTGAAACAATATTTGAAGGTGTAGGCAAAATAAAAGAGTATTTAGTGTTGTTTAATTGACTATTTAATAAATTAATGCCGTAATGAGCAATAGTTATTTGAATTGACGGTTTTTTTTACCGATATAAGAAAAAACATGTTTTTATGTTCCATCAGTCAACGCTAAAACGCTTCCTATTCATTATTTTATTGGTTTAAGAATTTTTATGAAAGATAAATATTGTTTAAGTAAATATATATCATCAACTACAAGTAAAGATTAGAATAGAACCACGCTGACCTTCAATTAAAAGACACTATTTAATCATAGGCAAAAAATATATTTAACAATTAATATCTGACAAAACTTCGTGACAGCGTGAGTAGACGCGACCATCACAAGTCACTATCGCAATTTGCATATTATTCTTTGAACGCTACTTACAATGAAACTTACCTTTTTTGAAATAAAATAAAGTCCTATCCTTTTTTATTCATTACTAGCTTTTGGCGCGACTTCGTCCGCGTGGAATAGTGACTTCCGGCAAATTTTTGGTTCTTCCCACATAGTTCCCGTTTTTGCGGAGTTTTCGGAATGGTCGAGTTCCCGTAGAATTTTCAGGATAAAACCTATGATTTTTTTTTTCACAATGAAGTACTCTTAACCAACAACATATTTATTTGTTTATTTGAATAAAGATTAATATTATTATGTTGATACAACTTAAACAAATTATTTCGACCAAATTAGGTACCATAAAAACGGTTTTTGTGAGTTTATCTTAAAAGATAGATATATACTGTCGCGGACGGTTTTTTAGATCATTAAAAGAGCTATTATTCTTTAATACATATTTTTTGTGTATCTTGAACCGTTTTCACGGCGCACGCAACGGAAGGCTTCAAAGATGAAATAATTTCTCCCGTTTTTTACACATTTACCACTATATCTTTGCTCCTATTGGTCGTAGCGTGATGTTATATAGCCCACAGCCTTCCTCGATAACTGGACTATCCAACACAAAAAGAATTATTAAATTCGAACCAGTAGTTTCGGAGATTAGCGCTTTCAAACAAACAAACAAACAAACTCTTCAGCTTTATAATATTAGTATAGATTTTGTAAGTCTTCCGTTTTGCTTATTATTTGTGCAGTAAACGGAATTAGTTCTCGAATTTGTTATACATACACATATTATATGGAAACAAACTACGTGTGTACATAAAGATTTGTTAGGCCATCTTTTTGTTCACTTTTCACAAAAGAGACTTTTAAGCTAGGTAGTCATAGAGACAAGAGATTAAAGATCTTAAGATAAATGTTAAATATGAGTTTCTCAACCGTATCTAAAGAGATTGCATTTTAAGGAGGCCATATAATAAAACGTCTAAGCTATTATTTGTGTCGAAAGGTCAAAGTGCATGTCTGTGTTTACGTCGGGTGTGTAGCAAGTCGTTGCTTAACTGAAGAAGTGCCGTTCGCCTCCATTAACAAACACTCATCTTTATTTGCTTTGAATTTGTCTGGTTCTGTTGATGAAATATCTTTTAGCGTCTAGATAATAATTGGTGTTGAGATACCTAATATAAAAACATTGATTTTATTTGAATGGATTTAATATTTCTCGCATTATACTACGCCTTTTTTTATTATTGTGAAAACTACATACTAATGTTCATTCACATCTCGTCTGTCAGTGATACGGTTGTTGAAAAGTAACCGAAACGTCGGGAGTATGTAGTTTAAAATAATAAAATACGCGTAGTAATCCGAAAAATGTTAGTTTAATTTAAATGAATACTGGCGAAAGTATTAGATCTCATTACATAATACATTGATTATATTATTCGATAGTCAATCACCCAAATTTATTTCGTTAAAATTCTATAAGAAGCGTGAGCATAGTCGCCGGTGAAAACAAGTATTATATTATCAAAACAACGCGAGATACATACATCGATAATAATTAATTGGTCTGTTTGAATCACATATATGACCCTATAAGAGTCGATCTTGTGAGATCACAATTTCTTATAAGAATTTTATAAGAAACCAATAGTTATACTAAAGATAATTGCGTCATTCGACTGTGTTAAATTAAATAATCGTGTGGAAAATTGATATAAATCTTAATATATGAATACAGATAGGCTGTTGGTGTGTATGTGGCTGAGTACGAACCATTTGACCGCGAATAAAGGTGTCTTTTCTTGTGTCACAACCAGATGTCATTTTGCAATTGGTGGTTGCGACATTATGTTACGAAAACCGAAATTGTATGAAGATATGATTAGAGCTAACAGGCCAAGGTCGTTCAGCTTGACCTTCAAACGACATTGATTTCGATGCCTTTGTATCGAAAGTTGAAATACCTATGTATCCATTTAAGGCACGCATGATAGTAATTCTTGATACATTTTCTTACATTATCCCTACTAATATTATAAATGCGAAAGTAAATCTGTCTGTCTGTTACGCTTTCACGCCTAAACCACTGAACTGATTTTAATGAAATTTGGTACAGATATAGAGTTGACCTTGAGAAAGAATATAGGATAGGTTTTATCCCAGACTTTTGAAAGGTTCTCTTGGTTTCCAAGAGAACCTTACCGAACCGACATAACCGAACTCCACGCGGGCGAAGCTGCGGGCGTAAAGCTAGTTATTTTAATATAATTGATCCAGATGCAATATATTAGTATAGTTAATTGCCCATTTGTATTCTGGTTGAATGTTGAATTTATATTATTACAGAGTCTA